GTTGATAGATCACTATGTCAGTCCTTTGAGTTTTATATGACATGCGCTGATTCCTGAAGGGAACCTGGTCACATCCAGTAATAATTTAGATCAGGGAAGTTTTGGACTTGGACTTTAGTTCACTTAATTGGTCGGATGACGTTGTTCTTTAAGAACCTGAGTTGGTCTAGGTCTTACTTTTTTACTAAGACGAGTGAAATAGGTTTACTCGTCTTAGTATAAAAGTAAATCAGATACAAAACTGGAAAGCTAGGATGAGCATCAAGATATTTGTGCACTAAGCCAGATACAGAGAAGGATACAGGCTAGAATCAAACATGTACCCTTCTGTATGTGGCCACTGATAAAAGTGGAATTTATTATAGTAAAACATTTAAAGAAAATATAACTAGAAAAAAATCCACGCGGACCAGGCAGCAGACGGGACTCGAACCCGCACCCTTCGCAATCCGGGCGAATGCACTGACCAATTATGCTACCGCGGCCCTCACGGACCGCGTCGAAATTCTTCTAGCCATTCTTAAGCTGCAAGGCAGCGCCATCTCTTCGCATTAAAGGTAACCCACAATGTCAAATGAATACTTTTACAAGTATTAAACATTTGAAAGAAGAAATAGCAATTATAGTTATAATTTTTATCATTTTTAAAGCATGTAACTGCTTGATGTTTAAATCTAAAGAAAATTAAGTAGAAAAAGTGAGGGCCGCGGTAGCATAATTGGTCAGTGCATTCGCCCTGATTGCGAACGGTGCGGGTTCGAGTCCCGTCTGCTGCCTGGTCCACGTGGAATTTTTTTAGTTATATTTTCTTTAGATTTAAACATCAAGCAGTTACATGCTTTAAAAATGATAAAAATTATAAGTAAAACATTTGTTCCTAGATAAATACCACCTGAGCTTATAGAAATTAGGAACAGTGCGATCGCGCCTCATACTATGATGAGTTTTTCGGGAAAGTTCTCGTTGTTTCGACGCCAACGAAAATTTTATGCCAACAGGTAACATTAAAGACCATTTAATTGCACAAACAGTGCCGGTCGACCGACCCAGGCGGCGGAAGCTATTCGTTAAATGCTATTTGATGTCTATCTCAGTCCCGATGATGCTAGCATGAGTAATTAAAATCTGTCTGCCTGATTGCGTAGGTAGGAGACATAAAAACTGGGTGAAATGATTACTGAAATAGGTCAAGACTGAGTGAGAATGAGTAATTGTTGACTGTAAAGGTCCGAGTTTCATGTAAACAACAGCGTGACAAATAGACAACACACTGCAACGTCGTATTTACGCCTATTACTTAGAGCCTGGGTTCCGAACCTGGGGGTAATTACCCCTCCGGGGGTAAATCAGTCATACTTCGGGGGTAACAAAGAACCTAATTATATGGTCAAATCTAAATAATAGTACTAAATAGAGCATGCGGTCCTTCTTGCTAGTGAGCACGCGGGGTGCTGAGTGTGGGAAGCGGGGCGAGATTCTCTCCTGATGATGACATTAGTAGAGACGAAGATGTAGCGGCCAAATTGGAATTTCTTGGACTGATGATAACATTTTAAATTCGAGGTAAAATCTATTTTCCTAATAGGTTACAGGGGTAGCAGTATTGGAAAGGTTAGGAAACACTGGCTTAGAGCCTGTTTCGTAATCGCTGAGTAAAATTCTGAATTAGCTACTTAGAACTTATTTGCTCAGTAAATATCATTCATCATTCGAGGAACGAACCGCCGCTCAGCTGCAAGGATCTGTGGTCTATCACACGATGCGCGAGGCTATTGAGATTAAAAAATATCCAAATTTCAATAGGGAAGATGGTTGGTATAATACCACCAGCTTGGGAACCTGTTATACAGGAGATAAGATCCCAACCCCGAGCACACACTGCAAGACCATCAGATACTATTAGTTCTTTTTGTTTGCATAATTTAACATAAGAAGGAGATAGAAAGCCTCTCTTGAGTTTGTTTCGCCGGTTCTTCTCAGGAAGGTCTCCCAATTTTGGAACCGGTGGTAGTTTACGGTAGTTAGGGTCAAATAAATAAACTCAAAATTACAAACAAAAATTTTAAATAAAATACTTTATTAAGTAAATTAAATAATAAATTCATACATAGACAATAAAATTTTAAAAATCTTCCAATGAAATAACCGAACACTCAATATAAGTCTTTCGAAGGTAGCTCGACAATTTTAAATAAAAAATCATTATTCTGACGATGCAGACCTGAAAAGGCTGCGAAACGTCACTAAATAAATAAAGTTTCGTGCATTAACCCGTAAAAACTAGTTTTATTAAATGAGTGATGTGCGTGAAAACCTAAGAAACAGAAATAGGGATGTTGACAGGGCACTTTTGGACGCTTTTCCAAAAAATTTTTTTAACATCCCTTATTCGTTACTGAGCAGATTAGCTTACTTAGAACTTTACTCAGCGATTGTGAAACAGGCTAAGGTCCTGTTTTTTCTCTATTTCTTTACTGAAAAAACAACTATAATTTTATTTTGGACATAACTTATTATAATCATAATACTTAATGAAATTATTTTTAGGCCGATATCCGCATGATTGATGGATTCCATAAATTGAGAAATATGGTAAGGTTTGACACACCAAAAAGGGTATGTACTTAAACTAAAAATTAGATTTAGATAAGTGTAGAAGAGAATACGTCTCATTTCATTTCCATGTCGAAACTGACCTTGAGATTAAAGGCCTGATCCTGATGTCCGCTGCTGCTGTCCTGGTTATAAAATGGAGATTTGACTGGCTTTCGGGCGCCCGTTTAATACCTTATAATAGGGAGTCGAGGAACAAAATTTGCCAACCATCTCCAGTGTTTCTACATAACTTTAACTTCATCATCACCTCTTTATTTTTTTTACCTTACAACCTCAGGGCATTGTTAACGACATGATTTCTACCCTAGAGCTGGGCAAGGTTTTAAACAACAGTTACGATGACTATGGAGGTTTGTTAACAACACCGGCGCAAGCAATGGTTAGGGGTCTGGACAAACGTAAAAACCATGCTCGTGAACAAGCTTAGCCGGCACTGGCCCGGATAGAACCCGGGTAGAAAACGTCGACCATTTTGTTGTTTGTCTGTCTGTCAAGACCTTTTATCTCGGGAACGCATCAAGTTGAAATTGAAACCATATACTCAGGCCTACGGTCTCTTGAACCTATGGAAAATGTAATTTTTTTACTTGAGCAGTTTTTTTTCTATTGACATGGTAATTTAGTCACATAATTTTTAATTAAAAATAAATTTTATGAAAATTAATTAAAAATTTGTGAGGTATCTACAAATAATTTAAGTGTCAGATGAAGTCAATAAGCCCTGAATATGATTGTATCACAACACAACATTGTTCATTGTGCATGACTTCACCAGCCACAAGAACAGTTAAGGTCTTACTTTCATGAGTATCTTGACCAAATTAGATCTAGATTACAGTCAAATCATGAAATGTTTTATTCAAATTGAATTAATAAAAAGTTAAGAGTTTTGAGAATTATCTTCAAATGATTTGTTGCCACAACATAATTTGCATTAAATAGATATCAAAATACAAAAAAAGTATCCAAAGTAATTTTGTCTCAGAAAACTAGCTAGTTCTAAGTCAGGTAGGTCTCAGGCCAGAAACACTTCGCTATTAAATTTTTTTTCTAGTAAAACTTTCCTTTTGATTAAAACATCTAGCAGTTAAATGCTTAAAAATAAATAAAAACATAACTACAATTGCTATTTCTTCTTTCAAATGTTTAATACCTGAAAAAGTATTCATTTGACATTGTGGGCTACCTACAATGTGAAGAGATGGCGCTGCCTTGCAGCTTAAGGCTAGGAAAATTTCGACGCGGCCATTAGGGCCGTGGTAGCATAATTGGTCAGTGCATTTGCCAGGATTGCGAAGGGTGCGGGTTCGAGTCCCGTCCGCTGCCTGGTCTGCATGGATTTTTTTCTAGTAAAACTTTCCTTTTGATTTAAACTGATTAATAGTTTTCATTGGGTAATAAATAATAGAAAACCTGACTATCTCATTTTTTTCCATGATGAAACATTTAAAGGGTTCACATGACACAGGTTAGTGTTTTTAAATTCTAAGCATAGAATGTTTCATCGATGCAGATTGTGAATCTGTCTGTTTGTCAATCTTATAAGACTCAGCAACCAAATTAAATTAGTCTTTTTTGAAACATAAGAACAGTTTTATTTGTACAATTTTACGGCGTATGGTAACAATTTTTAGCCTTATTTTGTTTTTTTTATAGCCAGGTAGGCAAATGACTCTACCCCACCTGATGTTAAATGGAAGCCTATATTATAAGCCTTTATAGCAAAATAACAACAAAGAACAAAGTACTTATTCAGTTTTTAGCGCTTTATTCTAATTATCATCAAGACATACTAATAAGTTACTGTTTGTAAAAATAAATAAACAAATACATAATGTGTTTCAATTAATGCCAAATAAAACATGAAAATTAGATAATGTGCATTTAAGTTTTTATTTTATTAATCTATTTATTTTTATGTTTTTTAATACCATTACCCACTCAAACAAATATTTGCCAGGTATGTTTTTATAATGCTGCAATAAGATTGATTAACTATCACTTAAAACCCATATGATTTTTTAAATTCAAGCAAGATTTAATCATGTTGGAAGATATTGTTGGAATTTACAGATAATCTAATAATAAAGTAATGAGATAATGAGAAAACGGAACCTCAAGCGGTTTCCGTAAAATTACAAATACTTGCACTCTCGTCTCGTTGCATTCGTCTTTCAAGGTTAAAAGCAATCTTAGAACACTCATACCGGTTGACCTAAAAAGGTCATTTATCTGATACAACATGCTCCTAAACTGTGCCCAAAGGTGACATAATCCATTATTAATATCGTAGTAAATGTTAACAGTAAACAATTAACCGTGTATTTGACACCTACACAAGATAACTAGTGATTCTATAAATAATACGATCATGAAACTCTCACCTGTTGAGCAACTGGCTCTAATATACTTTCGATGATCTTCGTGTGGAAAACCGGCATGTTGATGTCGTTAGCACCTATCTACATGAGAGATAATAAACACAAATAACACTGATTTTACACAAATATTAACACAAAATAAAATGTGAACACAACCGAACAGCAAGAGAGACACAAAAATACTGATTTTGACGTTTACTCAGTGTTGCCAGCACTGACTTTTAAAAAAATACTATTCTGTAATCACCCAAAAAGTACTAAATAATTGAGTCGTATAGTATCAAAGGCGGCAAAGTAGGGCGAACCAAATATTTGGCAAATCAAAAAAAACTGTTTAGTCTCGTCTTTAAGGGAGGATAAAATATTGACATTTCACTAGGATTTGTAGTTATGATGAATGACAATTATAAAGATTCGATTCGAATTCGATAAACGAGCTTTAACAAAGTAAGTTTTTAACAATATCCGTATTTTAATATTGTGAGAGCTATATTTATACAATTAGGTTTTAAAAAACAATGATATTAAATTAATTTACAAACTTGATGTAGAACCTCTCCATGTATAATAAGTCGATCCTTTATGGTATGTGTAATACAATATCATTGCGTAAATCTTAGTTTTTTTGGAAGACACGGTTAATTAGACTGTTGCGATGACATTGCTGAATCTTACTATTAACGATTTTTTTTCTGGGCCTTCGCTAGCCGCTGCCGCTTTTTTACTAAGCTTGCTCGGCTTCCGCGTCCCAATCACAACATTAATTATAAATTATGCATAAAGCCGACAATACTATCTTACCTTGCTAACTCGCGTTTTCGCAAATTTTCCTATTTATTTTTGTAAGATTGAGAAATGTCTAATTATAAGTTTTATCGCAAAGCCCCAGTATTTTTGTGAAAATTTGATTTACCAAATCCTACGACATAATATACAAGAAATATGTACCTAGAAGCAAAGTAAAATATTTTTTTGTGCGCTAAGTTACAATTCCATTGGCGTAAATGGTTGATAGGTAGTCATTATAATAAAGGATAGTTTTTTTTGGAAACTAATAAAATAAGTAGCAATAGTGTTGATGATTAGATCTGTGAACACAGCGCGTATTAATTAATATTTTGCATTATTTAACTTAAAGTTCGGTCTAAGTAGATAAGATTTATAAGAAAATGAAAAATCTAAGGACACCTTTGTATTGTATTTAGATGCTGCGTGGTAAATGACATTTACTTGCCGTGAAAGTATGTAACTAACTCAGGGTAACTGAAGCCCAAACCAACGATAAATGTGGCTGGCAATGCCGTGATGGATAATTTTCTTCCTCACTTTACACGTTATTTTTGATATTCTGCCATCTAAACATAAGCATGCAATCATTGTAAATCTACGTTATAAAGGTATAAAGTTAATAAAACTAATCATTTTGTATCATAAATTTATTAATAATTTCAATCACTTAAATCTTATTTCTATCAAGTCTTTACATTACGTGCATTAGACAAGGTATGGCGTCTTGTAGGAATACTTAGGTACATGTTGAGAATTCCGTATAAACATATTTACTAACAAAATAACAATAAATAACGAATAAAAATAAATGCTATAAAAATTATCGATAAATTTGACTAGGAATATCACATAAAGTTTATTACGTCTATATTCGCTTATAGATAATAAAAAATAATAAAGGTTTACATTGTGTTGGAATTAAAAGTGTTTCATAGTTGTACTGCGTAGATACCACTCATGATGATAAATAAATTGATGTACAGAATAAATGCAATCGCCATTCTAACCTTACCTTTACATCAAAAATTGTATTTGGCTGTGCATTCAGTATTTTTATCAAAATATTCATTTCCTTTAAGAAATAATTACATATTTTTACATAAAGCAATTGAACACTGGAACTGGAACATTAAACTATTTGACAATTACGACGTTTGCCTTTTCTAATAATTTGGACACTAACTAAACAATACAAGAAAACTAATGGCAGTTTTTTCAGAACTTTATTACTGAAAAAAAAGATAATACTGATCTGAAAGCTAAAAAATACTAATTAATAATGTGCGTTTTACTAATATTCAAAATTATTAAAAATTAATTTCTGTGCACCGACACAGATCCAAATTCGATGTTAATTGAGAATAGTTTAGAATTTTAATAAATTATTTCATATTTGAGTACTTTTTACATTAATTAATTGCCTATATTTATTAACATTAGACCCGTGAGCGAACTTGTTAGTGATTTTGTTACGTCCCTATTTATGACATTTTTACTAAAACTTTACTAAAATATACAAATTCGATAAATTTGTATAATTAACCCAATTTACACATTGACATGACACATATATTTTTCATAAATAGTATTTATAAAGTTATAAGAGAATGTATTATTTTTTTCAATTTCTTTAGGTACATAACTAATTTCATCAGTTTTATTTAGAACTATTGTAAATGATCTAATACAATGACATGAAATTATAGGCATTTTGGATTAAAAGTGACAGAAATATAAAAAAAAGCAGATGGTGCTGATATTAAAAAAGGTTTAAATGCTTATTTTATTGGCCCTATTTTGAATGTTATTCAAAAAACATATCAGAGTGTTGTACGTAATTTAAAGAATGTTTAATGTCAATAGTGTAATATATAATAACAATAATCTATTTTCTTTAAAATATGAATGGTTAAAAATATTTTTCTTTGATATTTTTGTTGAAAATTAATTTTGGCATTAGGTATTGTTTTGGCATGACTCCATCTATTTGATTTTTTTCTTTGGTAGATTTTTCTCCATATGGCAACATTTGATTGGAGGCAAAGGACAATTTAGTTATCATTCCTTATCGAATGATACGAACACTATAAAGTTTAAATTATAAGTTGGACAATCTAATATTTACAAAAAATACTGCAGTACCTACGTTACAAATACTCGACAATATCGCATTTGATTGATATATTAGGGCAGCTGACGCCGTAGCTGAGGTTGAGGCCGTGCGGTTGACTCTTGTGGCGTTCCGTGAGCAGTTTGTGGAATATCGGCAAGATGGCGCATTCGAATAGCTCGGATTCTGAGCTGGCAGTGTACATTTTACGCTGCTCGACTGAATCCTGGCGTTTTGAGTCGCTTCTACTGTAATTGGCAGACTTCCTTTCCTCCCTCGTACTTGGTGATCCTGGACATGGATAAAAAGATTTTTTTTTATACGAGACAACAATAATTTACTCAACCTCCCCTGATGTTAAGTGTATGTGGATTCCCGTCGTAAAGATGGATGATGCGGCAGAAGGTGGCTCCAACCCCGTGGAGCCATGGAACCCTATCCATAAGCAGAAACAAAACACCACCGAAAAGTAGTGTTCTTTTACTGGTCTTCTATGAGGTGGAAGTTGCTTCCCCAGACGGATGCTTCAATTCGAGCGGAAAATCCGCTGTGCCCTACCGCTCTTAAAAAGATTCTGAACTAAAACCCGCCCCCTAATGCAAATTAGGTCCCGTTAGGTAACAGGATGTTCTTCTGCCGTATTTCTAGAAAGGCAGAGTACCTATTACTCTGCCTTTCTAGAAATTAGGATTCCCCGATTGAATTGGAACGCTTCGACATAATCTTCATCTTACTACTTCTATCTGACTTGGTATGTAATCTTCATCTTACAGAAGACTACAGCGGAAGAACACTAGCTTTGATTGTGTGTTTCCAGGGCTCTTTACCCCTTATTAATAAACGAAGATTAAGCTTGGTTCGGTTACTCCATGTTTTGTCTTTGATCATTGAATGACAAATCTCATTTGAGTGACATGAACAAAACACGGCATAACTAATTAACTAGTCTAGTCCCATACACAAACGCAGACATAACAGATATATTGAATACTTTAGACTAAACAAATAACGTATAAAAATCTTTATATATTTGTAACCAATATGGTATTAAGTTTGGAAGAGTTAGGTCGTATACAGAAAGAAAGCCGAAAGCCGATCGGCGCCGATAAGCACCGACACGCGCTGGTCCGAATAATAAATAATTTGTATTTGAATTATTATCCTTAGATTAAATCAATCTAAGTTATAATCTTTTTATAAATCTAATAACTTTATCTTTTATTAAATAAGCGCTAAAATTATTTGTTTCGTACTTACCGAATGGTGACAACAAGTCTTTCTTCTGGAAGGATTGGTTGTTTATGCCAATTGCCCCAATTTTTCACCAAACGGTTTTTCACTAAATCCAAAATGTAATAAAATGTATCTTGAATCATTGTTGTATATGTATAAAATCTTTGTTCATCAAATTTCAATTTTTTTACAATTAAATGATGGTATTCTCCGAAACGTTTCCTTTCTCTATTTATAGGATGTATAGCTGTTTTTCGCATTTTTAAATAAACATTTTCTAACAAAACCAAATCATCGTCCGATGAGTCCGACATTTTGCTTGATCTGCTTTAATCGGCTTCCTTTATGTAGGAAGGATCGGCGCCGATAAGCGCCGATCGGCTTTCGGCTTTCTTTCTGTATACGGCCTTAGGGTGCGGCCAGAGTGCACTCAGATTCAGAGTCAGATTCAGATTCTGAAAACAAGCGCGAGAAATAAACAGTGTAGTCTAAGCAGGTTGCCTGCTTTTTCTCGCGCTTTGTTTTCTGAGTCTGAATCTGAATCTGAATCAGGAGTGCAATCTGGCCGTACCCTTCGACTACACTGTTTATTTCTCGCGCTTGTTTTCGAAATCTGAATCTGAATCTGAGTGCACTCTGGCCGCACCCTTATGGAAGAGCGAGAGTTCCTGACTCAGGCAAATAAACTTGTCTACTAGGGATTCTCAAATATTGTATCACTAGCATAATATTAGTTATGGAAATAAAGTATTTTTGTTTTTTTTTAATTTAGTTAATTCAATTCTAAGCTCATTCCTTGTTTATTATATAAGAGGGGTTGGGATTAAGTAGGTATTATGTAGACAGTGCGAACATTGGTTTTGTAAGGGTATAAGGTATAGGGTATCTTACATAGTTAATATTTAAATGAATTTCTTGAATCAGTTTTGTTTATGTTAGTGAGTAAGGTTCCAGGTCTCCACGGGGTAGGGGATTGGGTCAGGGTAGGCAACGATGCGAATGATATAACATACATCGCAAGTAGTATTGCCAGGTCCGATTTGTTTTAAATCGGTACATGAGATCAAAACATCGGGATTTAGGGTTGCACGTCGGGACAGTAAATAAAAAACAAAGGGTTTTATTTATTGTGTTTTAAACTACAAGTGTAAGTATAGTATTATTTTAATTTTTTGATTAATCGGGACATTTAGCATCCCGATCAGGTACAAATTGGGACGCGTCCCTAGAACCCTGAAAATCGGGACGTCCCGCGCAAATCGGGACATCTGGCAACACTAATCGCAAGCGTTTATAGATTACTAGCAAACCAGTGAACCAAATGTTCACCAAAAAAAAAATGTATTTAATTAATTGAGAAGTTCGGAGATTTTGTGTGGTTTCGTTTTATATTCGTGATTTCTCGAAAACCGGAAGTGCTACGTCTATTCTTAACTTATAACTTAAACATTCTCTTTATCTATCTCTTACGGTTTGGCCGCTGAAACAGCACCACAGACAGACGGATGGACGGACGGACGGACGGACTTGTCTAATAGATAAGAGATGGTGGCCGCTTACCATCAGGTTTACTTATCATCAAACTAATTGTGTTGTATTTAGAACTTAAATAGTAAAAAAAATATAAGACTGCTCGCTAAAAAAAACTAATAATTCACTAATATTCGAAATAATAAAAAAATATGATTTGCAATAATTTAAGCTCACCAGTTTTATGCCTGGAAGCCACATTAGGACTGCTCTTGTGATGGTCAGGCCTGGGTTGATGGGCGTGGCTTAGCCGCGGGGAATCCCCTTTGGCTCTTTTCAAAGGCTCTGCTTCATGTCGCAGCCTCCTGGGGGTAATGTAATATAAAACTTAGAGCTTAAACATCGCATTGCAGGTAACCTACAATGTCTAGTGCATACCTTTAAAATTATTAAACATTTTAAAGAAGAAATAGCAATTATAGTGTAGCGAAGAGATGGCGCTGCCTTGCAGCTTAAGAAAGGCTAGAAAGGATTCGACACGGCCGTCAGACCGCGTTAGTATAACGGTCGGTGCATTCGCCGGATAGTGAAGGGTCAAGTTTAACATTGCAATCTATATAGTGTTAGATAACACTCGGTTTACTTAAGAAATTAACTTTATTAAAAAGACACATCACAAGGTTACAATACACAGAATGCCACGCACCCGCGCATAGGCGGGGAATCCCCCATCACATATTCTGTCAGTTTATTTTGACAACTAGTGCTGCCGAACTTAGCTAAACAATAGAGACGTTGCTACTCGATTTATTAAAATAAAACTAGTTTTAACGGGTTAATGCACGAACTTTTCAGGTCTGCATCGTTAGAATAATTATTATTCTGACGATGCAGACCTGAAAAGGCTATACGTATATGATGTGCGTGAAAACCTAAGAAACAAATATACTCGATTTATGTTCGGTTATTTCCGTCTAACAATAGATTAAAGAGAATAGAGAGTATCCTTACCTGGGGGATTCCTGTCTCCTAGCAGGGGAGTCCTGGTTTCGGCACACGCGGATGGTGTCGGGGTCAGGTTTGTAGTCTTTAGGGGGAGGGGGGGAGACCACCTGATGGGGCTCCTCGACACGGGAGGGGTCGGGTTTGTCTACCCTTTCGTCTGGATTAGGTCTTACCTGCAATAAGTTAATATTGTAAAAAAACAAACGTTTAAAAAAATGAGTCTGCTTATGACCACACGACTGAATTGAAACTTCTTTAACCTCATCTGTATGTATGTGTGTACAATATATACATGTATCTGTGTGTGTGTACAATATATGCATGTATATACATATACATATTTCATTTAATAGCTATAAGAGAAAGAGAGAAAGAAAATGTGCGCGGCACTGTTTTCTCTTGCTTACATCCCTCACTCACCTCCCGTTCGCCTAGCCCGAACACACTTTCTTTACGCGTAACGCATTCGCCAGCTTACCCCTCAAATCAAGCGTGCGTAAAGAAGTTTCACTTCAACAAACTTTTGTTTAAATGAAAAAAAGAATGGGTTTCTGTAAAGTCGGTTTACGGACGATAGTTTTACGTGATAACGTCATAAAGAAACATTGATGAAAAGCTAGCTCTGACGTCACGCGAGAAGAGATAAATGTGTAGGCGCCTCGGCTTGAGCCAATCGTGCCTCTCTATCGCTAGTTCCGCGCTCTCGTTTGCGCGCTCAGGCTCAGGGCCTTTCGCCTTACGGAATTGCTTTGGAATACGCTAACGCTTTCGATTTTATTTTGTTATTTCTGACCGCCGAAGGTTTTCAAATACCTCACGCTCATTTTTTAATATTGTTATTACCAATGCAAAAGAAAAAAAAAGAGCGCGAGGCATTTGAAATCTCAGGCGGCTAGAAAAAACAAAATGAAATCTTAAGCGTTAGCGTTTTCCAAAGTATTTCCGTTAGGCGAATGGCTCCCAGCCCAAGGAGAACGATCGCTAGGTACTAAAGCATTAGCCCGCCTGTCCCTGAAAATTTGTAGTATTTATAGTTCATTTTACAGCCACCAGCCGCGCTGCCGTCGGTAAGTAGTATCTGTATGTAGTATCCTATTCTAGCTTGCATATTTAATGATTGTGTTGACTGTGGTGTTTTTCCTGACCTCATGAAATACAGTCAAAAAACTCCTTTGCATAAAACGGGAAGTACATCAGACCCCACAAACTTTAGACCAATTTCTGTGCTACCCACCTTTAGTAAAATTTTCGAAAAAATCATGTTAGATCAAATGCAATCACATTTTAATAAATATAATATACTTCACTGTAAACAATTTGGTTTTACACGGGGTCGTTCAACAACCGATGCCGGTGTTGAACTTATACAACAAATTTTTGACGCCTGGGAGAACTCGCAGGACGCTCTAGGTGTGTTTTATGACTTGTCCAAGGCTTTTGATTGCGTTTTTCATGAAACATTACTCAGGAAACTCCACCACTATGGATTTAGAGATACTGATCTGGATCTTATTCCGTCATACCTGATGGATAGGATTCAAAGGGTTGACATTAAGGGCAATAAGTCTGCGGGTTCGCCGGTTAAAATGGGTGTTCCGCAGGGCTCAATCCTTGGTCCTTTCTTATTTTTAATTTATATTAATGACTTGCCTTACTACGTTAGAGATAAGCATGAGATAGTATTGTTCGCGGATGATACATCACTTTTATTTAAACTCAAACGTAAGGAAACAGTTATTGACGACGTGAACAGTTGTATCTCTAAGGTAGTCCACTGGTTTAATGTTAATAATTTATTACTAAATGAAGGAAAAACGAAATGTATGAAATTTGTATTACCTAATGTAAAACAGGTAAAAACCAGTGTGAATGTAAAGGATAGGAATATGGGCCTTGTAGACACCACAGTATTCTTAGGGATTACTTTAGATTCTAAGCTTCAATGGGGCCCACATATTGATAAATTGTCAAATAGACTTAGCTCTGCAGCATATGCCGTAATGAAGATACGCCAGTTAACGGATGTAGATATTTCCATAGTGTAATTTCGTACGGAATTTTATTGTGGGGAAACGCCGCCGACATTCAAACTATTTTTGTGTTGCAGAAGAGAGCTATTCGATCAATTTATAATCTTAAAGTTAAGGATTCCTTAAGAGATAGGTTTAAAGAATTTGGTATAATGACGGTCGCATCACATTACATTACTTGTAAGAAAAAATATTAATTTGTTTCTTAAAAACAGTGATGTTCACACACTTAATACAAGAAACAAAAATAAACTAACTTTACCTGCTACTAGGCTTCACAAAATCAATAATTCATTTAAAGGTCTTTGTGTTCGCTTATACAATAAAGTCCCAAGCAATATCCAAGAGTTAAGCATAAATAAATTCAAAGATAGTATAAAAAAAGCACTTATTAAAAAAGCTTATTACAAAGTGTCTGATTATATTACAGACAAAAATGCTTGGGTTTGAACTGTTCCAATCATTCCAACAGGTTTTCTATATTAAATAAATCATGATTGTATTGACGTTGTAACAAAATTATGATTTGTAAATGTTGTTACATTATGCTTTTAATGTTGTGGAGTTTTTTTCGCTCGTTTTTCTCCGCAGCTAAAAAAATATGTCCAATAACGAGTGGTAGGGAAAAAAATGTTTGGACGATTCAAAAGTGTTGTACTATACATCCAATTTGAATAAAGATATATTGATTTCTGATTTCTGTAAAGTTAGCTGTTTATTACTACAAGATGATGAAGGGTGTATTCCGAAATGTACATCAGTATACTGGCCAGTGGTAATGACGGCACGAATATATACTGGTATGCTACCAAATTTTTACTGGGAAAACGAATATGACGTATGACCGAGCGTGCGTGAGATGTATTGGAATTTTATTTCTTTTTTTTTATTTAAAGAATAATAATGGCATCCGAACAAAAAGAATTCCTTTTAATTGATGAGGTGAATAAAAAATCTTCTTTATTCGCATTATTTTTAATATTTCGTCAGTGCACTGGCCAATATATTTCGGAACAATTCACCAGTATAGCGTCCATCCATGACGTCATTAGCACTGGCCAGTATATTGGTATATATTACGGAATACACCCGAAGTTAGTTGAATATTGTACAAATTTTCTTCGCGGCATTGGTCATCTCAAATGAGCCCGCTTTTATTAAGACAACTTAGCGATCGCAGCGCCTCACTTATTTTGTCCATATTTCTGGGACACTATTTTCTACAGCGATCGTTCTCCTTATCTCTAACCTCCATGACTTAGGCGGAACGTGACACTTTTTCGTGCGTAGACGTTATCACGTCAATAAAGGCAAGGGTCAAATCGTAAATGACTAGATGTATGCCACCAGTAGACTCACTTGAGCAGATGACTGTCTCCGTTTGGCTTGATTCTGATGAGGCGGCATGCTCACTGGCTGAGGGAATTCGGAGCCCCGTCGCTGGAAATCATTAAACAATACAATTGATGAAAATTGTGTCGAGTGATTTCGAAAATTACTGTGTTGAAAAAATTTTTTGAATTTATACTTCTTTAGGCGCGTTATGAAAAAATTATGAGAGTGAATTTTTAAGATGCGCGCGCATCACTGTAACGCAAAAGTAACATAATGAAGTTAGCCGCGGGCGCGTTATGAAAAAATGATGAGAGTGAAATTTTAAGATGCGCGCGCAACACTGTAACAGAAAAGTAACACCATGAAGTTGGCCGCTAAACCGCACATTACTGGTAAGTCTCGAAAAAAAGCTTCCAACAAAATAGTAATAGGATCTCTTAGTCGCACATGTTGGGACGCTCGTCGCCTCTGATCACTGTTTTCATATTTATAATATTTATCCACATGTTTCTAGTTTCTATATTCTTAACACGTGTTATAATGTTATACAAATGCGAAATTTATATGTGCTAATAAATTTTATTCAGTAGTGATTTAAATTGAATATTTTGATTATTTATTAAATTTTTCAAATTAAAACTGAACTTTATTGACTGCGTTGACTATCCTTTTCCAATCCTTTTATTATCTTATTGTAATTAATTATCTGCATGCAATTAAAAACTATTTTTTAATAATTCCAAAAAGAAGTATAACTTCTCACGCGCGTACTTAAGTACACGCACCCATATTTTTTAATTATTAATTGTACGTTGTTATTCGAGAATTTATTATAAGAGGTTCGGCCACATAAATGTATTTTATTTCGCTCGAATTTATGAGTCCTTCTGGGAAAGGAACCACCTGCGTACAGTGAATCTACGACTTTGTATAGCAAGCTTTTATAGGAAAACTAAGGCCTGAGGGCCATAACCGGCCCTCGACTATAAAAAAAAATTATCATGCACGAGGACACATCTGAAGTGGAACTTCTTTTCTTAAATAACCTAACATTAGACGGTGCATAAGGCATAGGGGAATGGAGCAGCGCACGCATCATTCATATGTGTATATGTATCTAATATATAAAATTCTCGTGTCGCGGTGTTTGTGGTTAAACTCCTCCGAAACGGCTTTCCCGATTCTCATGAAATTTTGTGTGCATATTGGGTAGGTCTGAGAATCGGATAACCCCTAAATTTTTTTTTTCAATTTTAGATATTTTTTTTTAATTTTTATATGATACAGCATTAGTAAATACATATAACCCTGAATTTTCATCCTTCTACCACCAACCCCTATTTTTTTATGGCGATACGAAGTTTGCTGGGACAGCTCGTAGCGTTGCAGCCTTTTTTTTTTTTTAATACGCAGGTAAAAAATCTATTTACAGACGACGGCGCCTTTAAGAGGCACACCGCCGTACGGACCTCACACCTGGCTCCCGCAAGTCTTACGAACCCCCCAGTGGCTGCCCACCAAGAACCTCGTCGTAGCGTTGCAGCTTACGACCAGTTACCCTACAACTTTCATGGGAAGAGCTCCGCACGCATCCCACACACACACACATTGGTCTTTATCACCATTTAACATCAGGTGGGGAAGAGTCATTTGCCTAGTTGACTACATAAAAAAAGTGACTTGTGCAAAAATAGGCTATGTTAGTCGCTTACCAGACGGCCCATATGCCACCCAAAACCTTATTATTATACTCTGTCTTGCATCAACAAAAATGGGCTTATCTCATATACAGATCTCTTCCAGCCAACCTAGGTGGTGTCGGAGATTCCAAATTGAGCAGGAAACAGAAAGTGCAAGAAAAATTATAATAATAAAAATAAACCAGATTTATTTTCTCCATAATCATTTTAAGGTTTAAAATAACATTACAATATTATTAACAACTAGTGGCCCGCCCTCGCTTCGCTTCGGTGTAGAGCTGTAGTGTAAACTATAGTTTTTATTCTCAGGCTTGTGCTATAAAGAATGACTTTATTTATATAATTACACGTGTTATTGTGAGTCAACCATAAAAGATAGACATATGCTATTGCGGGATATTTTTTAGATAATTTTATGTAGAATATTTCCGTCATACATGATTTCTATGTAATTTTAACCATTAAGGCTGCACCCGCGACAAAAGCTTAAAAAATGGAGTAACTTCTCCCGTTTTCCCAACATTTCCCTTCACTACTCTGCTGCTATTGATTGTAGCGTGATGAAAAGTATACTATAACCTGCCCAGGAGTATGAAGAATAATTGTACCAAGTTTCGTTAAAATCCGTTGAGTAGTTTTTGTTTCTATAAGGAACATACACACAGACAGACAGACAGACAAAAATTTTACTGATTGCATTTTTGGCATCAGTATCGATCACTAATCACCCCCTGATAGTTATTTTAAAAATATATTTCATGTACAGAATTGACATCTCTACAGATTTATTATAAGTATATAGATATTTGGCTATTGGGACTGGTGCCTGAACTAAGGATAGAACCCGTTATGCAGGTCACCAGGTCGGCTGAATTTTTTTATTGCATAATTATATTTATATTTTAACGAAATAAAAAACAAAACCTCGGAGATTCATGATCGCTTTTAGGGCTCTTGTTTACATAGTTTTTTTCCCTTCCATACAAAATAATTAAATAAAATCCGTTACCTTTGCCAGTCGGTCTGTCATTCTGAGCGTTTCTGCTTCTCTGTAGCCTTCAGGCGTTCCACCTCTTGTTGTGCCAGCTGATGTAAAAGGTAATTTTTATGTTTACATTTTTTTAGCTACATGTTTTACCTGTATATAAGTGTGAACGAAAAATGAAGACTGTATAAAAATAGTTTAAAACATGTATTATACCTTGGTGTAAGCGAGGGGTAAGGGCTCTGGGTCGGATCCAACCTGATAGTTTCCAATATTGACCCGACTTCTTACTAATATTCGTGCCAAAGGACATTGTTCAGCGTCCATACATAGTTAGCCTAAGATCCAATAATCATGAAATATTCATTTCTAGGTTCAAAATCGTAAGTAAATGACTGTAAAAACAAAGATTATTGACGGACACTTCTGCGAACTTAAATTATTAGGAAAACTGGTAGGTTATGTTAAATATTCAATGAAACATAGGTCAATCTATGAATTTAGTATGAACTCAGTATGAAGTAAATTAATATTACAACTAATTCATTTTATTCGGAGCGATTTTAAAGAATAACTATTAGAAAAAACTTGGTTAGGTAGGAATCATGAATAAAATAAAAACTGTAGTTTTGCTTCTTATTTATTGACTATTTTATCATATTGTTTATTGTATTTATTTGTATATTGTGTAAATATGCAGCGTGAATGTGTATCAGGTGTTCTTGAATATTTTGGCAGTATGATCCTCTCAGGATGTTGTGGCACAGGTTCACTAGCACTTGGTAATAAGGGTTCTGCTCTTTGGTAACATCGATGGCATATTAGATAGCCGAAATAGTTAAATTAAAGGCAAAACAATCGCAAATAAACAAACACAACGGTAATCCGAAACGAGAATGCACTTTCCGGTATATTATACTACTCTTTGGAATGCACAAATGCCACAGATTACTACGAAAGCAAACTGCATGCACCACAACCACACAGTAACAAGTTTTATGCCGGCCCTTTACTTGACAACAGTTTGTCCTTGTCATGCTTAATAAGGAATGAAAAGGACAGACTGATATCATGTTTTAAAATAGCAAATACGAATAGCCAAGTGAAGTGCCGGCATTAGGAAGAAAGAGTGTTTTGTTTGCAGCGCTGCCATAGATTAGACACATAAAATGGTATTTATTGTCTCAGATTATTTTTTAACTTTTTAATTAAGCTTACTTAACTGGAAGTGTCCGTCACAATCTAAATACTGATAATTATCGCAAAAAATATACTAAGAATTATCATAAATGCCAAATTGGTGTTGGTTCTTAGGCCAATTTTAACATTGTCCTTTGAAGTAAATCCATGCAGTACTTTTTGAGTATATCCCGGACATATTACAGACAAAAATTCTAAAAACTATATTTTTGGCTTCGGTGTCGATTGTAGATCGCACCCAAGTATTCTTTTAAAAAAATATTCAATGTACAGTTTTGACTTTCCTACCATTTTATTATAATATATATACATATATAGATATGTCGCCTACGATTTAAATTGCTGTGAATTAGTTCCATATGCAAACTTTCGCCATCATTTTCACATATTTGACCATGTCGAGTTTGATTTTTGCAACAAAAAGCAGCCTTTATTATAGAATAAGGACTTTTTGTAAAACTAATTTTACAGGAAAACTATTCGAAAACATGGTTTTACATACCGTAATTTATAGAAGCGTTGGATGCTCTCCTTTCATTACTCCTGCTATCTGTTTCTCTGTGAATAGAAAAACAGTAATAATTATGATTTTATTTATTTTTTAAGCATTTAACTGCTAGATGTTTAAATCTAAAGAAAAGTTTACTAGAAAAAAATCCACGCGGACCAGGCAGCGGACGGGACTCGAACCCGCATCCTTCGCTATCCGGGCCAATGCACTGACCGGCCGTGAAGGGCCGTGGTAGCATAATGGTCAGTGCATTGGCCCGGATAGCGAAGGATGCGGGTTCGAGTCCCGTCCGCTGCCTGGTCCGCGTGGATTTTTTTCTAGTAAACTTTTCTTTAGATTTAAACAGTAATAAAATAGATAATACAAGAGAGGTAGTAGAATACAAAGTGGATTTCGTACGCCTGTTTGTGGAAGTTACCTCCTCCTTGGTGGAGGTAAGTTCCACAAATAATTCGAGTAGTAGTGGAATAGTGAAATAATACTAACTTTCATCTTCGTTCAATTATGTCAACTATTAAAGTTTCTAAAGGTTCACAGCGTAGGGGATTTGCTCAAGATAAGTCACGAGAGGTCCCAGGTTCGAATCCCGGTGGGGGAAGATGTTTGTGTGATGAATACGAGCGTTTGTACTCCAGTCATGGATGTTCAATATATATTTCTATAGTATACATATACGTGTACGTACAGTGTATGTATTCTATCCGTTATCCTAGTATTCCTTAACACAAGCTTACTTTGGGGCTAGGCTAATTGGTGTACCTAAGTCTTGGAAATAATAGCACTAGCACTTGTCGTAAGTCGCCGTTTTCGCTTCGGCGCAGAATAACTTTCTACGAAAACAATATTATAGTTTTTATTCCCATGCTTGAATTATACATATTCCATTTCGTTCCACTCCATGCAAAATATCTTAATGATCAAGAAAAATGCATGAAAACCTGGAGCTTTACTCTCTTTCTCGGTAACGAACTAATTTTAAACGAAATTTCACCATTGACTCTACTCTATTTCATTTTCGAACAGGCACATTAACTTCGGTACCATAAACAGTTTTCGTGAACGAATGGAATGAGTCATATTTGTGAGTTCTTTTTATCTCTACTTTTAAGAAAACGTTTTTTTACTTGGAAACAATATAGGTAGTTTACGGCTTTGATGACATTGAAAGAACCTTCTTTGACAGTGTTAGCCGTCTAATTTGTAGAGTCGATACAATCTACTGTATGTCAACCTAAATTTGTCGTTTAATACTTTGAAGTATTGATATTACAATAAATAATAAAAAATGGTTTATTTGTTAATTTTACATGCTAAAAATGTTTCTCGAGCTAAGCAGCAATTATTAAAAATACTCTTGCAAGTATTTAAGGCTTAATTAAAACAAAAATCTCAAAACGAAAATGAAAAGGTAACACTTTTCATTTCGTCAATTTGAGGTTAAAATTTCGAACAATTATCTGTCAAATTCAACTTTTCCTTCAAAATTTTTGTGAATTAGAGTAGGCTTAGAGAATTTAATTGTCAAACTATTTCGGACGAACGAACTTTCGAAATGAAAAGTAAACAGAGTAAGGAACGTGCGAAATTTCGATCGAAATTTCGTTTTTCGTTGAAATAGAGTAGGCCTCCTGTTCGGTGGTTTTTGAGATAAATGCCGAATATATTTAATTAACCTTATAGGAAACCTAGGTATACATATAATTTTTATTTTTAAGCATTAAACTGCTCGATGTTTAAATCTAAAGAAAATATTACTAGAAAAAATCCACGCGGACCAGGCAGCAGACGGGATTCGAACCCGCACCCTTCGCTATCTGGGCGAACGCACTGAATAATAATATGCTACCGCGGCCCTAACTATAATGGTCAGTGCATTCGCCCGGATAGCGAAGGTTGCGGGTTCGAATCCCGTCTGGTGCCTAGTACGCGTGGATTTTTTTTTAGTAATATTTTCTTTATTGTATTGTCACAAACGCTCTCGAAACGTAACCGCGAAAGTGCCAGAGATCGAATTTGCCAGATCACCGCGGGTCGCGATAGAGGTCGAGTAATGCGGCTCATTCTAAAATGAGCCTTATGCAGTGCGGCGTAAGGGTGAAAGTGCAACGACATCTGCATTTGTTTACAAGTTATGCGCGTTACCTGCGTAGGTATAAGTAGGTATTTCGTACTCGGGGGTGCTAGCTAATTCTCAATTTAACAGGTACTTTCTAGAATGCGTCGATCGGCGTATAAAAGCGCGATTGGCGCCGCGCAGTGACAGTTGAGTTTCAACAGCGATTTCGGAGCAAATCCAAAGGCGATCTAAGTGCAACAAAAGTGTTCAAGTGAGATTGTTTAGAGACTTGTATAGTGAAATACAGTGTTTAGTGAGTGTTTTGTAATTAACATTGTGTGTTAATTGTGTGAACTGTGTGGTGAATAAAGAACTGTCAAGCGTGAACTGGCATATAATTTCGAACCCCATCCCGACACGTAACAATATTTAAAGGTATAAATGCTAAATATTAAAAGCAGTAGCAACACTAATGGTTATATACCGGTTATGGTTATAGGGAACCGGCAGAGCCATCTCTTAGGTGGTACTAACTGTAACACAGTCCTCTCGCCCACAGACAACGCCCGTAGACTGCCCCTACGGCTAAATAGAGGCGTAAGGCCGGCACGCTATTGCGATAATAATGATTAAAATAGGATAGTTTGGTATCCGTTAACGGGACGCGATACTTTTTGGTTATAACAAGCACTCCTGCGCGTGCAATTTATATTTAAGCAGATATTTGTTATGAAACCTTTTATGTAATTTATGTTTTTGCATTCATTAAATTCAGAATAAGCCATTTGAACATTATGTTGTAAAATCAAATCAAAAAGCGCGCGCTTTCGTGACTTCCTGTTACACACTTCCGTCCCATTTCACGAAATCACTCCCACAAATTGCAGGAAAGCGAAAGCAAAGAAACACATCGAAAAATGCATTTTTTAGGAATAAAGCTGCCACCTGGACGTCCTAGATAGAGACTTAATATGTTTCGTCCAATATGTTATTATTGAAAGTCAACAATCTTTCCAATTTTATTGTTTTCGTCTTACGAATTTTCGATTAGGTCAAGTGTCCTGACGCGAGTTTATAATTTTTTACCCATTACAAAAAAGTGTACAACGCCACTAAAGAAGTTTTCACTTCAAAAAACCGGCCAAGTGTGTGTCGTGCCACGCGCAGTTTAGGGTTTCATAGTTGCCTGTCGTTACCACAATAAATTTGAGCAGGATTCTTTATTTTCTGTAGCGGAATAAAAAAAAAATGTCATTGAACTGTTTGCCGTCTTATTTACTAAACAACAATATTGTTTTATACCTGTGATGATGTGGTGATGTTTGCTGGCGACTTTTCTCCGACACACTTCTCTGCATCGGAGAATGGTGATGGGTGGCTTGAAACAATTAAACCAGCTCAATGACGGACATAACTCAAGCAGCCCTACAGTTTACACTACCCTTAGCAGGAACCATTTTCGAATTCGAATAGTTTGCGAGTCCGAAATGTCATTATCAAATTCTGTATGGAAACTTGAACAGCAGCGCCATAACGGACGTAACGAGAACTAAAAATCAGTACACATGATCCATGGTCATGGTGGTGGTGGTTGGTTTGAGTGTTGGAAATATTTATTTCTGAAATTTTTTAAGAACTTTTGTTATGCAATATTGTTGGTTCTTTGCGTGAACTCTGACTTCGCTAGCGTCTCTAGAATATGATGATAGCTTAACACCAGCTTTTTGAAGTTATACTTCTTTAGGCGCGTTATGAAAAAATTATGAGAGTGAAATTTTAAGATGCGCGCGCATCACTGTAACACAAAAGTAACATAATGAAGTTAGCCGCGGGCGCGTTATGAAAAAATGATGAGAGTGAAATTTTAAGATGCGCGCGCAACACTGTAACAGAAAAGTAACACCATGAAGTCGGCCGCTAAACCGCACATTACTGGTAAGTCTCGAAAAAAAGCTTCCAACAAAATAGTAATAGGATCTCTTAGTCGCACATGTTGGGACGCTCGTCGCCTCTGATCACTGTTTTCATATTTATAATATTTATCCACATGTTTCTAGTTTCTATATTCTTAACACGTGTTATAATGTTATACAAATGCGAAATTTATATGTGCTAATAAATTTTATTCAGTAGTGATTTAAATTGAATATTTTGATTATTTATTAAATTTTTTAAATTAAAACTGAACTTTATTGACTGCTTTGACTATCCTTTTCCAATCCTTTTATTATCTTATTGTAATTAATTATCTGCATGCAATTAAAAACTATTTTTTAATAATTCCAAAAAGAAGTATAACTTCTCACGCGCGTACTTATGTACACGCACCCTTATTTTTTTAAAACAATTATGTATGTAGAGGAAGCGAAAGAGGGTTACCTAGATTGTAACAAGAGGAGAACAACAGGGGTAGGGGTCTAAAGGGTGTTTCCCACAAAGACTTTTGTATATATAAAAAAAACCGGCCAAGTGCGAGTCGGACTCGGGCACCGAAGGTTCCGTGCAAACCTGAATTTTCAAAAATATTTTTGAAGTTATACTTCTTTAGGCGCGTTATGAAAAAATGATGAGAGTGAAATTTTAAGGTGCGCGCGCATCACTGTAACACAAAAAATTAAAACTTTTGTGTTTACCGCACATTAAGAAAATCTACCAACAAAATAGAAATAGAATCTCTGTTTTGTGGGTGCTAACGACTGCATTGTGAAGGCCTATCAAAAGTATTTATTAATCTGGAACAACGGAACCAAAGCGCGATTCAGGAGACTACAGCGCCATCTCTTGACCATTGGTGTAGTAGAACCAAAAACCACATCTTTATTTTTTGTAATAAAGTAACAAAAAGTATTTATTAATCTGGAACAACGGAACCAAAGCGCGATTCAGGAGACTACAGCGCCATCTCTTGACCATTGGTGTAGTAGAACCAAAAACTACATCTTTATTTTTTGTAATAAAGTAACAGTTATAGGTATTCATATTTATAATATTTATCCACATGTTTCTAGTTTGTATATTCGGAATACGTGTTTGAGTTTCATACAAGTGCAAATCACATATGTTCTAATAAATTATATTCAGTAGCGATTTTAATTGAATATTTTGATTTTTTATTTATTTTTTCAAATTAAAACTGAACTTTATTGACTGTGTCCTTTTCCAGACTTTTTATTAATTTATTGTAATTAATTATTTGCATGCAATTAAAAACTAATTTTAAACGATGCCAAAGAAGGATAACTTCTCACGCGCCTACATAAGTACACGCACCCAGTTTTTATTATATGATGTAACCAAAAATTTACGGTTTTCGCAATTTTCCCTTTATCTGTACTATCAGACGTTACTTCGTACCAAATTTTAAGATTCTAAGTTAACCCTGTAGGTTTTGATTCCCGTGCGAGTTTCGAAAATTTGCGGAAATCCGCGGCATAAACGGCTGTATCTTTTGATTGCTTTGGCTTAAAAGTTTGATTTTTTCACAGCTCCAAGGGACAGTAGACATGAGTATTAGGTATGAATTTCAGTTTGATATCTCCACGCGTTCCTGAGAAAAATGCTCTTGACAGACGGACGGACAGACGGACAACAAAGTGATCCTATAAGGGTTCCGTTTTTGCCTTTTGAGGTACGGAGCCCTAAAAATGGTCTTACCAGGCGGGGACTTCTGGCACGTGTATTGGAATGTGTTCGTGTCCCACAGGTCACTCTGCACCACGATAAAGTTCTCTTTCTTTCTTCTCTCCGAATCTCTTCTTTGGCCTGTGGCGTGAAAATAATTATAATTGTATTGCGCGAATTCAGCTATATCTGTAAGTTAACAGTCTCTCCTAGTTTTATTTAAAAAGTTTAAATAATCTGGAGAAGATTGTCGATTCTGGCGTGATTCACTAAACTTAAAACTAAATTTATCATCAATCTCTCCATTTCATTCTGTATAGTATAGAGAATGACAAGGATACACTGTTGTCAAGTTTAAGTTTAGGTTTAGAAAATCATGCCAGAATGACACCAGTATGAAAATAAACTTACATGACTTTCGTTTCTCTGCTGAAGAATAGTCGAGATCTGTGTCCAGTATATCTTCTGGTTCTTGTTTGTGCTTCGTTGGAGGTGGTGGGTCTCTCTCTTGTCCTAAAACAAGAATAGGGGTGATGACGGGGTACAGTAAACGAAATTTTATTGAGTCCGTCAGTTGGCTGATCAAAAAATAATGGACACGTATTTTTTCTTTGGGCAATCAACCAAAAAATGACAAAGTTATAGCGCGTCAAAGTTTGGGAATAGGGGCTCGTGACGTCACTTTTGAGTGAAAATTGTACTTGTTTCATTTTTAAACGTGACGTCATGCGAATATTCATATCAATATATCTCTGCAATGTTTATATTATGTGAAAAAAGAAAAAATACGTGTCCAATATTTTTTATGACGGACTCAATAATAATGTACCTGATAAACGAAGAAAAAAAATTAGTCATCATCCCTTTTATTACTAATGTATCCTAATCAATCAAAGCCATTATATTAAAGCAAACGTTAGACCAAAATGTAATCGAATTACCTACTCATCGGTAATTGATGACATTCTAAAGAATATTTTACTAGAAAAAAATCCATGTGGACCAGGCAGCAGACGGGACTTGAACCCGCACCCATCGCTATCCAGGCGAATGCACTGACCATTATGCTACCGAGGTTCTGATGGCCGTGTCGAATTTTCGCTATTGTTTCTTAGACTGCAAGGCAGCGCCATTTAACTCTTCGCATTGAATTTTTCAAGCATTTAAATGCTAGATGTTTAAATTTAAAAAAAAAACTACTAGCATTTAAATAGTTAAAAAAAAAAAAATTTAATTAAAATTTTCTTTAGATATAATAGGGGTGACGAACGTGCGCACTCGGACTCGGAAGCGGACTTGCGCGTCCGAGTCCGAGTCCGAGTCCGTACGGCTGAGCTGTATTGTTGTCCTTTTCTTGAACAAAATGGCGATAACGTAAATAACAACATTCACGACAAACCGTAATTTTGGAGAAAAAAATATTTTTACAGTTTTACGAATAATTATAAAAGCATCAAAGGCATTGTGTACGGTGCAATGACCGTACATTCTGCGCGGTCAGCGGTTTACGCCCTCGGCGACAATTTTATTATAATTGTAAAATCAGTTCACAATCAGCAATCAACGTGTACTCATTGATCATTATATTTTAGCAATATTTTAACATAAGTTGACGTGTAACTTTACATATCAATAAACGGTTAAATATCATTTTTATCTATCATTTAATATACGGGATCCGTACACATGGTTTTATTTTTATAACGTAGATTTTCCCAATATTGTTATACTGAGTGCACATGGCGCGTGTTTGAATGTCCAATTGTGACTAAAGCGAATTGTGGTCATGCACCACAATTTAAGCGGATCACTTTAGAGCCGCGAGTGCCGTATCTTCCCTTTTTGTTTTAATCTAAGGGGTTGCCAGATCCAGAAGTCACAATATCAGGTTAACATTTTAAAATGTTGGGATTGTTGTCGGGTATTACATCCCCAAGCTGGACTTAATACTATAGATAAGATAGACAGGTTCAGGGCACAGGGAAAAAACGACACGTGCATCGTCACGTTTGTTTGTCGGGTGATTTCGTTATTTGTCGGGAGTCTAGAGATTATATCAAATGTCGGGAGAATCCAGACGATTCACGACCATCTGGCAACGCTAGTCGCGGCGCGTTCTCCTTATTCCATTCATAGGTGTGTGATCCAGCAGTGGGCACATTAACAGGCTGATGATGATGAGTGACCTTTTTGGAGTTTACTCCTTAAGAATCGATTTGCATATATAAGGGGCCCGGTATGAGAAAAATGTGAGGAGTAAAATCTATCGATGAATGACCTCGTTACGTTTTTGGTGCGCATCCTATGTCGCGCAACTTTGACAAACAAAGATGACGGATTGACATTAATAAAATTTTTAAAATCTGATCTGAATTTAGATATTGTTTCTGATAGAGCAATGGGGACAACGAGGTATGGTACAACCATTGATGCGGTATTTTCAAGATTCGTGAACCACGTATCTACGAACGTCCATGTGTCTTATTTTAGTTACCATAAACACTTGTCACTTTAATTAATAATGCAGACAATGTTGATTTAATTAATATTTTAAAAAAATGATAATAGTCTGATAATAATCTCTTATCTAATAGACAAGTCCGTCCGTCCGTGGTGCTGTTTCAGCGGCCAAACCGTAAGAGATAGATAAAGAGAATGTTTAAGTTATAAGTTAAGAATAGTCTGATAAGACTACAAACCGGATTTGAGTAACGTAGCACTTCCGGTTTTCGAGAAATCGCGTGATTTCTATGTCAAACGAAACCACACAAAATCTCCGAAGTTCTCAATTAATTAAATACTTTTTTTTTGGTGAACATTTGGTTCACTCGTTTGCTAGTAATTACATAATTTATCAACATTCCTAATGATATATTTATCCACATCTGAAATTGACTAGTGTAAAAAGTTTAATGTAAAATATTTCGTCGATTAGTTATAATAAATGTATATGAAATGAATAAATATATATTTATATATTATTTTCATTAATTTGTTAATTTACGCTTTCATACAGTATCTATCTTTTTTAAGTTAAATAAACTCTTTTGCGTCTGGTTAGACTATCGAACTTAAGCAGTAAACTCCAGTCGTGCGTCGGAGCTGACACACACATTTTTTTTTCTTGGCGTTGAAATGACTGACTGACCTGACCATGGTGCGGGTGGTTAGCGCGTGCGGCTGTGATCGCTGACGCTAAGCAACTTGCGCAGTCGGTCATTGGATGGGTGACCAAAAATTTTCTATCTCGAGTTCTTCCGTGCTTCGGAAGGCACGTTAAGGCCCTTTTCACATGCACACGGTCACGGCACGGGCGCCATGCCGTGCAATCGTGCTAGCTCTTTCACATGTATACGGCTTACACACGGTCGCCGGCTATGGATGTTGCAGTATTATCGAGAATTTTGGGGAACGACTACGTCTTTTATCATGGAACAAAAAAAGATTCTTTTCATTATCATCTAATTCTTCGAAACTACTATTTAATCCTATACATACTTCTTTCCACGGTTCTTTTGTCTCGTTCCTGTTTTTATAAGACGCGATGGTTTTATCCCATAAAGTAGGACGCGCTTCAACTAGCGAAATCAACACATCAACATCGATTTCGACAGACATTCTGCAACAATCGTCCGTCCGTTCCCCTATGACTTTAGCTGACGAATGGTTTTTGCGCTCGCCGTGCCGTACCGCGCCCGTGTTCATGTGAACTCGTCTATACAAGTCCATACAAGACTATAAAGACGGTTGCCGCGTCAAAACCGTGCTTAGGGATGTTCCGATACCATCAAGGTATCGATACCTACTCATTTCGATAGTACTCAAATCTTTTTTCGATACTACTTAAATAAATACTCCTAAAGTATCGATACTTACTGATATCAATACTTTTAGCACTTATTTTTATTTATTTTTTACTTTGAGGAAACTAAAGTAAAAACAATAAACGTTGAAGAACGAAAATTAAAACAAAAGTGAGAAAAAACGAGAATATAAATGTTTTGCGTCACTTTTTTTTAACATTTTAGGAATTCAAAGGGATTATTTAATATTTAAGGAGAGCAGTCGCAAAAAAGAAAAGTATAGGATCCTACCTTTCATTGGTCCCTTTATTTGCTTTTTCTCTAATTTGCCTTTATCCAAAGTTCACACAGAATTCACAGACTTCATTGTTTACATTTTGCAATTGTTTCGTTTGTTTTGGTAAAATTTTATTGATTTTGGTGGTGCCTATGTGCGATGAATACCGGTAACCGAGCGAAAGGGCTTTTGCTCTCTCATACTGTCTGCGTTCGGAAATTTTATCTTTTTTAAATGGTGATGCTGATTCGATTTGATACCAAGTACTTTTGTTTCGATACCGAGTATTTATCGCAAGATTGATTCGATGCTATAAATACTTGGTATCGAATCAAAAGTATCGAGTATCTACTCGTATTTACTAGTATCGGAACATCCCTAACCGTGCTTATAGTGGATAAGGACGGCTGACACACGGTCACGGCACGGTCGCCGTGCAATGTGAAAGCTCTCATTGTTGCTCATACATTACTATTTTACACGGCACAGCAACCGTGCCGTGTCCGTGTACATGTGAAAAGGCACTAAGTCGTTGGTCCCGGCTGCATCCGCAGTCCTTAGCTAATCCCCACCAAGCCAATACCCAATCTCTTCATTCCATCCACAGGGAAGACCTGTGCCCCAGCAGTGGAGACATTAATAGGCTGATGATGATGATGATGATGAAATGACTGACTGACCTATGACCGTCCTCTCTATGACGGGCGGCACGTCGTCGTTGTGCACGAGCTGGGCCAGCATTGAGCCCTGGCTGACGCTGGAGGTGCGGCGGTGACCCCTGGACCTCTGCTCCCGAGACGGAGTGCTCTTCGATACTGATTCTTGGGACTTAACCACTTTCTTTTGGAGTTCAGGAGTCTGTTTGTTAAATAAATAAAAATAAATATTGCTAACACCCACACACATTAGCTTAGCCTCAAAGTAAGCACTGCAGGCTTGTGTTATGGGATAGAATAATGTACTGATACAAATATGTCTAGTATTTGCGATGAATTTTAAATACATATATATTTTCAAAAACAGTACACGTAATTCTTATATGTGTCGTTACTTACACCAACGTTTATAACAAAGAGTTCTCTGATTTGGATCTTTTTAATCTATCTATCAATAGTTTTGAAAGAAAACTAAATAGTATATTGATGGAAAAACCAAAAAAATAGAAAGAGGTTAGTAGGGTTATCATAGACCGGTTTGTACGAGAACCGAAGTCGCTGACTCGCCCCTACTACATTTCGACCTATTAGGGTAACAATCGAAGCAATCAGCGCTCACATCCAAGAACAACGACGCATTGAGAACCAATTTTTGGTCAAGTTATGAGCATTTGCTCACACATCACTGTGGCAAGGCTGCCCCGTCCACAACGCCCTTCTAACCTCTTTCTATGTTCTGTGGTCTGATCTCTTACCAATAAGCAAATATAACTCATGTCATGATATAACGAATTTGGATTGCGATCTAGACTGCCACATTTATTGCAAAGGTGGGCTCATCTCTAAAAGAGATCTCTTCCAGCCAACCTAGGTGGTGTCGGAGATTCCAAACTTAGCGGGAAACAGAAGTGCAATATAAATTAAACTAAAAATAATTAATTACTACTATACTTATTTATAATATATATATATATATATAAATAATATATATATATATATATATATATATATATATATATATATATATATATATATATATATTACATATAAGCCTGATAAATAAATACTAATATACGAAACAAGATACTTCGTGAAGAAGATTCATTAAATTTCTTATTTCAAAATTTGTTACCAGATGGTTTATTTACAAAATTATAATACACTACTTACATAGAAATAAAATAACAACAACTTAAAAACTACTTAATGTATAAAATTTCAATACAAATTACCTTAACCTACTTATAAATAATATCTAATTTACAAAATGAAAAATAAGTCACCCTCAGCGCCGCCGTCAGGAATGGTGCTGGCAGCATGGCCACCAGTGCCGTCTTTGACCTATTGAAGGCCCTGGGCATATTAGGATAATGGGGCCCCTATGACCCCCGTTTGGTGATCTAACAGGAACTAGGGACTCTGTATTTGATCTGAAGTGGGCCCCTATCGATCACGGGGCCCTGGGTAAGTGCCCAGCCTTTCCCAGTGGGCACTTTGGGTAAGTACCCAAAGTGCCCACTGGGAAAGACGGATCTGATTGCCACGTTGAATGGGAAGACTGATCCGTTGACCAAGGTAACTGCCAGCTTTTTGGTCAAAATTTTAAATATATTTACCTTTACAATTTTCGGTGCTGCTGCTTTAGTATACATGGGCTCTTGGACTTTAGCTGGCACGGATTTCACTGTGGGAGCGTCACTGGACTTTAAAGCTGAGATAGTTTTAGCTTCGGCCTTCGCTGGTTCAGGTGTCTTGTTGGGTTTTGTTGCAGCAGGCTCTGAAGGTTCCTGAGCAAGAACAAAGTTAGAATAAAGACAATTTTGTCAGAAAAAAAAAACCATTCGATCCAGGCATTATTCTGCGTAAAAGCACGCACTAATTGTCGTTTTGGTGGGGGTTTTTCTTCTACCATTTGATATTTTCACATTTAAATCAAAATTAATATTTTATATTTATGACATGTCATCGGCTTTTTTCCATCTGCTACTCGATGATACGGGGCGAGTTTACAAAGTGCTAGCAAACTCGCTGGCTTGTAGCTTGTATACTCGCCCCGTATCATTGGCTTTTTTACCAATTGCTCCTCGCCCCGTATCATTGGCTTTTTTACCATCTGCTACTCGCCCCGTATCATTGGCTTTTTTACCATCTGCTAGGTACTCGATGATACGGGGCAAGTTTGCAAGCTACTAATAAACTCGCTGGCTTGTAGCTTGTAACTCGCCCCGTGTCATCGAGGCTTACCTCAGCAGTCCATCCATATGGCAATTTAGCTAGCTGATCCTTTTCTGGCACTGCTTTGGAAGACGGTGGGCTGGTGTAGTCCAAATGGTTTTTAAACGATACATTCTTGGTCTGCTCTTTCTTGGGTTCTTTCGGAGGAACTTCTTTCACCGGTTCCGGTGGAGCTGAAGGTTTGGGTCTGAAGAAAATTCAGAGGTTGTCACAAAATAATTAAAGGAGATAATTTTTTAGGGTGATTTTAATAAATAGTAGTAGTTACAGAAAAGCTTTATGCAGAAACTAGAGATTATCTTTATATATATAATTCTTCTGTGAGTGTGTATGTCACTGAACTTCTCTTAAACGACTGGACCGATTTTGATGAAATTTTTTGTGTGTGTTCAAGGGGATCTGAGAATGGTTTAGATTCACAAAGACGTGTAGACAGGACAACGTCTGTCGGGTCCGCTAGTATCTTTATATATATAATTCTTCTATGAGTGTGTATGTCACTGAACTTCTCTTAAACGACTGGACCGATTTTGATGAAATTTTTTGTGTGTGTTCAAGGGGATCTGAGAATGGTTTAGATTCACAATTTTGTCCGCTGGACAACCCCTATTTTTTTAGGGCGGTACGAAGTTCGCTGGGTCAGCTAGTATATAGGTATTTTTTTAATATCGAGGCTTTCACAGAATCTCCAAAAACATAACTTCTTAATTCTTTCATTTATAATTCTATACTCAGTGTCTAATAATAATCAGGAATCAATAATGGTACTAGAAAATTCATATTTGTGCCTTAATAAATTTATAGTGAGTGCAACTACGCGTGTGCCTTCCCACGTACGCTTGTATCGTCCTACATGTGCTGCATTATAAGTTTGAATCGCATTTGAATAAATCATAATAATAAATATTCTTTATTGCACACAACAAAGGACACAAGACATAAACAAATACAAGAGGAGAAAGAGTACAATAGGCGGCCTTATTGCTTAACAGCAATCTCTTCCAGGCAACCTATGGTGGAAGAGGAATAATAATATAGATAAATATAGAAGGGGGCAAAAGTAAATACAGGAGATATCCTTACATAAATGTTCAAGAGTAGTAATGAAATGGGATGCTAAATGAATTTAAGAAACGGAAAGGAAATAGCTTTTTTAACTTGATTACTAAAAGAATTAAGTGAACGAGCCTTTCTGATTCCTTCAGGGAGAGAATTCCACAGCCGAGCAGCGTGCACAGAAAAGGAATAAGAAAAGAAGTCAGAAGAGTGACAGGGAATTTCAAGAAGAAGGTTAGAAGAGGATCGCAGCGAGAGCTGAGAAGAAGAGGATAGACATATATATATATACTAGCTGACCCAGCGAACTTCGTACCGCCCTAAAAATATAGGGGTTGTCCAGCGGACAAAATTGTGAATCTAAACCATTCTCAGATCCCCTTGAACACACACAAAAATTTTCATCAAAATCGGTCCAGTCGTTTAAGAGAAGTTCAGTGACATACACACTCACAGAAGAATTATATATATAAAGATACTAGCAAACCAGTGAACCAAATGTTCACCAAAACCTGATTTCACGAAAACCGGAAGTGCTACGTTACTCAAATCCGGTTTGTAGTCTTATCAGACTATTCTTAACTTATAACTTAAATATTCTCTTTATCTATCTCTTACGGTTTGGCCGCTGAAACAGCACCAAAGACAGACGGACGGACTTGTCTCCTTCTCTCCCCACTTCAGTTACCCTTTCTACTGTTTCTGCTATTGCTTCCATGGCACCTTCTACAAACGATTCATTCTGCTTTCGTGCAGTCACCGAAGAGGAGGTTCGTAAAATTGTGCTCTCAATAAAATCCAAAGCAGTTGGTTGTGATGACATCGGGAGGACTATGATCATGTTTATACTTGAATGTATACTTCCCAGTCTGACTTTTATTATAAACTTCTCTCTTTCTTCTAGTTCCTTTCCTTCCATCTGGCAACATTCCATTATTATCCCTATTCCCAAAAACACTTCACCGTCCTCTCTAAGCCATTATCGGCCCATTTCAATTTTACCGTTTTTTTCTAAGATTTTAGAAGCTGCCGTACATCATCAACTCTCTTCTTTCATTTTTCGTCATAGGATGCTTAGTCCTTTTCAATCCGGGTTTCGACCCGGCCATAGCACAACCACTGCCCTCCTTAATGTCCTTGATGACGTTCGTTGCGGCATGGAGAAATCGCAGTTGACAGTAATGGTCCTGATTGATTTTTCCAACGCCTTCAACATGGTCAACTACGACATTCTCCTTGCAATCCTCACTCACATGGGGATCTCTTCTTCGGTGAGGACCTGGTTCTCTTCCTATCTTCGTGGTCGCCAGCAGGCGGTTCGTATTGATCAAAGTATATCTAGCTTTTGCGATATTACTGCTGGTGTTCCACAGGGCGGTATTCTCTCTCCTCTTCTTTTTTCACTTTTTATTAATTTTCTTGCTTCCTTGATTCAATCCTCTTACCATTTGTATGCTGACGATCTCCAACTCTACGTTCAAGCCGATAGGCATAATTTAGGCTCTGCTATCACTCGCTTAAATCATGATCTACAAAGAATCTCTGACTGGTCCAACTCCTATGGTATCTTTGTAAATCCATCGAAATGCCAGGCCATTATTTTGGGTAGTTCCCGTCAATTGGCTTTGATTGATTCAAGTAACTTGAGCTCGATATTGTTCAACGGTAATGTTATCCAATATCTTCCCAGTGTTAAGAACCTGGGTTTACTTATCGATGCTTCTCTCAGCTGGGAAGAACATGTTAATGTGGTTAGTCGCAAGGTAATTAACACACTTCGAGCACTATATCGCCTAAAACACTTTCTCCCTTCCAGTACCAAAGTCGCTCTCGTTCAGGCTCTTATTATTCCCATCCTCGACTACGCTGACATCTGCTATTCTGACATCAATCAAATCCTTCTTATCAAATTGGATCGTTTGCTCAACAGCGGTATTCGCTTCGTCTTTGGGTTACGTAAATACGACCACATCTCCTCTTTTAGAAAACAACTAAACTGGTTGCCTATTAGTGACCGAAGAAACCTTAGATTACTTTGCATGCTTTTTAACCTTTTATACGATCCACGTGCTCCAGAGTACCTGAAATCTAGATTTCAATTTCTGGGCACTTCCAACCATCGTGTTCTTCGCTCGTGCAGAAATCTTACTCTACAAATCCCCACTCATCACTCTGGCTTTGGATCCAAATCTTTCACTGTTACTGCCATACGCCTGTGGAATGCTCTACCACTCAACATTCGCAGCTCTAACAATAAGATGGAGTTCAAAAAACTAGTGCGTGAACACTTCCTGACCTGACTACGCAATCTCTTCTTTCTTGTTATTATTTATAGTTTGTATCTATTTATACATTATATTTATTGTATTTTATGTATGTATATATTTATTTATGTATTTTATTTGTGTAGTTTATGTAGGTGTATCAAATTTAGTATAAAAATATTAATATATTTTAATCCCTGTTATTTTCTAAATGTTTTATTATAAAGCATTTTGCCCTATCGCCATACCATTTGTCTCTTACACTCGTTCAGGTTGACTGGTAGAGAATGCCTATGGCATTAAGTCCGCCGTTTGCATATGTATGGCAATGAAGTTTAAATAAATAAATAAATAAATAAGAGATAGTAATCGTTGCAGGAATAATAACTTACTTTTCTGCTTGTTGGTTCTGTAAGTTTATGTATTCAGCTTCAGCTCCAGCCGAAGCACTCAGACTGCAAACTGATGTTATGTCACTCGTTTCTGGAACATAAAAAATATCGGAAACTTTTTACAGATTGTAGATATGCCGCAATATAATAATGATCTTCTTTTTTCAGTAAAATGCACGAAATATATATGATAATTGATGAATTTAATAAAATCTGGGACAAAATTAACATAAATAATTGCTATGTAAAGTCCATTATAAACCTTTCTTTGATTGTCTTGATATAACCTTTGATGATTTGGTTTTATTTGCTTATGAATAAGTATGAGAGCTATGAGTTTCCCATAGCTTATATATCTTTATATTAAATATCTTTCTCAAAAATTAGATTGTTTTTTTTTAAGATTGGTATCGATCTCCTTAGCACAAGTATTTCAGTAAGGAACTTACTTCTGATAATCCTATTACAGTTTTTTTCTCCAACATTATCGTATAGAGTCTGTGCGCAAAGAGCATGGGATTTAGTTTGGAGGGCGCTGTAGTGCTTTTCTACCGTATTTGTAAGGTTTTACCCCTTTTAGACATGATTAAATACAAAAAAAAAATGGTTGCCTGTAAAGTCGGTTTTACGGGCGAAGATTTTACGTGACAACGTCTTTTTCTCGGTAGAATATTTATTGATATGAATATAATTAAATTGCACAATAGGAACAAGGAATTGAATGAAAATAAGAATTGCTCAAATTTTAACTATAGAAATATATTTTGTTTACTAAAACATTGTACATGTAAACTTAAACTTAACACGAGAGACTCATCGTAACGTTACCGAGCGTTACACTTTTTCATAAGTGACTCCCAGCCGCAACCTAATTTAAGACGTTGTCACGTCAAAACCGCAACAAATCACAACAACAAACAAATCCGTATCAATACAAAACTTTGACGTTTTACAGATTGCTGGGTTTGATTGCCAAATAAAAATCTTAATGTTAGTTCCGTTTTTCGCCACGACCATTCTCTTTCCGCACAGACTCTACAGTCAAGACTAAAAAATTGTTATTGCTTAAGTTTTTGAAGTTATACCTTCTTTAGGCGCGTTATGAAAAAATGATGAGAGTGAAATTTTAAGATGCGCGCGCATCACTGTAACACAAAATTTTAACAGCATGAAGTTGGTCGTTTACCGCACATTAAGAAAATCTACCAACAAAATAGAAATAGAATCTCTGTTTTGTGGGTGCTAACGACTGCATTGTGAAGGCCTATCAAAAGTATTTATTAATCTGGAACAACGGAACCAAAGCGCGATTCAGGAGACTACAGCGCCATCTCTTGACCATTGGTGTAGTAGAACCAAAAACCACATCTTTATTTTTTGTAATAAAGTAACAAAAAGTATTTATTAATCTGGAACAACGGAACCAAAGCGCGATTCAGGAGACTACAGCGCCATCTCTTGACCATTGGTGTAGTAGAACCAAAAACTACATCTTTATTTTTTGTAATAAAGTAACAGTTATAGGTATTCATATTTATAATATTTATCCACATGTTTCTAGTTTGTATATTCGGAATACGTGTTTGAGTTTCATACAAGTGCAAATCACATATGTTCTAATAAATTATATTCAGTAGCGATTTTAATTGAATATTTTGATTTTTTATTTATTTTTTCAAATTAAAACTGAACTTTATTGACTGTGTCCTTTTCCAGACTTTTTATTAATTTATTGTAATTAATTATTTGCATGCAATTAAAAACTAATTTTAAACGATGCCAAAGAAGGATAACTTCTCACGCGCCTACATAAGTACACGCACCCATTTTTTTTTAAAGTGGTGCTGAAATGCCAATCGTTCTCACTAAACTAGTGGACTGAAACACTTGTAGGTTTTATAATTACCGGGATGGCTGATATTTTCCCTAGGGACGGGGAGTCTGGTCCTCTGTGTGGCCGGGGAGCGGGAATCCCTTGTGGTCGAAGATTCAGAGCCAGCGTCACTTCCAAGCTTGCTTAAAAGCATCTAAAGATAAGAACATGGTTAGGTTATTTTGTACTTTGATGCTATTTTGTGTATTCCAACAGGTTTTCTATATTAAATAAATCATGATTGTTTTGACGTTGTAACAACATATGAAACGTAAATGCATTAAAGATGAAATAAATAAACATAATGATTTGTAAACGTTGTTACATTATACTTTTTTCTCCGCAGCTAAAAAATATGTCCAATGAGTGGTAGGGAAAAAAAAATTGTGTGTGTCAGCTCCGACGCACGACTGGAGTTTACTTCTTAAGTTCGATAGTCTAACCAGACGCAAAAAGAGTTTATTTAACTTAAAAAAGATTGATACTGTATGAAAGGGTAAATTAACAAATTAATGAAAATAATTTACATAAATAAATATATATTTATTCATTTCATATACATTTATTATAACTAATCGACGAAATATTTTACATTAAACTTTTTACAATAGTCAATTTTAGATGTGCATAAATAAAGGTACGCTACGATACTGTACTATGGCTGCTACAGCGTAGACAGTAAAAACGTAACGAGGTCATTCATCGATAGATTTCACTCCTCACATTTTTCTCATACCGGGCCCCTTATATATGCAAATCGATTCTTAAGGAGTAAACTCCAAAAATTTTGACGATTCAAAAGAGTTGTACTATATTTACAGCCAATTTGAATAACGATGATTGATTTCTTATTCCAATCCCCTTATCACCCTCGAATTCCCCTTTTCACACTTCAATCCCCTTTTCACCTTCCCCCTACTTCCACCTATCAATCTCCTGCGCGCAAAAAGAGATAGTTTAGTTATTCTGTCGTGTGTCCCGAGACTCACACGCTTTTTTTTTCTTTGAGTTACGGATCTCTAAATATCTTCTGGCTGACAGATACCTGGTTCGTTGAGGAGCTCGATGGCGCAGACTAGCGCGTTTGCCTGCGATCGTTGAAGATAAGCAACTTTCGCAATGGTCGGTCATTGGATGGGTGACAAAAAACTTCTATCTCTCGTTCCTCCGTGCTTCGGAAGGCACGTTAAGCTGTCGGTCCCGGCTGCAGTCGTCAGCACCCGCCAATCCGCACTGGGATGGATTCTGGCCCGATCTCCCTATTCCATCCATAGGGAAGTCGCCTGCGACCGGCCCTAGCCCCTCTGATTGTCGCTATATTGTGAACGGCCTTCTGCAGTTCACCAAACCGAAACGGGCGTGCTCCAATAGGAAGCCGGTCGTCTAAAAAGCGCTCAGGGGACGATCGCATCCAATAAAGCCTTAATATAGATCTTTTTGGTAGAGGCAGACCCTACGGGTGTTTTACAACCGTTGTACTGGCGCAGCTCCTTCAGGCGTCGCTCCAGCTCCGGCCCCGGCGACCGGCACTATAGGCTGAGGCATTGTCCTAATACAACGCGATCATCGCGCGATTAAACGATGCGACCATCGCGTGATCGCGAACTGGGTGTCCTAATAGAACGCGAATACGGAATGGGTTAGTCCTGCCCCTCTCCCCGCTTCTTATCGACGCGACGCGATCATCGCGCGAACTTCAGTTAGGACACCTATTCATCATTAATAGGTTTGATTACGCGTTCGCGTGAACTAAGTTCGCGCGAATAGATTTTTAAACATTTTAGTCGCGCGAATGCATCGCGCGATTGCCTATTAGGACACCTATTCTAGATCAATATGTTTGATCGTCGAATCGTACGATGATCGCATCGCTCATTCGCGCTATCGCGTTGTATTAGGACAATGCCTGATGATGATGATGATGATGATGACGGTGATACCTGCAGCTCGTTCTCCTTGGCCTGCAGCGTGCGGCGGTACCGGTTGTTGTACTGGCGCAGCTCCTTCAGGCGTCGCTCCAGCTCCGGCCCCGGCGACCGGCACTATAGGCTGATGATGATGATGATGATGATGATGATGATGATGATGATGACGGTGATACCTGCAGCTCGTTCTCCTTGGCCTGCAGCGTGCGGCGGTACCGGTTGTTGTACTGGCGCAGCTCCTTCAGGCGTCGCTCCAGCTCCGGCCCCGGCGACCGGCACTATAGGCTGATGATGATGATGATGATGATGATGATGATGATGATGATGACGGTGATACCTGCAGCTCGTTCTCCTTGGCCTGCAGCGTGCGGCGGTACCGGTTGTTGTACTGGCGCAGCTCCTTCAGGCGTCGCTCCAGCTCCGGCCCCGGCGACCGGCACTATAGGCTGATGATGATGATGATGATGATGATGATGATGACGGTGATACCTGCAGCTCGTTCTCCTTGGCCTGCAGCGTGCGGCGGTACCGGTTGTTGTACTGGCGCAGCTCCTTCAGGCGTCGCTCCAGCTCCGGCCCCGGCGACCGGCACTATAGGCTGATGATGATGATGATGATGATGATGATGATGACGGTGATACCTGCAGCTCGTTCTCCTTGGCCTGCAGCGTGCGGCGGTACCGGTTGTTGTACTGGCGCAGCTCCTTCAGGCGTCGCTCCAGCTCCGGCCCCGGCGACCGGCACTATAGGCTGATGATGATGATGATGATGATGATGATGATGACGGTGATACCTGCAGCTCGTTCTCCTTGGCCTGCAGCGTGCGGCGGTACCGGTTGTTGTACTGGCGCAGCTCCTTCAGGCGTCGCTCCAGCTCCGGCCCCGGCGACCGGCACTATAGGCTGATGATGATGATGATGATGATGATGATGATGACGGTGATACCTGCAGCTCGTTCTCCTTGGCCTGCAGCGTGCGGCGGTACCGGTTGTTGTACTGGCGCAGCTCCTTCAGGCGTCGCTCCAGCTCCGGCCCCGGCGACCGGCACTATAGGCTGATGATGATGATGATGATGATGATGATGATGACGGTGATACCTGCAGCTCGTTCTCCTTGGCCTGCAGCGTGCGGCGGTACCGGTTGTTGTACTGGCGCAGCTCCTTCAGGCGTCGCTCCAGCTCCGGCCCCGGCGACCGGCACTATAGGCTGATGATGATGATGATGATGATGATGATGACGGTGATACCTGCAGCTCGTTCTCCTTGGCCTGCAGCGTGCGGCGGTACCGGTTGTTGTACTGGCGCAGCTCCTTCAGGCGTCGCTCCAGCTCCGGCCCCGGCGACCGGCACTATAGGCTGATGATGATGATGATGATGATGATGATGACGGTGATACCTGCAGCTCGTTCTCCTTGGCCTGCAGCGTGCGGCGGTACCGGTTGTTGTACTGGCGCAGCTCCTTCAGGCGTCGCTCCAGCTCCGGCCCCGGCGACCGGCACTATAGGCTGATGATGATGATGATGATGATGATGATGATGACGGTGATACCTGCAGCTCGTTCTCCTTGGCCTGCAGCGTGCGGCGGTACCGGTTGTTGTACTGGCGCAGCTCCTTCAGGCGTCGCTCCAGCTCCGGCCCCGGCGACCGGCACTATAGGCTGATGATGATGATGATGATGATGATGATGATGATGATGATGACGGTGATACCTGCAGCTCGTTCTCCTTGGCCTGCAGCGTGCGGCGGTACCGGTTGTTGTACTGGCGCAGCTCCTTCAGGCGTCGCTCCAGCTCCGGCCCCGGCGACCGGCACTATAGGCTGATGATGATGATGATGATGATGATGATGATGACGGTGATACCTGCAGCTCGTTCTCCTTGGCCTGCAGCGTGCGGCGGTACCGGTTGTTGTACTGGCGCAGCTCCTTCAGGCGTCGCTCCAGCTCCGGCCCCGGCGACCGGCACTATAGGCTGATGATGATGATGATGATGATGATGATGATGACGGTGATACCTGCAGCTCGTTCTCCTTGGCCTGCAGCGTGCGGCGGTACCGGTTGTTGTACTGGCGCAGCTCCTTCAGGCGTCGCTCCAGCTCCGGCCCCGGCGACCGGCACTATAGGCTGATGATGATGATGATGATGATGATGATGATGACGGTGATACCTGCAGCTCGTTCTCCTTGGCCTGCAGCGTGCGGCGGTACCGGTTGTTGTACTGGCGCAGCTCCTTCAGGCGTCGCTCCAGCTCCGGCCCCGGCGACCGGCACTATAGGCTGATGATGATGATGATGATGATGATGATGATGACGGTGATACCTGCAGCTCGTTCTCCTTGGCCTGCAGCGTGCGGCGGTACCGGTTGTTGTACTGGCGCAGCTCCTTCAGGCGTCGCTCCAGCTCCGGCCCCGGCGACCGGCACTATAGGCTGATGATGATGATGATGATGATGATGATGATGATGATGACGGTGATACCTGCAGCTCGTTCTCCTTGGCCTGCAGCGTGCGGCGGTACCGGTTGTTGTACTGGCGCAGCTCCTTCAGGCGTCGCTCCAGCTCCGGCCCCGGCGACCGGCACTATAGGCTGATGATGATGATGATGATGATGATGATGATGACGGTGATACCTGCAGCTCGTTCTCCTTGGCCTGCAGCGTGCGGCGGTACCGGTCGTTGTACTGGCGCAGCTCCTTCAGGCGTCGCTCCAGCTCCGGCCCCGGCGACCGGCACTATAGGCTGATGATGATGATGATGATGATGATGATGACGGTGATACCTGCAGCTCGTTCTCCTTGGCCTGCAGCGTGCGGCGGTACCGGTTGTTGTACTGGCGCAGCTCCTTCAGGCGTCGCTCCAGCTCCGGCCCCGGCGACCGGCACTATAGGCTGATGATGATGATGATGATGATGATGATGACGGTGATACCTGCAGCTCGTTCTCCTTGGCCTGCAGCGTGCGGCGGTACCGGTTGTTGTACTGGCGCAGCTCCTTCAGGCGTCGCTCCAGCTCCGGCCCCGGCGACCGGCACTATAGGCTGATGATGATGATGATGATGATGATGATGATGACGGTGATACCTGCAGCTCGTTCTCCTTGGCCTGCAGCGTGCGGCGGTACCGGTCGTTGTACTGGCGCAGCTCCTTCAGGCGTCGCTCCAGCTCCGGCCCCGGCGACCGGCACTATAGGCTGATGATGATGATGATGATGATGATGATGATGATGATGACGGTGATACCTGCAGCTCGTTCTCCTTGGCCTGCAGCGTGCGGCGGTACCGGTTGTTGTACTGGCGCAGCTCCTTCAGGCGTCGCTCCAGCTCCGGCCCCGGCGACCGGCACTATAGGCTGATGATGATGATGATGATGATGATGATGATGACGGTGATACCTGCAGCTCGTTCTCCTTGGCCTGCAGCGTGCGGCGGTACCGGTTGTTGTACTGGCGCAGCTCCTTCAGGCGTCGCTCCAGCTCCGGCCCCGGCGACCGGCACTATAGGCTGATGATGATGATGATGATGATGATGATGATGACGGTGATACCTGCAGCTCGTTCTCCTTGGCCTGCAGCGTGCGGCGGTACCGGTTGTTGTACTGGCGCAGCTCCTTCAGGCGTCGCTCCAGCTCCGGCCCCGGCGACCGGCACTATAGGCTGATGATGATGATGATGATGATGATGATGATGACGGTGATACCTGCAGCTCGTTCTCCTTGGCCTGCAGCGTGCGGCGGTACCGGTTGTTGTACTGGCGCAGCTCCTTCAGGCGTCGCTCCAGCTCCGGCCCCGGCGACCGGCACTATAGGCTGATGATGATGATGATGATGATGATGATGATGACGGTGATACCTGCAGCTCGTTCTCCTTGGCCTGCAGCGTGCGGCGGTACCGGTTGTTGTACTGGCGCAGCTCCTTCAGGCGTCGCTCCAGCTCCGGCCCCGGCGACCGGCACTATAGGCTGATGATGATGATGATGATGATGATGATGATGACGGTGATACCTGCAGCTCGTTCTCCTTGGCCTGCAGCGTGCGGCGGTACCGGTTGTTGTACTGGCGCAGCTCCTTCAGGCGTCGCTCCAGCTCCGGCCCCGGCGACCGGCACTATAGGCTGATGATGATGATGATGATGATGATGATGATGACGGTGATACCTGCAGCTCGTTCTCCTTGGCCTGCAGCGTGCGGCGGTACCGGTTGTTGTACTGGCGCAGCTCCTTCAGGCGTCGCTCCAGCTCCGGCCCCGGCGACCGGCACTATAGGCTGATGATGATGATGATGATGATGATGATGATGACGGTGATACCTGCAGCTCGTTCTCCTTGGCCTGCAGCGTGCGGCGGTACCGGTTGTTGTACTGGCGCAGCTCCTTCAGGCGTCGCTCCAGCTCCGGCCCCGGCGACCGGCACTATAGGCTGATGATGATGATGATGATGATGATGATGATGATGATGACGGTGATACCTGCAGCTCGTTCTCCTTGGCCTGCAGCGTGCGGCGGTACCGGTTGTTGTACTGGCGCAGCTCCTTCAGGCGTCGCTCCAGCTCCGGCCCCGGCGACCGGCACTATAGGCTGATGATGATGATGATGATGATGATGATGATGACGGTGATACCTGCAGCTCGTTCTCCTTGGCCTGCAGCGTGCGGCGGTACCGGTTGTTGTACTGGCGCAGCTCCTTCAGGCGTCGCTCCAGCTCCGGCCCCGGCGACCGGCACTATAGGCTGATGATGATGATGATGATGATGATGATGACGGTGATACCTGCAGCTCGTTCTCCTTGGCCTGCAGCGTGCGGCGGTACCGGTTGTTGTACTGGCGCAGCTCCTTCAGGCGTCGCTCCAGCTCCGGCCCCGGCGACCGGCACTATAGGCTGATGATGATGATGATGATGATGATGATGATGACGGTGATACCTGCAGCTCGTTCTCCTTGGCCTGCAGCGTGCGGCGGTACCGGTTGTTGTACTGGCGCAGCTCCTTCAGGCGTCGCTCCAGCTCCGGCCCCGGCGACCGGCACTATAGGCTGATGATGATGATGATGATGATGATGATGATGACGGTGATACCTGCAGCTCGTTCTCCTTGGCCTGCAGCGTGCGGCGGTACCGGTTGTTGTACTGGCGCAGCTCCTTCAGGCGTCGCTCCAGCTCCGGCCCCGGCGACCGGCACTATAGGCTGATGATGATGATGATGATGATGATGATGACGGTGATACCTGCAGCTCGTTCTCCTTGGCCTGCAGCGTGCGGCGGTACCGGTTGTTGTACTGGCGCAGCTCCTTCAGGCGTCGCTCCAGCTCCGGCCCCCGGCGACCGGCACTATAGGCTGATGAGATGATGATGATGATGATGATGATGACGGTGATACCTGCAGCTCGTTCTCCTTGGCCTGCAGCGTGCGGCGGTACCGGTTGTTGTACTGGCGCAGCTCCTTCAGGCGTCGCTCCAGCTCCGGCCCCGGCGACCGGCACTATAGGCTGATGATGATGATGATGAGATGATGATGATGATGACGGTGATACCTGCAGCTCGTTCTCGCTTGGCCTGCAGCGTGCGGCGGGTACCGTTTGTAGTACTGGCGCAGCTCCTTCAGGCGTCGCTCCAGCTCCGGCCCCCGGCGACCCGGCACTATAGGCTGATGATGATGATGATGATGATGATGATGACGGTGATACCTGCAGCTCGTTCTCCTTGGGCCTGCAGCGTGCGGCGGTACCGGTCGTGTACTGGCGCAGCTCCTTCAGGCGTCGCTCCAGCTCCGGCCCCCGGCGACCGGCACTATAGGCCTGATGATGATGATGATGATGATGATGATGATGACGGTGATACCTGCAGCTCGTTCGCCTTGGCCTGCAGCGTGCGGCGGTACCCGGTTGTTGTACTGGCGCAGCTCCTTCAGGCGTCGCTCCAGCTCCGGCCCCGGCGACCGGCACTATAGGCTGATGATGATGATGATGATGATGATGAGTGATGACGGTGATACCTGCAGCTCGTTCTCCTTGGCCTGCAGCGTGCGGCGGTACCGGTTGTTGTACTGGCGCAGCTCCTTCAGGCGTCGCTCCAGCTCCGGCCCCGGCGACCGGCACTATAGGCTGATGATGATGATGATGATGATGATGATGATGACGGTGATACCTGCAGCTCGTTCTCCTTGGCCTGCAGCGTGCGGCGGTACCGGTTGTTGTACTGGCGCAGCTCCTTCAGGCGTCGCTCCAGCTCCGGCCCCGGCGACCGGCACTATAGGCTGATGATGATGATGATGATGATGATGATGACGGTGATACCTGCAGCTCGTTCTCCTTGGCCTGCAGCGTGCGGCGGTACCGGTTGTTGTACTGGCGCAGCTCCTTCAGGCGTCGCTCCAGCTCCGGCCCCGGCGACCGGCACTATAGGCTGATGATGATGATGATGATGATGATGACGGTGATACCTGCAGCTCGTTCTCCTTGGCCTGCAGCGTGCGGCGGTACCGGTTGTTGTACTGGCGCAGCTCCTTCAGGCGTCGCTCCAGCTCCGGCCCCGGCGACCGGCACTCGTGCGTTGACGCGGGCCGCAGCGTCGCGCGGATGCGGGACGGCGCCGCGCCCGGCTGACCGTTGCGACGGAGCTCTAGCAGCTGAAAGTGCTCCGGGCTTAGATTTAAAAAGGGAGATACAGTACGCTCATACTAGCATCAAATAATATATGATCCGACTCAACTACATAAGCGACTCTCACGCACGAACACGGCTGTATTTAAACATTCAATTGAACGAAACTGTACGCTTCGACGCAGCGCGAGCGAAACGGCGAGTCCGCTTCCGAGTCCGTACGCTAAGCTGTGTTGTTTGCCTTTTCTTGATAACAAAATGGCGATTACGCAAATAACGCAATGAAACAAACCGCGATTTTTGGGAAAAAAATATTTTTCGATATTACGAATGGAAAGTGTTGCCGAGGCATTTATTATTTGATTTTGAACTATTTGTGTTCATAATAATAAAAGCATCGAAGGCATTGATTTATCTTTATAGCACAGCTAGCTGTGCCCAGCGGTGTTACCCGCGGTTTAATCCAGAGTGTCAGCTAACTCCATACCAAATTTTATTAAAGTCGCTCTAGCCGTTTAGACGTGAAGAAAAACATACACACTCACAAACTTTCGCCTTTATAATATTACTGTGATATAGGTACGAAATATTGTTATGTAGACCGCGTATGCAGCGTGTTTGAATGTCCAATTCTGATTAAAGCGAATTGTGGTCATGCATCACAATTTAAGCTTATCACTTTTTAGCCGCGAGTGCCGTATCTTCCTAGCCAAATGTTCAAATAAGCTATTTCTATAATTATGATAAAGATGACCTACACTGTAGCAATATAATATTTTGTAAATACAAGTTACATAATTTGACGCTGTGAAGTTTCTTTCCCTAATTTTTCTCCGCAGCAAAAACAAAACGCCATGCTTAGCTCTAAAGGAAGAAAAACTTAGAAATAAATTCCCAGATCTACACGGCCTATGATGACTTTGTCCAATAGGGTATTTAGCCTTTACAAGAATGTGAAATTGACGTTTTGACATTTTTGTATGGGTAAAGTCTAGTTTTAGTTGAATCGAGATTTAGTAAATTTGCTGCAAGTGAGCCTTAATGTATGTTTGACTTCGGATATAATTAAAGTGTAGATTAATGATGGTATCCGAAGCGAGATTTATCATTTACCAGATATATTTTACAGCGATAATACTGAGCTGTTAAATATGTGAACGTTGAGAATTCAAATTCGAACATAAGTGAAACTTGATCCAATCTTATCTCAGTTCTCAGTCTAACCAGATGCTGCTACATTTCAATGAAAAATACTTATATTAAATGATCTTAAGTGAAAGTCGGAACAAGAGCAAAAAATAATCAATTATAATGTTTATTACCTTTGGTACAAAAACTAAGCACAGAGTAGCCGTTGTACAAAATATGATGAAGATGGCGATCAGAACGAATAACGCGTCTTTATGGTCAGCCAATACCTGAAACAGGAAAATGTCTGCCTGTAGATAAGTATTAAGATGAAAATTACCAAGAAAGCAACTTCTGGAACATCTGTCTATCATCGCATGGCTAGATTATAATTAGGACAATGATTGTGGAGGCAGAGATGGCGAGACTGGAGTTATCCTTTACACACAAATTATAATTAGAACAATGATTGTGGAGGCAGAGATGGCGAGACTGGAGTTATAGCAAAATAGGCAACCAAGTGTCGACTTATGGAAATCATCATCATCACCATCAGCCTATTAATGTCCCCACTGCTGCGACAAAAGACATCCCTATGGATGGAATAAGGAGATAAGGCCATGACCCACTACGCGGACCCCTCTTCGGACTTCACTTAACCCTAAAATGTGCCACCTAATCTTCCCAAGTTCCACCTCGAGTTGCGCCAGATGCGAGTCAAGCCGTAGCGTCGTCTGTTATACGTCGCCAGGGTCAGTCTATTGTGGTGGCCTTCCGTAGCCCGGAGATTCTTGGCACGCCCCGCCCCGCCGTTACCGTGGTCGCCACCGTGACCAGGAATAGCGGGTCCGCCGGGAACTGGGGGCCGTGGCTATTAATGTTCCCACTGCTGCGACAAAACACTTCCCTATGAATGTAATAGGGAGATTAGGCCATGACCCACATACAGATGCAGCCTGGACCGATGGCTTATCGTGCCTTTCGAAACAAGGAGGAGCTCGAGATAGTAAATTTTTGGTAACCCATCCAATGACCGACCACTGCGAAACTTGTTTAACTTCAACAATCGCAGTCGCATTGATCTCCTCAATACGTGATGTTACGTACGTTAAATATGTACGTTAAAGAAATACCCGCCATGAAAAATAATGAAGAAGGCCAAAGATGTAAAGAAAATTTTACTACAAAAAAAATCTAAGCGGACATCCAGGAATAAAATTTTCTTTAGATTTAAACATTTAGCAGTTAAATGCTTAAAAAACAAAAATATAACTAAGGCCAAAGGTGATAAAAAGATAGATAGATAAAACTTTATTCACACCAACATGCACACATACAAATTGAAGACAAATTTTACAATTATATAAATCCTTTAAAAAATAATACAAATTATATTTATACAACTATACTGATATTTTCGTGTGCAGCAGCGATGCGAATGGGCGAAAACTCAGCGTAACATTTACTCCGAGAGTAAATCGCTGATTTTCAGTTCTGACCCATATAGATGAGGTCACGCAAGGTTGATACGAAACTTACCAAAGCTATAGCAGCACCCATGATACACATGATTAACACGTTGTAGACGGACAAGCCAATGTGTTTGGAGTCGTTCAGCGCTGGTATTGACACGTGTCGAGTCTCCCACGCCAGAAACGCACCAAATACCTTCAAAACAAAAAGGGTTTGTTTTATATATTCAGGTACAGTGTTGCCAAAGGGGGAGGACTGGTCGGCGGAGCCGAGCCCGCCTACTAGTCTTCTAGCGGTATCTTCTGTGACTGCCAGGGAAGGGGTGCTCCGCGGCACCATCGCGCGGGGGTAGGAATCCCAGGCGTAACAAGCGGCGACTCATAACTGGACCCCGCAGTTACGCCTGGAGGGTGAGGGGTAGATCGGGGAGTTGGTTTACCTGGTAGGTACGGGAGCTGGTCGGCTGGCCAGCCGCTCGGGCTGCGGTCCGTGAGACTAGCCAGTCGACGCTGTGAACGGAGAAGGCCAGGATCGGCTAAAGCGGGGGCGGGGTGGTTTGACGTATGCCACGCTTGCGTGAGTGCACGACAAAGTATACCCGCACCGACTAGCGGCCCTCGGGCGGCTCGCCGCTTGCCGAATGCACCACGCAGTTACCGGCGTCGCGAGGTTTTGTTAACAGCAAACCAACCTGGCGTTGGTCATTGTTGTGGATATAATACATTTTTTCTCCCCATCATCGAAAAAAAAAAAGGTACAGTGTTGCCAGGTCTCCAGATTTTACAGGAGATATCCTTTTTTTCTGAAATTTCTCCAGTTCTACTGTTTTTCTACATGAATCTCCCGTTTTTCTTAGAATACCATTTTCTTTTTTTAAATTGCATGTTGAGTTGCATTTTCGGTCATTAATAATGTAGGTAACCTTATTAATTTTATAATAAATGTTATTGTTTAAAAAACTAGCTTTCCAGCTTTAAGAGGCGGCAGAAGCCACAGTAACACATTTGTTACTGTTTTTCTTGTAGCGCTTTCCATACATCTAGTGTTTTTTTCGGTAACGCCTCCCGATTTTTAAAAAATCGACCTGGCAACACTGTTCAGGTAGGCAAATGACTCCACCTGATGTTAAGTGGTGATAAAGTCCAGATAGCTGGCAAGATAGCTGGTACAGCAGTTATAAGCTGCCACACCAACCATCTTACCTTGCCGGTCTGCAAAAATGCTTCTTCACGCCTCTCTTAAAGGACCCCAGATTGTAGGAGGGAACACGTGCGCGGGTAAAGAATTCCACTTACGAATAGTACGACAAAGAAATGAGTCACCAAATTTCTTTGTTCGTTTAGGAATTGTTAATAGGAATAAGGGATTGAAAAATTTCATCATCATCATCTTCAACCAATTTATGTCCTCACTGCTGGGCACAGGCCTTCCCTATGGATGGATTAGGGAGATTGGGCACTGACCCACCACGCGAGCCCAGTGCGGGTTCGTGTGTGCTTACGACTGCAGATGCAGTCGGGACCAACGGCTTAACGTGCCTTTCGAAGCACGGAGTTTGAGATAGTAAATTTTTGGTCACCCATCCAATGGCCGACCGAAGCCGACACTGGCGCCATCGAGCTCCTCAATAATAAATTAAAAGTTAAGGAATTTTTGAAAAAAAATAGTTTTGTATCAAAGTTGTGCCTTGTGGACGTTTTGGAACAAATTTTAGATGATTAGAAAGAGTTGTATTATGTTTCCATTTTGAATTTTAGGAAATTCCAGTTTGATAATTTACAACGCTTTGTGACATAGGAAAAATTAAGGTGACATGAATTTCAAAAAATAAATTACAGCACAAACTTGTCCGCGCATAGAATTTTTGGAATATCTTATCCCCATTAAAGGTGTTCCGTTTAATGACTTACCGCGACCGCCGTGAATTATAGTGGACTTGTTTTATACCGATAGGGCTTGTAGGTGAGACAGAGAAAGGTTTTATCCGAGGTACATACACGCAATCGTGTTCCCAGTAAGAAAAGTGCGCTTACCTTTGCTGTGATAGAAGGGCTCGAGCTGGCGAAACCGTGCAAATAGCCGTTTGTGTTTGGAGGCCCCGCGGTCCTCACTGTATCACCGTAACACCAGTAGGCAGGTCCGTCCGTCCGATATAAGCAACCGCGCCGAAGAGCTGGTTCCGAAGCCGTAGAGCGCCCCTGATGCCGAAGACCGTTACATCCGGGAAAACCCAGTATATCCGTTGTTAGGGGCTGGTTCGCTGATTGGCCGGCGCGCAGGCACGCCGCTTTACCTTACGCACCAATGATGCGCGCCACAGTCAAGGCGCGCAAATTCATACCGGGAAGCGACATGATGTGCGTGTACAAAAGGTTCCTTGGACAATTTCCGAATTCTTAACCACGCGGCAACAGACGCTGACAATGTCTACTTTATTTGTGATTCTTTATCTTAGTTAATTAGCTTAGTTCTTTCTTAGTTATCTCACCAGTAACAGTCCTTTGTACGCGTAGATGACACCAATGAATATAGTCATCCTCTCAGATTGGCAGTATTCGTTCTCTTGTACGATCACGATGTCCTCACTCGATGGATGTGGCTAAAACAGAAATTAGATGCTCATCATTAGCAGCATTTTCATAAATTGATACTGTGTTGATAGTATTAATACTTGTAAAGGACAATGGGCAAAAATGTATGGACGCTGCACCCACGTCCGCTACGGCTTAAACTACATTTGTTTGAAAGGTATTAAAGTCATGTACATCTGTGCCAAAGCGCATCAAATTCCATCCCGGGGGTCTTTAGTTATTTTAAGTTAAATAGGTACAAGTACTATAACGAACGAACATTAATGAATGAAACAAAGGGAATTAATTTAGTTAGATAGTTAGACCCTACATAGCGGGGCTCTGGTATTATGGAAGTACTTCACAAGGTGCAAGGGTGCCCCCTTATGTTATTCTGCCGCACTAGAGTAAATCCAAAAATCCCCTGCATGGGTTGGGTTTTTTTCAAACATTCTGTTTGTTATAGTAAATTGTCTTCTATGTAAAACGGAGCGCCCACAAATCACACAAACTTGTCCACGCTTCGGAGAAAGCATGATTCCAGTTCATCCATACTAATTGACAAAACCGATAATCGTGTTCCAATGTCCAAAGCATGTTTCATAAAAATCAATCAAGTGACAGGGAGCGCACAATCACAACGAAGTAAGACGTGTCGACTTTACGGGTTGCAAATCAACTGCAAGTCCTTCAACCCCCGTAAATCGTTTTGAGGTGTCTCAGTAAGTTCAAGCGTCAGGGTTTTTCTCAGTTACCGCGCACTGTGAAATCCTTATAGATCATTTAGAGTTTTGGCTTTAGTTATACTTACATAAGGTTCCATTTGCTTGGTAGCCCTGTAGAAGGGATCGGAGACCTGCCATGTTGTCATGATAGCGAGGTCTACCCCCAACAATACGCCGACTACCATGAACAGTTGGTAGTCTTTTATGACCTGAAAATAATCCAGCAGGTTAAATGTGGAAAAGCGATTAAGGAGAAAATCATGGTAAGAACAAAAAAATAAATTGATTTAGAAGAACCAGTCCAGGGGGCCTACCGCCAATCGAATTTGTTATGGCAATAGCTTATGATTGCATTTTCTTATTACTGAACACCGAAGGTTTTCAAATGCCTCGCGCTCTTTTTTTCTCTTTTGCACAGGTAATAACAATATAAAAGATATTGAGCGTGAGGTATTTTAAAAACCTTTGGCGGTCGGAAATAACAATGTACGGGACGCCGGGCTGTCGCAGTAGCGGACAGTTACCGACTCGTACTGAGGGGGTGGAGGAAGTTACACGCAGGAGTCTTGACTGTAGTGGACTGTAGTTTCGGCGAATAAAACCCCTGGTGTTCGGTATTGAAGAAATCGGTGGGCGCTGATAATGGATGGCCGGTGAGAGGAGGCTTCAGGTCCAGAGTGAACCGCTTGGTTGTTTCTTCCTGTTCCTTAGGGTAGGAGCGCCTGTCGCTGAATGCATGTCGGGGCATGTTCCGACTCGATTTTTATATGCTAGGACTGAGCTGGCCAGCGATCCATTACCTCACCCACGCTATACTTTATTTTTCATTTTCTCAAGTTTTACAATAGTGCGAGCTTAAAACTAATTGTACATACATCGGGCATACATTTGGGCATATTTTTAACATAGTTATGTGTCCGTAAACACGATATTTTAGGTGTGGCGCGCAAAAAATAGGTCTCCGCAATATTTATACTTTCCCCCTCCATAGGGCTTCGCCCTGCCACGGGGCTTCGCTGCCCCACCCGCGCGCTCCGGGCGCGCCGGGTGGGGAGCGCAACATGTCTCAGAAAACGGTTCTATACAAACATGTTTTTTCTCCTACACGGTACATTTTTACATTTATTGATATGATACCTATTTATTTACGTAGCCCTACGTGTTACCTATCTAATACAACAAGTTTCTTACAAGAATATTAATAAACAACAGCTCTACGGCCCTATAAAGTTTGCAAATTAAAAAGTCTTAAAAAACCTACTTATACTTGCTTAATGTTTAACTATCATACACCATTTTAAAGAAGAAGTAAAAACACATAAAATGACATCATTGTTATAACAATTATACCTATATCCTATTGACTATTCATAAAAAACTATTCCCGATATTTTCCTTAATTACGCTTAAACTACTAACACGATTCATACAAAACTTCGATATATTATTCCTATAACTACCTACTATCTAATAAGACATAAAATAAATCAATCAAAACATAAAACATACTATTATCGAAAATTGTCAACTCAGGCAAAATCCTATAAGACGTGTGACAAGGACAACCTATTGTCTCCGTCCCTCCTATAGGTCGGAACTATCAGTATTCTGACTAGTTTCCTCGCGCCACCGCTTGGCGTCGTGGCGATCGTTTAGATAAAGTCTTATAAGATTATTGGAGAGAACGGGGCGGAATATCGCTCTGAACTATCAATTTTACAATAGTTTACTATGGGCAGAGCTATCTATTGTTGCGATATCCGACTCATTCTAATAAGACAACAAGGGAATGATATTTTTAATGCGTATACAACTAATTCATGTGAAATTATAGATACATTTTTATACATTGTTCTCGTATCGTCGTAAGTTCATTTTCTCTCGCTTCGGTCGTCGCGTACATACTCCCGCCGTGCAGCGTCGGTTGACTCGTCGCTGCATCCATCTTCCGTGGGAGTGGCGGCCGATGCGAATATCACCAGTCGCTTGGTCGGTCTGCGTAGCACTCCTCCGGCTGTCTTCAGATCGACGACTCGTACTGTGCCGTCTCGCCCGGGAAAAGTGGCGATGACGACTCCCTTGGGCCACGTGTTGCGTGGCAGGTTGCTGTCGGCGATGAGCACGATGTCCCCGATGGCGATGGTCTTCCCGGTCCCGTGGGGCTCCCGCCGGTGTTGCAGCTCGGGTAGGTACTCTCGTACCCAGCGCGCCCAGAAGTGGTCGGCGAGGCGCTGTGCTGCTCTCCAGTGCGGGCGGCCTATCAGGTCGCTCTCGTCGAACTCGCCCGGCAGTGGGACGCGCGCTGAACCTCCCAGCAGAAAGTGGTTGGGAGTGATGGCTTCGTCGTCTTCATGGTGCACGGACACGTGGGTGAGAGGCCGGCTGTTCACGGTGTATTCGGCCTCGGCGAGTAGCGTCGTAAGTACCTCTTCGGGCGGACTTCTTTCTTGCAAAACCGCACTTAGCGCGATTTTGACGGACTTCACGAGGCGTTCCCACGCCCCGCCCATGAATGGTGCTCCCGGCGGTATGTACCTCCACCGGATACTGCGGATGCTTGCTTCTTCGCTCGTCGCCTGCTGCACTGCCTTCTTCATTTCGTTTTCTGCGCCGTGGAAGTTGGTCCCGTTGTCCGACCAAATTTCGGTAGGGCACCCGCGGCGCGCTATCATGCGCCGTAGTGCGTGTATGGCGGAGTCCGTCGATAGCGAGGCGGCCAACTCGAGGTGCACGGCTCTCGTAGTAAGGCATGTGAAGAGCGCGACGTAGCGTTTTTCTTGACGCCTGCCCACGGTGACTGTCAACGGCCCGAAATAATCCAATCCGGTGTACGTGAATGGCCGTCGGTGATGAGCGAGGCGCGTCGGCGGCAAATCTCCGGTAGGTGGCGACGGTGGCGCCGCCCTCCTTATGCGGCAGTTTATGCAACTGCTTATTATTCGTTTCGTGACGGGTCGAATGCGTAAAATCCAATAGTGTTGTCTGCACTCGTTGACTGTAGTTTCCACCCCGGCGTGGAGAAGGCTTCTATGTGTGTGTTCTATCCACAGTTGGGTGGCTCGATGGTTCCCGTCGAGTATCGCCGGTGTCTTCTGAGTTTCGGTTACTCCCGCCGCTGCGTTGACCCGGCTTCGTAGGTACAACACGCCGTCGTTGACTATTAGCGAAAGTGGGCGGAGTCGACTGTTCGTAGCGATGGTGGCGCCCCCTCGCAGTTGTTTCAACTCGTCTTGAAATGCGTCGTGTTGTATTACGCGAACTATTATTTTCTCTGCGCGTTCGATGTATCTTCGGTCGATTGCGATGAATTTTCTTTCTTGAACGGTTGGCGTCGTTTTCTTCTTATGTGTCGGCGCCGATTTTTGATTTTTCTTCCAGTCGGGTTCCTTTTCGTTTTTCTTTCTTCTGTAGTTAATTCGGTCGGTTTTCGCTTGGCAGAGGTCGATGAACTGTAGTACTCTTGCCGTAGTCCGAATTAACTTGTCCCAGCGCGAAAATCGAGTGACGTCCGGTGCAGCTTCGGATATTGACGGCGCTTTCTTCGTGCTTATGTGGTGCACGCGTTCTTCCCCGGTGACTTCGGTTGCGGTTGCAGTTTCGGCGGGCCATTCTTCTTGTTTGTTTCGTAGAAACGGAGGCCCGGTGAACCATCTGTGGTAGCCGTAGAAGTCGTGCGGTGATATTCTTGTGGCGTCGTCTGCTGTGTTGAGCTTCGTGGGCACCCATCGCCACTCGTTGATGGTGCTGAGTTCTTCGATGGCGGCTATGCGATGCGCGACGAATGGCTTGAATGAGCGCGATCCCGTTCGCACCCAAGACAATACTGTTTTGCTGTCTGTCCAAAATGTCTTCGATTCTGGTTTTCTTGAGTGCTCTTCTATCACGGTGGCGGCCATTCTTGCTCCCAGGACTGCGGCTTGTAGCTCGAGGCGCGGTATCGACGTGACTTTGAGTGGAGCCACGCGTGCTTTCGCCGTGATGAGTGTCACGTCGACTTGACCTCCCGGCGACTCGGCCCGCCAGTAGAGTGCGGCGGCGTACGTGGTGGCGCTGGCGTCCACGAAGACGTGCAGCTGAAGTGAAGTGGCTTCGCTGTATCCTATGTAGGCTCGTGGTACTTTGACGCCTCGTAGGTCCTTCATGTGTTGTAGCCAGGTCGTCCACTGCTCTGCGAGGTCGGTGTCGATTTTCTTGTCCCATTCTGTGCCGCGTCGCCAAATTTCTTGTATGATCTGCTTTCCCCTGACTGTGACTGGTGATGCAAGTCCCATTGGATCGTAGATTGACATCACAATCTTCAAAACTTCTCTCTTCGTGGGTGCCTTATTTGCAAGTAGGTCCGATGGGATGCGCGCCAACTCGAGATTGAACCCCAATTCGTCCGATTGCGGGTTCCACATGAGTCCGAGTACTTTTTCTATTCTTGATCCGTCGTTGAGTGTTATTGGTTGTTGAACGCGTAGCGGTCCCTCGGTGAGTGCTTGCCTTATTCGATGCGAGTTCGACACCCAGTTGCGTAAGTCGAAATTTCCGTCGGCGTGTATTTTTCTTACTTGCGTCGACACTTCTATGGCTTCTTGTTCCGTTGTAAAGCTGTCTAGGTAGTCATCCATGTAGTGCGCTTGTACTATGGCGTTGACGGCGGTCGGTTGCGTTTCTTGATATCGCTCGGCGTTCTTGTTCTTGACGAAAATAGCGGCGGCTGGTGAACACGTAGCGCCGAAGATGAGTGACTTCATTCTGTATTCTTCCGGTGGTCCCTCTCTTCTTTCGCCGCGCCATAGGTACCGCAGTGCATCTCTGTCTTCCGGTCGGATCCCCACGCGCATGAACATTTCGGCGATGTCGGCTGTCACGGCGTACTGGTGTTGACGGAATCGCATCATGACTCCTATCAACGATCGAAGTAGGTCCGGCCCGGTGAGAAGGCAGTCGTTGAGTGAGGTGCCTCCGGTCTTCGCAGCTGCGTCGTGTACGATGCGTAACTTGTTTGGCTTCAACGGGTTGATGACTGGAAAATGCGGCAGGTACCAAGTTCTGTCTTCTGTTGATGTCGGCGGTGCTCGCTCGGCGTATCCCTTTTCGATGAGCGCGTCCATTTGTTCTATGTATTTTCCCCTTAGGCGTGGATCGCGGTCGATTTTCTTCTCTGTGGTGAGCAGCCGTCTGTACGCATTTTCATAATTGTTGGGCATCTTGATGTCTTCTTTCTTCCAGAGTAGCGCGGTTTCAAATTTTCCATCTTCTTTTCTGTGGGTGTGTTCTTCTAGCATCTTGATGGCTTTCTCCTCTGGATCGGAATGCGGTTTTTTCTTTTCGATGTCGATCGATTCCAATGCGAAGTGATGACGAAGTAGTTCATCCATTTTCGAATCTTCTGTTTCTTCGGTGAGGTGGTTCACGAAATGAACCCGGTGACCGATGGTGCGCGAGTCTGTGCCGTGGAGTACCCATCCCAGAGCCGTCTTCGATGCCACTAGCTGTCTTCTATTCCCCCGGCGGACTTCGCTGGCCAAGAGTAGGTGCCAGTTGTCTTGCCCGATGAGGATGGTCGGCCGGGCGTCTTCATAGGTGACGTGCTTCTCGATTCCCCGCAGGTGCTTGCAGCCCCATAAGTGTCTTTCTTCTATGGTTTGCGGTGAAATCTTCATTTGGTCGATGGTGCGCGCTTGCACCTTGAAGCCTCTGTTCTGTCCCTCGATCTTGAAGGTGACCCGGCGCGACTGTGTCTCTGGCAGCTTGGCGTCGATCGTTTCTATCTTCAGTCGCTCGGTAGGTCCCTCGGCTCCTATCTTCTCGGCGGCCCTCTCTTCTATAAGTGTGACTGTAGAGCCGTCGTCCAGTAGCGCGTACGTATCAAAATGTCCGCTCGGTCCCGTAATGCGAACCGGAATTATCTTCAAGTACGCGTCTCGCTTGCGGCTGCTGTGTGTGCTGGCCACCCTCTCGGTTTCTGTGTTGCTCGTGGCTGGTTCTTCTTCACGTTGCGACTTCGGTTTGTAGTGAAGAAGTGGGTGGTGTGAGCGCTCGCAGCCGTCCCTCTCGCACGCTCGCGTCTTGCATCTGTGCATCTTGCTTCTGTATTGTAAGCAACGGAAACAAAGGTTGCTTTTCTTCGCTATTTCCCATTTTCTATCTTGATCGGCGGTCTTGAACGTAAAGCAGGTGGCCGTCGAATGTCCGGATTTCTTGCATACCGGACATGGGAATCGATCTTCAGGCGCTTTTCTATTATGTGTCGCCTCGATGTTATGTGTTCGAAATTTTCTTGTTGTGGAGTTTTCTTCATTTCCAATGTACTCCGGTGGGGCGTATCTTGCGTTATTCTCTGCCTCGACTTCGATGAACTCGGCGAAAATCAATAGTTCCGGATCCGTCTTCATTTTTTCTTGCATTCGGTGATTGTTGACGTAATCGTTCCATCTGAAGCGGATAGTCGACGGCAGCTTTTCTATAATTGTCTTCATGATGTCCGGCGCACGTAGGTACTCGTTTTGCCCCAGTACTTGTAGTGCGACGACGCTATTCTTGATTTTGTTTGCAAAAATCACGATGTCCCTCGGCGAATCGGTGAGTCGGGGTAAATGGCGCAGCTTTTCTATTTCGGTTGCGGCGATGTTGTCCGGGCGGCCGAATCTGTGCTCCAATTGCTTCATAATGTCGCCCGGCGTAGTGTTGCTTATTAGCATGCTGCCCACGGCTTCTCTTGCCTTCCCCTTGAGGGCTCTTCTTAATCTTGATGAGTTTTCCGCCGACGATAGGTAGGTTGCGGATTCTAGGTACGCCGCCCTGAAGGTGAGCCATTCTGTGTGCGCGCCGTTGAAGGGTGGCAGCTCTCCGACGTAGCGTGGACCCGGTGCAGGCGGTACGGCGGCACGGACGGCGGCGTTGATTGCGACGGCCAGCTCGGAGACGTTCATTCTGTCTTGCTGGACCGGCGGTGGCGGTGGCGGCAACGTAGGGGCGACTTGTTCTTGAGCTTCATCAATACGGGACGGCGGACTCTTCTTAATGCATGGCTTCAGCGCCCCTGGGACTGGATCTTCGGCAAGTGGTGCGACGGACCCACCAATCTGTACGGTGTCCTCGACGGTCGGTCTTCTATACGGTTCGGTGGTGCCGCCGTCGGGGGTGGTGTCCTTTGTCGCTGTGTCCAGCCAGGTGATGACGCGTTCTTCATTCTCGGTGCCATGTGTGCTATCGGTTTCTCTTCTATCTTCTATTTGCGGGTCCTCTTGGTCCTCATCTTCGCTATCTTGCTCTTCCATTCGTATCTTCGCCCTTATAGTCTTCTCTAATTCTTCATATAACGCCGCCAGGCGCTTCTTCTTTGCTGCTCTTCGTGCAGCTATCTTCGATTCTGTTCGGTGTGATGTCATTGCAGCTGATGGCGACTTCGGCGGTTGGTCGTGGCGCAGCGGGTACGGTGGCCGCGTCACGGTGTCGCTCCCTTCCGATGGCGCTCTTGACGGGGGTTGGACAGGATTCTCTCCTGCGGCGGTTCGCTCTGGCTCTTCGATGCTTCTCTCGATGCGCTCCTCTTCGGCCTGGTCCATTTTGTCAGCTTGAGATCTTGTTCGTGGCATTTTTCTTTCTTCAATCTTCTATATTTTCTGTCTTCAATCTTCTATAATTGACCACGACGATCTTCTTTCTTCAATCTTCTATAATTTTTCTTCAATCTTCTATAATTTTTCTTCAATTCTTCCTCGGCGCTGTAGATCCGGCTCGATGCGACCAAAAAATGTACGGCACGCCGGGTACAGCTTGAATAGATGGCCGCTGAGAGGAGCTGATGTTGTCCAGAGTGAACCGCTTGATTGTTTCTTCCTGTTCCTTAGGGTAGGAGCGCCTGTCGCTGAATGCATGTCGGGGCATGTTCCGACTCGAATTTTATATGCTAGGACTGAGCTGGCCAGCGATCCATTACCTCACCTACGCTATACTTTATTTTTCATTTTCTCAAAATTTACAATAGTGCGAGCTTAAAACTAATTGTACATACATCGGGCATACATTTAGGCATATTTTTAACACAGTTATGTGTCCGTAAACACGATATTTTAGGTGTGGCGCGCAAAAAATAGGTCTCCGCAATATTTATACTTTCCCCCTCCATAGGGCTTCGCCCTGCCACGGGGCTTCGCTCCCCACCCGGCGCGCTCCGGGCGCGCCGGGTGGGGAGCGCAACATGTCTCAGAAAACGGTTCTATACAAACATGTTTTGTCTTCTATACGGTACATTTTTACACTTATTGATGTGATACCTATTTATTTACGTAGCCCTACGTGTTACCTATCTAATACAACAAGTTTCTTACAAGAATATCAATAAACAACAGCTGTACGGCCCTATAAAGTTTACAAATTAAAAGGTCTCAAAAAACCTACTTATATTCACTTAATGCCTAACTATCATATACCGTTTTATAGAAGAAGTAAAACACACAAAATGACATCATTATTATAACAATTATACCTATATCCTATTGACTATTCAGTAAAAAACTATTCCCGATATTTTCCTTAATTACGCTTAAACTACTAACACGATTCATACAAAACTTCGATATATTATTCCTATAACTACCTACTATCTAATAAGACATAAAATAAATCAATCAAAACATAAAACATACTATTATCGAAAATTGTCAACTCAGGCAAAATCCTATAAGACGTGTGACAAGGACAACCTATTGTCTCCGTCCCTCCTATAGGTCGGAACTATCAGTATTCTGACTAGTTTCCTCGCGCCACCGCTTGGCGTCGTGGCGATCGTTTAGATAAAGTCTTATAAGATTATTGGAGAGAACGGGGCGGAATATCGCTCTGAACTATCAATTTTACAATAGTTTACTATGGGCAGAGCTATCTATTGTTGCGATATCCGACTCATTCTAATAAGACAACAAGGGAATGATATTTTTAATGCGTATACAACTAATTCATGTGAAATTATAGATACATTTTTATACATTGTTCTCGTATCGTCGTAAGTTCATTTTCTCTCGCTTCGGTCGTCGCGTACAAACAATATGAAAACATAAGCTATAGCTGTAGCCTTAACAATACCAATAGGCGGTAGGACCCCAGAGCCAGATAATATGAAAACTGATAAAAATTTCAATACATTACGTTTTGTACATTAAGGAAAGGAGCAGGTGCTCCAATGGTCAGCGCAACAGAACAAAAATTTACCTCTTTCTGTGGTGGTTAGCGTTTCAGTATGCGATCGTGAAAGCTAAGCAATTTTCAGAATAACTGATCATAATAATAATAATAATTGCTATTGTTGCTAATAAGCCTGATATAGTGATGATAGATCGGGAAAAGCGCCTCGCAATGATAGTTGATATGACCATCCCTCATGACAAGAACCTCATGAAAGTCGAGAAAGATAAACAAATAAAATATCTTGTCTTGGCTCATGAGGTTGTCACCATGTGGGATGTTGACTCGGCTATCATTGTGCCGATAGTTGTGACGGTCAATGGCCTGAAAGCCAAGAGCCTCGACTGTCATCTGCGGAGGCTCGAGTTGGGTGACTGGGTCAAGGGCCTGATACAGAAGGCAGTACTCCTTGAAACGGCTCGCATAGTGAGGAGGTTCCTCTCTCTTGGGCCCTAACCACCGGTAGCTAGGACCCTGTTCCCGATGCCGCCGGTTGGCTTCTATTTTTTATATTTTTAAATGTTTTTATTTTTATATCAATATTTAAAAATGTAATTAATATAGTATACATTAAATAAAGAGAATAAAAATAATATTCTTTATTAACATACACCGGACCAACACCGGACATACAAGACATTAAACATGACAGTGAAAACGTCATAATTATATGGGTGGACGAAAATATTTTATCTCGACCGTCTTCATGCTTCGGAAGGCACATTAAGTTGTTGGTCCCGGCTACGTCTTCAGTCGTTATCATAACACCAATCTGCGTGGCAGATCGATAGGCCCATGATTCTCCCTATTTCATTCATGAGAAAAGCCTGTGCTCACCAGTGGTCGCACACGGGTAAAAAATTATTATTTCCACTTGCCTTCTTATTGAGTTTGACGTCTGTGAAGATGGAGTGCACCCTCCAGGTCTTGGAGAACATTGCGCCAAAGGCCAGGCTGAAGCCAGCCATCAGAAGCCACGCGCGCGCCGTGCAGATGTACGGAAACGCACCTGAAGAACCGACAAGTTACCAGACTCAATTTATAGATAACATTATATTCTTACGTACTGTATTACACTTGACAACTAAATACATTCAATCGATTTTAAGCAATCTGAAAGGTGATCAGTAATTGTCTCTTGCATGAGTTAATAGGGGTGATGACGGGGTACAGTAAACGAAATTCTATTTAGTCCGTCCAGTTAGATGATCAAAAAATAATGGACAAGTATTTTTTCTTTGGGCAATCAACCAAAAATAGACAAAGTTATAGCGCGTCAAAGTTTGGAAGTAGGGGCTCGTGACATCACTTTTGAGTGAAAATTGTACTTGTTTAATTGTAAAACGTGTCGTCATGCGAATTTTCAAATCAATATATCTCTGCAATGTTTATATAATGTGGAAAAAGAAAAAATACGTGTCCAATACTTTTTGATAATCTACCTGATAAATGAAGAAAAAAAATTAGTCATCATCCCTATTGTAAGACAAGAGCCATAAGTCTGAGCATTTTTTCAAAACCCAATAGCTTACCTTAAGATTCTTATCAATAAGGAATACCTTATAATGCCGCATTTACAATACATGTTTGTCAAGCCTCGACCAGCATGTAAATGCGTATAAAAGATGGTTTAGACTTTTGGATATTCTTCATTTTCAAACATGCAAGATAGGTAATTGATAGGTCGAGTTTATTATTATGTGATGCAATTATTTAAGTTTAGTTGAATGATGGTAAATGCTGTAAATGAAAAAAAACCTTTATGGAAAAAGGAAAACAAAAATTTAATAATATTGAATTTAAAAGCAGGATGAGACTAATGATTTAAAGAAAGTGGCAGTGCTAAATTTATTTAGTATGGTCAGATATGTAATACAGCTGATAATTATTAAAGCAAGTCATTGGAATTTCAAAATGTAGACAAAACTGGACGTTTATAGCTCCAAATGAAAACAAGATTACTGTTTTAATTATTTTAATTTTAAACCTCTATTTAAACGTAAAAATTAAAATATATTCTCTCGAAGTAATTTTTGAAATATACAATCCTTTAGATAACAGACGTTACCCACAATAGTTAAGAAAGATCTTGACTTAAGTATCTAGGAGCAATACAATAATATACTTCTGGACATATCCATCGACCCACTTAATGTTATAAGTTTCAACGGTCTGTAGCAAAAATATAATTAAGTTAGGTGAGCAATAATAATTATTTTTAAAAACACATGAAAAAGATGATTAATAAATGAGCTTCAGAACTGCGTGAAAAGTTTTGACTCAATGTTTTATTTATTCTTAACTAGGGACCGTCATAACCATAATATAGGTCAAAACTCCAAATGCCGATAAATATATCTGGGAGTATATATTTAAAAGTTGATGAACTAAGCGTTATAATAGTGATAAAGCGAAGAATCCACATACCATAGATTGACAAAAGCTTCGCGATTGAAGCCAAAGCAAAGAAACCAAAACTTGGAAACATGCTGCCTTCTCCTGTGACCTAGAAAACGGCCTAGGTCTTTCTCAGAGTCAAAACAAGTTCTATGCTAAGAGAGGGGGGTCGGAACAGTGCAGGATCAATCAGGAAGAGGCAATCGTCACTTACAATTCTCGAGATGAAAGCCTTCTTCTAACTAGTTCTTAGAACGATATTTTAAAGCAAGAGTACCTATTATTATCATCGCTTCAGCTAGAAGGAAGTGATTTTCATTACCCAGAACAATTCACTTTGAAATTGAACAAACAAATAATATTTTTGTATCTAACATAGGGCTTTCGTGTCGTTGGTTTTTTAAAGAATGCGGTATTTACAAAACGTCCAAAAACGTTTTACTAAGCATATCCCAAAATTATTTACTGTTCTGTCCTATAACTAAGTTTACTCTAAAGTTTATTTCAGTTACACGTAAGTTCGGATTGCCTCGGTTTCTTAGCGCAATTAAATCCTGCTCTGCGCAAGAGTTCCCAAAGTTTGGTTGGCGGGATCCAACAATGCCCAGGGGAAAGCTCAAGCTTTAAGGTTGGAACAAGCTCTGTTACCTCCGTATGGCGTTTCCTGAGAAAGACCTAAGAATCAATGAATTTGATGAGATAAAATGACACACTGCGCGAAAGATGATAGTGCGAAACATGCCGGTCGATAGTGCACGTTTAATTTGTTAATTTTGTGATTCGTTAACAACTTTCATTTTTTTAGATTTTATTTTTATTTATTCAGAATGAACTGCAAACTTTGCTTTAAAACCATGTCTTTTGTTAATATGCCTGAAATTTCATGAAATAGTAATCTTGTTTTGGATTTTAGGTTTGTAGCTAGGTTACCTCAGGCATTCAGATTTAAGAAGAAATTTTTAACAAAATTAATCTTAACGACTGATACAATGTATAGTTTAGTTGAAATTACTAATAATATGGCTTTAAAACAAGGTGAGCAGACTAAAGTAATAGTTTTAAAGTGTGATGAAATCTTTATCGATTCTAAATGTATGAAGTTACCTTCCATCCTTAGATAGAGTGAACACAAAGATAGTTGACATTGAGGCAAGAATCAGACAGATGTAATGCCAAGGGTAATATTGGTGGGACATACCGATGCTGCTCAGGCTGGAGTCCAGGCCCAGGAAGATGACGCTCAAGTAGTTGAGGATGCAGCCGATGATGATCAGGTTGTTGAGGTGTGGTGAAGACATTTTTATGTAGCTGATAAAGAAATGTTAAAGGTCGTTTAATACTGCGTGTATATATATCGAATAATTATAATATTAGTATAAAATTATTAATATATAATCAATGAATCGTTAATGAAACTACTGAATTCTGCAAATACAGTTTCTCATCAAAGTGTAAGAGTCAGAGCATCAAATGGATGTAACTGTACGATTCATGGTGTTCTTTTTAAATTGACAGATGAACATAAATATTATATTTAACTAGTTAAAACACCCATTTGTAATATATGAAGGTTTTCGTAGCTTTTTTATCATCTTCTACATCGATGTTTCTACACCGGTTGCCCCGTGATCATGACCGGTGTAATCTGATAGACTGATGCATTGCATACATTGATCTGATGAACCTAACTCGTATATATTTTTTAAATGCTTACCGTTTTTCGTTAAATGTGGTATTAGATAGACTACCAAGAAATTTATGCTGTGAACAATCTACTTATTGTAGTCGGGATAGGAGAAGCTCGACCGGCACTCCGGAGTCCTGCCGTGCTATCTACTATATAAAAATAAGTCGGGTTTTCCTTCCTGACGCTATAACTCCAGAACGCACGAACCGATTTCCACGGTTTTGCATTCGTTGGAAAGGTGTCGGGCTCCGTGAGGTTTATAGCAAAGAAAATTCAGGAAAAATTTCAAAAAAAAAATTCTTCTTTTAATCACCAAACGAAATGTTACATAAAGCGAAGCCATCTGATGGCGAAATGGAGTTCGCCTGGTTTGCTAGTTTTTTTAATAAAACTTACCACTGCAACGGTGACTGCTAACTACCTGTTAAAATTCTAAAATATGTCATCTGGCATCATTTTGAATTGACAAGCTCACCGTTGATTCCTGTAATGTATGTTCATGGCGAGGAAGCCGGTGGCAAGCAGGATGCCCAGGATGGAGCAGGAGACCAGCACCGAGTAGATGGTGATGTTGACCTGCGTGTGCTCGATCAGCCGCAGCGTGCGGTCCTTGGGCGGGTTCCTGGTTAGCCATTTAAGAAATAACATCTGTATGAAGGAATCCTTAAAATCTTTATGTAAGGATGTTTTTTTTATGTTATAGGGGGCATACCAGCAGACGGTTCACCTGATGGTAAGTGATCACCGTCGCCCATGGACACTTGCAACACCAGGAGTATCACAAATGGAATGCCGGCCTTTAAGGAAGGAGTACGCTTTTTTTTTGAAGGTTTTTGGGTCGTATTGGTCCGGAAACACTGCTGGCAACAATATATTCCACATGGTGATAGATAGACACTATTACTTTGTTGTATGCCTTTAGTAATATGGCGCTTGTCGCGAGACGGAAAGACAAGAGAGCATGCATACCTGTTAATCAAGTTTATAGGATACTAGCTCGATGTTACCCGCGGTTTATCAGGGATATTTTCCCACAGTAGAACGTAACCTATGTGTTAATCCAGGGTATCAGCTAACTCCATACCAAAGTATATTAACATGGCTCCAGCCGTTTAGATGTGAAGAAGTAACAAACGTACACACACGGCATACACACTCATACACTCACAATCTTTCGCCTTTATAATACATACTATTTTGATAAAAACCAAAGTCTCCCCCCCGACCAAGTGTGATATTTTGAAGGTCTGCCTCCCACCTCTGAACGGGTTCCGTGGTATGGGTACGTTCCCTAACAAACCATATATTTACTGACTTGCCGAGCCACTTGAAGGGAACGCTGGTCAGGTTTAGATGGTCACGCGCTTGTTGCCATAGCAACGGGCCGGGCCTTGAGTGTTGTATATACTGACTTGATAAAGCACATAAAGAACCTGGTTGTAGTAGAAATAATGCGCGCGCAGCTCTTCCCGACGAGCATTACAGTTGGAGGGTAACTCGGTGAAGGCTGAAACGCTACGAGCGTCACACGCGACAACATATGTATATATATATATATATATATATATATATATATATATATATATATATATATATTATATATATATAAGGAATATATATATATGAGTGATGCGTGCGCTACTCCATTTCCCTATGCTTTATGTACCGCCTAATGTTAGGTTATTTAAGAAAAGAAGTTTCACTTCAGATGTGTAGTGCACTTGCACAAAATTTTTTTTCCCAACATGCGGAGAGTGTATATAGGTATACTGACTTGCCGAGCCACTTGAAGGGTTCCCCGCTGGCCAGGTCTAGATGGTCTCGCTCGGCGCAGTACTCCCCCACCTTCACCTCCCCCACCTGGTCGCCCTGGAACTGCTTCAGCAGGATTGACGCCTTGCGCTCGTTGTCATAGAAACGGACCGGGCCCTGGTGGGAAATAAATGAATAGCTAACACTCATTTATCAGTTTAAAGCTGCTATAGCAGTTACAAGGTCACAAGTGATCCTACAACATACAATGGAAATCTAAGTGTCGCCGCACACGGGCCACCGACCACTACCGCCAGCGCCGCCACCGGCATATTTCTTGTAGTTTTCATACATTTTGTATGGACTCGCCACGCACGGTACGCCGGTGTCCGCCACACGCTACAAATCGTCGTTGCTCGCTTCTTGTGGCCCGCACCGGCCACTTAATGCGCCGATACAAAACGCCGCCACACGTCACTCGCGCGATTCCCCACCCCTCTCTCCCTTACCTTAGTCGGCCGCTGTCGCGCGCTTCAGCCACTTTAGTAGCCGCTTCTAGCTTCTAGTGGCGGCGTTTGTGGTTGTGGCATGTGGCCCGTGTGCGGCGACACTAAAGACCTCTGCGCGAGAAATTCTGTATCTCTATCACCTTTACTTGTATAGCGTCGTCCATACGGGACTGGGCTGGATCGCACAAGATGGTTAGAGCGTAGTACTCTTCAGGCCCAATTGCACCAAAGGTTTCTAATCATAATAAATACATGTTTAAGTATAAAGCAATACAAACAAGCCCGGAACACTCGTCCGTCTTGTTGTTCTAGGCAAAGCATTTCACTCGTTATTTACTCTATTTGACTTTAAGCAATTAAACTGGCATATTGCAGGGCATCCTAGCCAACCCCCTATCGGAGGAGGCTGGTGTGCTTTGCAATATGGCAGCATAAATTTTATGTAATAGTTAAGGTTACAATGGGGCTAGTATGGACATTTTTGTCCAAAAGTCCCTAAAACAAAAAAAAGACTAAGCAATTGATAAGAAGGTAAGTCCCCATAAACGGCGGAAGTTTTTGCGATCGTGGAAATTAAGCAAGTTTTATAATGGCCGGTCATCAGATGGGTACCAGAAATATATTTTCTTGAGATCTTCCGTGTTTTGGCAGGCACGTTATTCTGTCAGACCCGATTGCAACTGCAGTCTTTGGCATCTACCAATCAGCACTGAGCTCGCAAGTTAGGTCATGGCCCGATGTCTCTATTGCTTCCAAAGAAAAGATGTGTACTCAAGACAAACGACTCATGATCACAAATCATCTGTGTGTTATGGTCCACTATTACTTGCTTCATGATTTATATATTTAAAATAGACCGTAGGAATTCGATAGCGTTATAGCCGTTGGTAAGCGCGTTCGGCTGCGATCATTGAAGTTAAGCAACTTTTGTAGTGGTCAGTAATTCGATGGTTCACCAAAAATCTCGGTCCTTCGTTAAGGCTGCATCTGCAGTCTTTGGTACCCACCAATCTATACTGGGCTCGCGTTATTCCATCCATAGGGAAAGCCTATGTTCCAGCAGTGGGAACATTAATATGCTGATGATGATGATGATGAGACTATAATGTCAGGTACTCACAGTAACCCCCTCGAAGGTTACGTTACTCAAGGCGTCGAGGAACAGCTGCTCCCATTCCTTGTCCCGATACCTGAAGTCCTGGACTGTCTTCTCCTTATACTTCAGCTTTACGCGCTGCGCGACTGTCTGTATCGCTAGGGCCATTGCCCAAATACCTGCAAACAGTGGGCATTAATTAGCTTTTAATTCGTTTTGGAAAAATAAATAAATATTTCCAACACTCACACCAATTAGCCTAGCCCCAAGTACTGCAAGGCTTGTTAGTCCAAGATTTTTAGATGTCCGCGCTGCATAAAATCCTTCTACGTTATTTTTCGATTGGATTATGTCGGAGGATGCCCCCCATGTATAAAACCGTTTCTGTCGCCCGAAACTGCGAGCGTTAGCCGCCATCTTGGAAACCGTTTTTTTGCATATATCTCGGAAACGGTAAGTTTTACGTTAAAAACCGAACAGATCTTTTTTGTAGAAAACAAAATTTCCCATCTTTTTTATACCAAACTTTTCCCCCTATTGTTGATATTTTCCGATATATTGAAGTAAAAAAACCAAATTTTTTGTTTTTGTAAAGTAACTCAATAATTTTTGGAGATTCGAAAAAAATGTTTGAATTAAAGTTGGAGAGCATGAAATTTTCTACAAATTTTATATAAAACTTTTTCTTGCAAAATGATTAGTTGCTGAAAATCAGCGGTAAGTGGCAATACGTTACGCTCGCATGCAAACAAAAAGTATAAGTAAATTCGATGTCTCCGCGTAAAGTATTGTTTTACAGAAGGTAAGTAATTTAAGTCGGAACGCCGTTAAAATGAAAAAAAAAATCGTAAAATTAAAAAAAAAGTATAATTCTTCCGGTTGTAAACAACGAAAAATTTTATAAATCTAACATCGACGAATAAAATTTATCAAATACAATTTATTAAATTAATATTCTGCGATCCTGATTTGTAAACAGCGACTTATATCGCGCAAATGATAATGAATTTGGATACATGAATAAAGGAGATTGCTCAAATTGGCCTAAATGCACAAAAAATATTGACATACACGGTAATTCTTGGCGTAATTTATAATTTAATTTACAGTCATTAGATTTCAACGGACACCTTTGTATAATATATTTACTTTAAAAAGGACTTTTAATTTTACCGGTTTGGAAAACATACGAATCATTTTTAATGACTATGGATGTAGTAACATTCAGCCAAAGACTGATCGAAGTTGTTTATATAACATAAAAACAAATCTATTTTGTAAAGATCGATAAAATATTTTTTTTTATTACACTGTGGTATTAACCACCACCACCACCACTATATTATCATTTTCACTAGATGCAAATGTGCTCAGACAATTATTATAGATGGTAGGCGACATCATAAAGTCTATTGCCATACATTTTTCGCCAAAGACCTCCTTAAACACATTATAATCTGTATATATGTTAGACTTTAAGGTATCTATCTATGGGCCTACGTTCCCTGACTATAAATTAATAAATAAATAAAATTATAAGGTGTGATACACTTAAAATCTAAAATATGGTTATCTTAAAAACATAACAAAAAATAATGAAGCTACTGAATATATGGCTATAGAACCTAAATCTCTTAGCTTTCTTTGGTTACTGAAAGTTTTAAAATGCTCTCTAATCTGTGGCTAATTCACAATCATTACACAGTTTCTGTCACAGAGTACCTTATTATAACCGGAAATGACACCTGATTTTTAAAGTTACTCTTATGCATTAACTTTAAAAACAGGCAACTATCTGTTAATCTACATGCTCTATATACCTGAATGTAATCCATAATTTCGGTACTTGGCTTGATTTCCCTAGTTTACTATATAACTTATTTGTTTTTAAAATTTATTATTTTAATATGTTCCGTGTATATGGTTTATAGAAGTTCTCAGGGGTGTCCGTCAATAATATTCGTTTCTACAGTAATTTATATATAATTTCGAATTTAGGAAACAATTTTTCATGATTATTGGTCTTTAGGCCAAACATGTATGGAAGCTGAGCAATCTCCTTTTCATTCCTTTTTCCAATAATTCGTTAAAATATTTTTATTGTGCAAAATTTCCTTTTTAATCTTTCATTTCCCTCCTTTTCACGATAAATAAAATCGTTACCGTCTTCATGATAAAATTTTTCGATTATACTTTTTTGTTTGCATGCCAGAGTAACGTATTACCGCTCATCGCTGATTTTCGATTCCTGGTGATAATTTTTATTCAGGTGGAACTCAGCAACTAATCATTTTGCAAGAAAAAGTTTTATACAAAATTTGTAGAAAATTTCATGCTCTCCAACTTTAATTCAAACATTTTTTTCGTATCTTCAAAAATTATTGAGATACTTTACAAAAACAAAAAAATTGGTTTTTTTACTTCAATATATCGGAAAATATCAACATTAGGGGGAAAAGTTTGGTATAAAAAAGATGGGAAATTTTTTTCTCTACAAAAAAGATCTGTTCGGTTTTTAACGTAAAACTTACCTTTTCCGAGATATATGCAAAAAAACGGTTTCCAAGATGGCGGCTAACGCTCGCGGTTTCGGGCGACAGAAACTCGGTTTTATACTTAGGGGGCACCCTCTGATATAATCCAATCAAAAAATCACGTAGAAGGATTTTATGCAGAGCGGACCGATTTTTGGTGCTAAAATTCCTGGACTATGTGTTATGGGATACTTGAGTAACGTATATCAGTACATATGTAAGTATATTTACATAGAAATACATATTAAACATCCATGACCGGAGTACAAATGCTCGTATTCATCACACAAACTTCTGCCCCCACCGGGATTTGAACCCGGAACCTCTCGAGTCGGCGACACCATGAAACCCGGCGTGCAAACCACACGGAGGTCGTCAAAAGATTTGGAAAAGTACAAATCCACCTTGCCTTACTGATAGAGCACAACGGAAAAAATATCCATTTGCTTCTACCGGTTCACTTAATAGAACTTCTGTATGGAATAATTATCCGTTTCATTTGTGCCAGTAGTGGTAAGGTAGTGGACAAAGTATAGTAAGTCAAAAGAGCAAACACTGAAGAAAAGTTCTGGATATTTCTTTGCTCATGTTCACAAAACTCATTATACTTCCCTAGAAAGACGTGCAATGGTACATTTCGTGTAGTGTTGCCCAAATTCAGTCTTGGTCTTGCAGTCTTGGTCTTGTTCTTGCATTTTTGCAAGACCAAGACCAAGAACAAGACCGCGTATTTTTAGCAAGACCAAGACCAAGACTGACCGTGCAAGACTTGAGCAAGAACAAGACTAATCCGGCAAGACTCTTGCGTCTTGCAGCTAGGACTTAGCGCTATTTCACGGAGTAGTTAGGTATACAGTTCGATGTATGTAGACGCAAAAAACTGTATCAAAGAATATGAAAAACTGGACCTATGCGCATTACGACTAATACCATAAACATACATAGCGAATAAAAAAATATCCATTAAAATCAAACAGAGTGCATGCATAGTTTTGTTTTAACCATCGGCACTTTGATAATGCGGCATCAAAGGTTTTGCACTGACTTCTCAAAGAAATTTGCCGCTTTTCGGAAGTACATGATGATGATACACGCGCTGGCGGCTTCTATTGAAATCACATACAACAATCGTTGCCGCCGCGCCGAAATCACAACATTTGACACTATTTGATTGCCGCCACAGGGCCTAGGTATACTCATGCAAAATTCTAATTTCGTGTCATGCCGTCCCACTCACGCTAATACTATTTAATATAAGAGCGAGCGAGACGGTATGACACGAACTTCGATTATCTAATTTTAGAGCTGTATTCTAAAAAAGTGTTCCAAAGAATAAATAAGTTTCAGAGTGCTTAGAATGGAAACGAATACATTATACTGATTACGCAAGTAGTATTATGATTAGATAATGGTAAGGATAGGTAGTAGATGTCATAATAATTTATTCTAGTAAGTATATATTATAATATTGATTATATGGGTTTAAACTAATTACTTAGGTACTATTATTGTACATTTAGTCAAAATATTTCTTAAATTTCTTAAGTTTTTACAAGAAAAAATAGCAAAAAAGTGGTCAAATATCACCCGTTTGATAAATATTGTAGCCACTTTTAAATATACTTGAAACGTGTAAAAAAATCTACAAAACTAATAAAATAATATAAAAAGCGTACCTACCTACTTATGGAAAACCATGTGGCAGTTGATTTTTCGAATTTCTTATCAAATCTTCAGACATTTATTAATCTGATTGGTCTTTACTATGGCTATGTTAATTCAAGCTCACAATGTTCCAATTCTAATACGTTTTTCTCAGATCTAAAGTAAACTTTAATAAATAGCAATAGTCTAATTGGTAATTGCAAGACTTGTAAGACTCTTGCTGCAAGACCAAGACCAAGACCAAGACTGGGAGCGCAAGACCAAGACCAAGACCAAGACCAGGTGTATTGGCGCAAGACCAAGACCAAGACTGGCTAAGTCTCGTCTTGTTCTTGCATTTGGGCAACACTCATTTCATGCTACATTCACAGTACAGCATCAAAAAGTTTCATAGAGTTTTAACACATATCAAGGTCCAGTTACGTAAGAATTTGTGGCGACTGGATTCCAAGAATGCTGACTTGATGCAAGCGTCGACGCGCGGTCCGCGGTGACGCGAGCCAGTCGCACATAAACACCGATCCCGTCAGGTTCATTCTTAAGCCATTGTGTAATAGTACGCATAACAGTTAGAAAATAGACATTATATTTTGGAGTTAGAGTAATTTAGATCAAACTTGGTGAACTGAATAAACAGTCAGTGATTAACCACAACACCTTTTATTTAACATTCACATTAGGTACCCCTAACCGAGCGAACTCTTATAGACACCCCAGACATAGGCCTAAAAAATCATGCGATTCTAGCCTTCTAAAAGACCTAGGCGTGCCAAGAACTGCAGTAAGTTCATTTTTGGAACGAGTAACTAAGGCTGCACTAACAGGCTCCTATTAAATTTGGCTAGGAAGTGCGGGCAACTCGAGCAGTGAAGGTGAGCGTTGATGAGCATCTTAAAGATGAAAGAAAGTTAATGTACGAAACAAACCCAATGATAGTTGTTCTAACACTGTTTATTTGCATGTAAATTTAATATTATAAAGTAGTAGCTTAAGCATATTGCACAATACCGCGCGTAAATGACTTGTTTCTACGTGACCTAAATTAGAACATATTATTTATAACCTAAACTGTACGATTACTCGTACAGCTCCCTAAAGCTAAGTCAAGGGAACTGCTTAGAGTTTCTCTCTCTCCTACACGATGGACCCGGCGCCCGCACGGTGAATCAATTTGACGACCTCCGTGGCCGAGTGGTTTGTACGCCGGGTTTCATGATATGGCCGACTCGAAAGTACCTGGGTTCAAACCCCGGTGGGGGCAGATGTTTGTGTGATGAATACGAGCATTTGTCTCCAGTCATGGATGTTTAATATGAATTTTCTATATAAATATACTTATATATGTACAGTATATGTATTCTATCCGTTACCCTAGTATCCCATAGCACAAGCCTTATAGTGCTTACTTTGGGGCTAGGCTAATTGGTGTGAGTGTTAGAAATATTTATTTATTATTTATGGATTGCTATGAAGTTCGTCTCTCGCTTGTTCGACAATCCTATGAGGTTAGAAAGTTCGATTGCTAATAGCATTTTGTGTACAAAATTTTAGAAGAATTTTCATAATGACCCAGCATCTGATTGATTAAAAAAAAATCTTTTGGTATAGAATATATTTTAGAATAGAAATATTTGGAGTCCTTCAGGAGTTCTTTCGTGTTTCAGAAGGCACTACACCTTTGTTGAATATGGTGATCTATACTTATAATAAATCTGTAGAGATGTCAATTCTGTACATGAAATTATTTTTAAATAACTCAGGGGGTGATTAGTGATCGATACTGATGCAAAAATGCAATCAGTAAATTTTTTGTCTGTCTGTCTGTCTGTCTGTGTGTTTGTTCCTTATAGAAACAAAAACTACTGACGGATTTTAACAAAACTTGGTACAATTATTCTTCATACTCCTGGGCAGGTTATAGTATACTTTTCATCACGCTACAATCAGTAGGAGCAGAGTAGTGAAGGGAAATGTTGGGAAAACGGGAGAAGTTACTCCATTTTTTAAGCTTCCGTCGCGTGTGCAGCCTTAATGATTAAAGTTACATAGAAATCATGTATGACGGAAATATTCTACATAAAATTGTCTAAAAAATATCCGCAACAGCATATGTCTATCTTTTATGGTTGACTCACAATAACACGTGTAACTCCCGATAGCTTAGCAGTTCGGAGCATTCTGATCATATTTGTTTACTCTTACATTTATAATACTCGGTATAGAAAACACCAAACTTATACATGAAATAAGCCATCGCGCCGTCGCACGTGAATACTGAATCATGCTATAAGGATTATTTTTGTGTAACGGTTGCCGCGCTCGACACGGGTCGCGGCAGCGGTAGGGTATCAAAGGTCCGAGAGCGAGCTGTCTAAATCTGTTTTCTGCGTCGCTCCCCCCCTGGGGAACGATCGCTTCCGATGAAGCCTTAGAGGCCTTCCCGGCCAGAGGCAGCCCCTACGGGTTTTTTTAGTCAGTACGAGTCTGACATAACCTTGCAGCCGGCTGTAGGGTATCCATGAGGATTTCTCATCTGCTCCCCGCCCGGGAGACCGAAACCGTGCTTATCAGCGCGTCTTTTAGTCTTTAAATAGTTTATTTGAATTTCTTGTTTGTTATTTTGTAAAACAGGTATTAGTTGTTTTGGTAGTGTTTAAATATTCGTTCAAATTAAAAATTATTAAGCGTCGGTACTTTTATTTGAAGTAGTTGTAAGTATTTATTTTTAAGTGAAGGAGGTATAGGTAGATAGTATTGCACAGGCGTTTCAGATTTATTTTCATTTCTTTTTTGTTGTGAGTTGTATATGTTTCTGGTTATAATTCTATAAGAATATTTTAGTTCAAATAGTCACTTAGATTTTATGTGTAAGGTAGCTAAAGTTAGGACCACGTATTAGTTGTTTTGGTAGTGTTTAAATATTCGTTTCAAAGTGTAATTTAATCATATAGGATGAATGTACGATGGCCCATCGAAAAGAGTAGAAGCGGTAGCAGAACTTTAAGAGATATAAGACAAATGATCGACCATGGGCGGTATCACAGTTTTATTTTGTGGTGATTTCCGACAAACCTTAACGGTAATACCACGGGGAACCCGAGCTGCTGAGGTTAGGGCTTGCCTGATGAAAGCTCTTATTTGTGGCGTGATATACAATCGGTGCATTTGACTATAAATATGCGAGTGAGAACTGTAGATAACCCGGATGATCGTGAATTTCTGATATATTATTAAAGAAATACCTTCACCAAAGATACTATACACTGCTACACCAAGGAAAACTTATTCTGACGCCTGAGTTATGTTGTATAGTGCAATCCCAACAACATCTTACATCGTCAGTTTCGGTGACGTAAAAAATTAATAAGAACAATTCTTGGCTATGCGAAAGGTCCATTTTATTTTAACTCCTCGCAATGACCAGGCATCTGAGATTAATAATAAATACTGTCGATATCCAGGGGGAAAGCAAAGTTTATAGTTCAATAAATAGAATGGCCGATGAACAAGAAGCCACTAATTACCCGATAGAATTTTAAATTCTTTAAATATGCCCGTACTTCCTTATCATGAAATTTGTTTAAAAATTGGAATTCCGATTATTCTGCTCCGAAATTTAAGACCACACAAATTTGCAATGGAACTCGGCTTAAAGTAACCAGTTGCAACAAAATGTAATCGAGGCTCAAATTTTATAGGTTGCGGTGCAGGAGAAACCATTTATTCCCAGAATTCCCATAATACCAAATAATTTTCCATTCCAATTTAAAAGAACGCAATTCCCAGTATCGTGTGTTATGCAATGACAATAAATAGGCTCAAGGGTAGACCTTTCGTGTTGTTGGAGTAGATCTCGGTGTCAGTTGTTTTTCAATGGTCAGTTATGTCGGTCTTTCCCGGGTTAGCAGTCCTAGAATTTTTTATGTTCACGTTCCGGACGGGTTTAAATTTCAACGTAGTCTACCCGGAAGCTTTGCGCTGAAGTATTTTCATTCTATATGTACTTAAGACTCATGTGAAAGCGATCTAAACAATTCAATACATTAACATAATAAACATACAAGGAGTTACACGCTGATGGTCTCGGGCACAGTGATAATAATAATATTCTGCGGTTCCTTATTGCGATATTTTTAACAGTATTATATTTCCTTACTAAAATACGAAAGTTAATCTGTCTGTCACATCAAAACCACGGAACCCTGAGGAAGGACATATGCTACTTTTTTACGAAAAACGACGATAACGCGGACGAAGTCGCGGGCAAAAGCTAGTAGTAAATAAATGGCTTACCATCATACGTGTATCCGTGGAATCTCGAATATTCTGTTCCTCTTCTCCTGTCGTATTCCACTTGGTAATCTTTTGCAGTCTGAAAGAAGATTTAGGTTTGTATTTCAAGGAGTTTTCGAAGCATAATAGTGCGATTAAAATTAAGTTGAGTTTAGTTGCTCGCAAGTCGCCGAGCAAGGCGACTCCCAATTAGACTTGCCATATGGCCGGGAAATCCAGGATTGTCCCGGAATTTTGCGTCTTGTCCCTGATAATGTGCTAGTTTCATAACAATATAAACTAATAACAAATGACAAAGCTGGCCTGCTTGATGTTTTAATTCTAGGGGGACGGGACGGGACGGGACACACTCACGATGCCGGAGAGGGTGGCGCGGCCGGAGGTGGCGAGCGGCAGCAGGTCGGTGAGGAGCGCGGTGTCGAGCGCGGCGGACAGCTCGCGCCGGGAGCAGGGCGCGCGCCGCGACCACCAGCGTCTGTACGTGCCTAGTTGAGGGCGCGGGACGGGACGGGACGGGACGGGACGGGACGGGACACACTCACGATGCCGGAGAGGGTGGCGCGGCCGGAGGTGGCGAGCGGCAGCAGGTCGGTGAGGAGCGCGGTGTCGAGCGCGGCGGACAGCTCGCGCCGGGAGCAGGGCGCGCGCCGCGACCACCAGCGTCTGTACGTGCCTAGTTGAGGGCGCGGGACGGGACGGGACGGGACGGGACGGGACGGGACACACTCACGATGCCGGAGAGGGTGGCGCGGCCGGAGGTGGCGAGCGGCAGCAGGTCGGTGAGGAGCGCGGTGTCGAGCGCGGCGGACAGCTCGCGCCGGGAGCAGGGCGCGCGCCGCGACCACCAGCGTCTGTACGTGCCTAGTTGAGGGCGCGGGACGGGACGGGACGGGACGGGACGGGACGGGACGGGACACACTCACGATGCCGGAGAGGGTGGCGCGGCCGGAGGTGGCGAGCGGCAGCAGGTCGGTGAGGAGCGCGGTGTCGAGCGCGGCGGACAGCTCGCGCCGGGAGCAGGGCGCGCGCCGCGACCACCAGCGTCTGTACGTGCCTAGTTGAGGGCGCGGGACGGGACGGGACGGGACGGGACGGGACGGGACACACTCACGATGCCGGAGAGGGTGGCGCGGCCGGAGGTGGCGAGCGGCAGCAGGTCGGTGAGGAGCGCGGTGTCGAGCGCGGCGGACAGCTCGCGCCGGGAGCAGGGCGCGCGCCGCGACCACCAGCGTCTGTACGTGCCTAGTTGAGGGCGCGGGACGGGACGGGACGGGACGGGACGGGACGGGACGGGACGGGACACACTCACGATGCCGGAGAGGGTGGCGCGGCCGGAGGTGGCGAGCGGCAGCAGGTCGGTGAGGAGCGCGGTGTCGAGCGCGGCGGACAGCTCGCGCCGGGAGCAGGGCGCGCGCCGCGACCACCAGCGTCTGTACGTGCCTAGTTGAGGGCGCGGGACGGGACGGGACGGGACGGGACGGGACGGGACACACTCACGATGCCGGAGAGGGTGGCGCGGCCGGAGGTGGCGAGCGGCAGCAGGTCGGTGAGGAGCGCGGTGTCGAGCGCGGCGGACAGCTCGCGCCGGGAGCAGGGCGCGCGCCGCGACCACCAGCGTCTGTACGTGCCTAGTTGAGGGCGCGGGACGGGACGGGACGGGACGGGACGGGACGGGACACACTCACGATGCCGGAGAGGGTGGCGCGGCCGGAGGTGGCGAGCGGCAGCAGGTCGGTGAGGAGCGCGGTGTCGAGCGCGGCGGACAGCTCGCGCCGGGAGCAGGGCGCGCGCCGCGACCACCAGCGTCTGTACGTGCCTAGTTGAGGGCGCGGGACGGGACGGGACGGGACGGGACGGGACGGGACACACTCACGATGCCGGAGAGGGTGGCGCGGCCGGAGGTGGCGAGCGGCAGCAGGTCGGTGAGGAGCGCGGTGTCGAGCGCGGCGGACAGCTCGCGCCGGGAGCAGGGCGCGCGCCGCGACCACCAGCGTCTGTACGTGCCTAGTTGAGGGCGCGGGACGGGACGGGACGGGACGGGACGGGACGGGACGGGACACACTCACGATGCCGGAGAGGGTGGCGCGGCCGGAGGTGGCGAGCGGCAGCAGGTCGGTGAGGAGCGCGGTGTCGAGCGCGGCGGACAGCTCGCGCCGGGAGCAGGGCGCGCGCCGCGACCACCAGCGTCTGTACGTGCCTAGTTGAGGGCGCGGGACGGGACGGGACGGGACGGGACGGGACGGGACACACTCACGATGCCGGAGAGGGTGGCGCGGCCGGAGGTGGCGAGCGGCAGCAGGTCGGTGAGGAGCGCGGTGTCGAGCGCGGCGGACAGCTCGCGCCGGGAGCAGGGCGCGCGCCGCGACCACCAGCGTCTGTACGTGCCTAGTTGAGGGCGCGGGACGGGACGGGACGGGACGGGACGGGACGGGACACACTCACGATGCCGGAGAGGGTGGCGCGGCCGGAGGTGGCGAGCGGCAGCAGGTCGGTGAGGAGCGCGGTGTCGAGCGCGGCGGACAGCTCGCGCCGGGAGCAGGGCGCGCGCCGCGACCACCAGCGTCTGTACGTGCCTAGTTGAGGGCGCGGGACGGGACGGGACGGGACGGGACGGGACGGGACGGGACACACTCACGATGCCGGAGAGGGTGGCGCGGCCGGAGGTGGCGAGCGGCAGCAGGTCGGTGAGGAGCGCGGTGTCGAGCGCGGCGGACAGCTCGCGCCGGGAGCAGGGCGCGCGCCGCGACCACCAGCGCCCGCTGTACGTGCCTAGCAACAGCCACGTGTACGCGCGCCCGTACATTTCCAGTCTGCGGACGGTATAAAACTGATAGGTACTAAACATTTACGCTTGGGACTCCGAACGTCGAGTTGTGGTCGAAGAAATAGGGCAGGATCTGTCTCCGCCAGCATTGATTGCGGCAATGCTGGCGGATGAGGGAGGTTGAAAGGCTGCGGCCTCCTTCTGTGAAGCGGTGATGCTACAGAAGGAGGCCGCCGAGCGGGATCGGGAGATGGCCGATCCCGCTCGAAGAAGGCGGCGTCGGGCCAGATAATGGCCTGATGTGCCGCCGCGGGTCGCTGGAGCGACGGAGCTTGTGCTCATGGAAGCGACCTGGGAGGGACGACACACCCGCATGGCCGGGGGGTGTCGTCGCAGGAGGGTGGAGAGGCGAACACTCCCCCGAGAAGGGCTCAAAAGCAAAGGCTGCGGGTCCTCAGATGCGATACTCGATCCTGAGGCCCCGTATAATGCCTGATGGTGGCCATCGCTGGGCTTTTAGTGGGTAGGCCTCCCCCTTCTGGGGAGAAGAGCCCTTCATAACCACCATGTGGTATGCAATTTAATGCATTTCCCCAGCGTATCAAAAAAAAAAAAAAAAGTACTTAACATTTGCACGCATGACTGTTTACTTTATTTAAAGCAAAACATTTACTTTGATTAAAAAAATACTACCGACTTCTGAATTTCCACATGTTAACTCTAATTTCAATCTTCTTCGATAACACTACTTACTTATACGCTTCACAGAAGATTCTGACAGCCCAGGTCTCGTTGAAGTTTCCCAGAATTATCCGTACGTCTTTCTCCTTCAGCTTGGAGAGGGCTGTCCTTACTTCCGTGGCGAAACTCTGCGTTTCTTCAATATCGAAGCCATGGTGGTCGAGGTCTGCTAGAAGGCGGTTGTGAGCCTGGAAGTATTTTATTGATATCAGCTTATACAATTGTTCAGTACGCAGCCGGTCGTCTGTAGGGCAGAAACCACGTTGCCCTAACTTCGAACCAAAACACCGGCGCGTACTTAGCTCCGCGATACACGGCTCGTTGGAAGGCACGTTAAATATGCCTAACCCTAACCAAATATAAAAGCGAATGTGCTTGAAATATCCAGGGTTTTGGGAACACTTAAACTCACTACCACTCAAAAACCACATACGATACAGGGGGCCCTAATAGGCTACTAAGGAACACCTGATGCTATTATAATATTCTATTGCCCACGCGGCTGGGACGGACAAATTGTGCACTGGACCGATTCATTAGCTAACTCAAGACGGACTGACTGATGGGTACGCAATCGAGTGTTTTAATAGTTATTTGGAAAAAGCTCTTTTTAATGCCAACGAGAAAAGAGCCGTTTTCAGAGCCAGTCGGGGAGTATCACCCCCCCCCCCCCCCCAAGGGCTTTTATTGTGACAAAGGAATTTTAGAGACCTCAGTCCTCAAAATGCGTGTCAAAGGACCGGTATAGGAGTATTGCATGTGTTCAAGTCATTGGGCTAATTCAGTTATTTGGTCAGGAATGATTGACGTATTTCCAAGACATAAAACAATAATTCAAAAAGATTTCGGTGAAGCACGTGAATTGTCGTTCCTGGCTACATCACCAGCAGCACTGACCACCAACCTACACCAGAAGGTATATAAGTAAGTCATTTTGTCTTTGAAACAAACTCTGTAACCCCAGCATGCGCCCCAGATCTAATCTTTTTTCTTTCATCATCATCATCATCAGCCTATTAATGTCCCCGGTAACTGTTGGGGCACAGGCCTATGGATGGAATAGGGAGATTGGGCCATGACCCACCACGCGGGCCCAATGCGGATTGGTGGGTGCTAACGACTGCAGATGCAACCGGGACCAACGGCTTAACGTGCCTTCCGAAGCACGGAGGAGCTCGAGATAGTAAATTTTTGGTCACCCATCCAATGACCGACCACTGAGAAAGTTGCTTAACTTCAAAGATCGCAGCCGAACGCGCTAACCAGTTGCGCCATCGAGCTCCTCCTCTTCTTTTCTTTATTACGGACGTTACAACTCGGATCAAAGGCCCGTGGTCCCACTGTTTCTCCTACTGGTGGGATAACTTTGATCTATTTGGCATCCATATTGTGCGTTGTCGAATGTTATTATGGTCTCACCAGAGCATATCTTGGCTCGTTCTGGTAGATGGTGCCGACCCTAGTCCAGTTGAAGTGCTGCAGCAGCCGTATACGCGGCAGATTGAACGCGTTCTCCGACGGCACGATGCGGAAGAAGTTGGGGAAAGCCTCCTTGGTGAACATCGGATGGGTGTCCGCGTAAGACAGCTAAGAAGCAAGTTTACTTCGTTAGAATAGAGAATACACAATAGGGATGATGACTAATTTTTTTCTTTTTTGATCAGGTAGATTATCAAAAAGTATTGGACACGTATTTCTTTCTTTTTTCACATAATATAAACATTGCAGAGATATATTGATTTGAAAAGTCGCATGACGTCACGTGTGAGTACACTTTTAAGCGAATATTTACTAAAAAGTGACGTCACGAGCCCCTACTCCCAAACTTTGACGCGCTATAACTTTGTCATTTTATGGTAGATTGCCCAAAGAAAAAATACGTGTCCATTATTTTTTGACCATCTAACTGACGGACTAAATAGGATTTCGTTTACTATAAAGAGACGATGTACAACAATTATGTGAAAGTTTGTATTTTTATTACTGAACTAGCTTTTGCCCGCGACTTCGTCCGCGTTTTCGTCGTTTTTCGTAAAAAAGTAGCATATGTCCTTCCTCAGGGTTCCGTGGTTTTGATGTGACAGACAGATTAACTTTCGTATTTTAGTAGGGAAATATAATATGTCAATCCATGGTGGACTGTTAAAAATATCGCAATAAGGAACCGCAGAATATTATTATTATCACTGTGCCCCGAGACCATCAGCATGTAACTCCTTGTATGTTATTATGTTAATGTATTGGTAATATTGTTTAGATCGCTTTCACATGAGGCTTAGAATGAAAACACTTCAGCGCAAAGCTTCCGGGTAAACTACGTTGAAAGTTGACCCATCCGGCACGTGAACATAAAAATTTCTAGGACTGCTAACCCGGAAAAGAGCGACATAACTGATCATGTGAAAAGCAACTGACACCGAGATCTACTCCAGCAACACGAATAGTCTGCCCTTGAGCCTTATTTATTGTCATTGCATAACACACCGATACTGGGAATTGCGTTCTTTTAAATTGGAATGGAAAATTATTTGGTATTATGGGAATTCTGGGAATAAAGATGGTTTCTCCTGCACCGCAACCTGTTAAAATTTGAGCCTCGATTACATTTTGTTGCAACTGGGTTACTTTAAGCCGAGTTCCATTGCAAATTTGTGGTGGTCTTAAATTTCGGAGCAGAATAATCGGAATGCCAATTTTTAAACAAATTTCATGAGAAGGAAGTCCGGGCATATTTAAAGAATTTAAAAATTCTATCGGGTAGTTAGTGGCTTCTTGTTCATCGGCCATTCTATTTATTGAACTATAAACTTTGCTTTCCCCCTGGATATTCGACAGTATTTTATTATTAATCTCAGATGCCTGGTCATTGCGAGGAGTTAAAATGGACCTTTCGCATAGCCAAGAATTATCCTTATTTAATATATTTGTTACGTCACCGAAAACTGACGATGTAATATGTTGTTGGGATTGCACTATATAACACAACTCAGGCGTCAGAATAAGTTTTCCTTGGTGTAGCAGTGGATAGGTATTTTTGGTGAAGGTATTTTCTTTAATAATATATCAGAAAATTCACGATCATCCGGGATATCTACAGTTCTCACTCGCATTGTTTATAGTCAAATGCACCGATTGTATATCACGCCACAAATAAGAGCTTTTCAGGCAAGCCCTAACCTCATCAGCTCGGGTTCCCCGTGGTATTACCGGTAAGGTTTGTCGGAAATCACCACAAAATAAAACTGTGATACCGCCCATTGGTCGATCATTTTGTCTTATATCCCTTAAAGTTCTGTCTACCGCTTCTACTCCTTTTCGATGGGCCATCGTACATTCATCCCATATGATTAAATTACACTTTGAACGAATATTTAAACACTACCAAAACAACTAATACGTGGTCCTAACTTTAGCTACCTTACACTTAAAATCTAAGTGACTATTTAAACTAAAATATTCTTATAGAATTATAACCAGAAATATATACAACTCACAACAAAAAAGAAATGAAAATAAAGCTGAAACGCCTGTGCAATACTATCTACCTATACCTACTTCACTTAAAAATAAATACTTATAACTACTTGAATTAATAAAAGTACCTACGCTTAATAATTTTTAATTTGAACGAATATTTAAACACTACCAAAACAACTAATATCTATTTTACAAAATAACAACAAAAGAAATTTAAATAAACTATTTAAAGACTAAAAGTCGCGCTGATAAGCACGGTTACTCAATATTTCTCAATTATTGTCTGTCAATAAGGTCGAACGCTCTGAACGCATCAACAGCCAAATATTGAAGCTCGCTCGCTGTCTTTTTTTATTTTTTTTGTTTCCTCCCAGACGGGGGAGCAGGTGAGAAATCCTCATGGATACCCTACAGCCGGCTGCAAGGTTATGTCAGACTCGTACTGACTAAAAAACACCCGTAGGGGCTGCCTCTGGCCGGGAAGGCCTCTAAGGCTTCATCGGAAGCGATCGTCCCCCAGGGGGGGGGGGGGGGAGCGACGCAGAAAGCAGATTTAGACAGCTGCCGCCGCCGCGCCGCCGCGACCCGTGTCGAGCGCGGCAACCGTTACACAAAAATAATCCTTATAGCATGATTCAGTATTCACGTGCGATGGTTTATTTCATATATAAGTTTGGTGTTTCTATACCGATTTCTATGTTTTGTTTTTATTGAATAGGTAATAATGTTAACTTTTTTAAATTAGGGATGAGTCAGAGTATTATAAACGTAAGAGTAAACAAATATGATCAGAATGCTCGGAACTGCTAAGCTATAGGGAGTTACACGTGTTATTGTGAGTCAACCATAAAAGATAGACATATGCTGTTGCGGGATATTTTTAGACAATTTTATGTAGAATATTTCCGTCATACATGGTTTCTATGTAACTTTAATCATTAAGGCTGCACACGCGACGGAAGCTTAAAAAATGGAGTAACTTCTCCCGTTTTCCCAACATTTCCCTTCACTATTCTGCTCCTATTGATTGTAGCGTGATAAAAAGTATACTATAACCTGCCCAGGAGTATGAAGAATAATTGTACCAAGTTTCGTTAAAATCCGTCGAGTAGTTTTGGTTTCTTTAAGGAACATACACACAGACAGACAAAAAATTTACTGATTGCATTTTTGGCATCAGTATCGATCACTTATCACCCCCTGATAGTTATTTTAAAAATATATTTCATGTACAGAATTGACATCTCTACAGATTTATTATAAGTATAGATGACGTAAAAACTACAGAATGGATTGGTACGCATATAGTTAAAGACCTGGATTGAGGCATGGAATACTTTTTATCCCGGAAAAATAGTTGGTTTTTGTGAGAATATAGAATATGAAAAAACAAAGTTAACGCAAATGAAGTCGCGGATGGCCGCTAGTATTTTATAAGCCCCTCACGAAGAAGAACTTGTCTTAAGGAAACTATAAATAGGTACGTATAATAATCAATATCGTTAATAATAATATTGTTCGATCGACATATTTAATTTGAAACCTGCGGCTATCAGGCTGTTGGTGGTTGATATTTTTTTTTGTGACAAACATTGTAAATTTAAATTACCAATCTTGAAAGGACAATGTTAAAATTGGCCTAAGAACCAACACCAATTTGGCATTTATGATAATTCTTAGTATATTTTTTGCGATAATTATCAGTATTTAGATTGTGACGGACACTTCCAGTTAAGTAAGCTTTAAATTAAAAAGTTAAAAAATAATCTGAGACAATAAATACCATTTTATGTATATAATCTATGGCAGCGCTGCAAATAAAACACTCTTTCTTCCTAATGCCGGCACTTCACATGGCTATTCGTATTTGCTATTTTAAAACATGACATCAGTCTGTCCTTTTCATTTCTTATTAAGCATGACAAGGGCAAACTGTTGTCAAGTGAAGGGCCGGCATAAAACTCGTTATTCTGTGGTTCTGGTGCATGCAGTTTGCATTCGTAGTAATCTGTGGCATTCCAAGTTGGCATTACCAAGTGCTAGTGAACCTGTGCCACAACATCCTGAGAGGATCATACTGCCAAATTATTCAAGAACACCTGATACACATTCACGCTGCATATTTACACAATATACATGTGATATACATATAAATACAATAAACAATATGATACAACTATGTGAAAAATAGTCAGTAAATAAGAAGCAAAACTACAGTTTTTATTTTATTCATGATGCCTACCTAACCAAGTTTTTCCTAATAGTTATTCTTTAAAATCGCACCGAATAAAATGAATTAACTAGGTGTAATATTAATTCACTTCATACTGAGTTTATACTAAATTCATAGGTTGACCTATGTTTCATTGAATATTAAACATAACCTCAAAAAAAATTTAGTTTTCCTAATAATTGAAGTACTCAGAAGTGTCCGTCAATAATCTTTCTTTTTACAGTCATTTACTTACGATTTTGAACCTAGAAAATAATATTTTATGATTGTTGGTTCTTAGGCTAACTATGTATGGACGCTGAACAATGTCCTTTCTTCATATTTTTAAGTGATAACTTAACAATGGCTTTATAGTTTAAATCTAAATAAAATTGTATTGGAAAAACTTCCACGCGGACCAGACAGCAGACGGGACTCGAACCCGCACCCTTCGCTATCCGGGATTTATAATAAAAAATATGGCTTATTAATTATTAAAATTGTTAACTAAATTTTGTATGAATAGCTGTAAGTTCTCCCATTCAAATACAAATAAAATAATGTAAGATATAAATTAATGATGTACCTGGGTCAAATGCCAGTGCTTGGATGCCTTCGCGATGGGATCGGTGACGTGCGTGCACGCAGCTCCGAACAGCATCAGTTTGTGCGGTCCGCTGTGCATCATGTCGAAGAATGACTTCACACCAACCGCAGCATTGCACTATGAATATATGCAGAAATACTAAAATTATAATATAAATATTTCTGACACACCAATTAGCCTAGCCCCAAAGTAACAACCGAACCGTTGTGTTATGAAATACTAGGGTAACGGATAGAATACTTAAATTGATACATATACAGGGCGTCCCACGGCTACCTCACACGGAGGAAAACTGTATTAAATATTGAAGATAGGGTATTTTACTGAAAGAAGACATCATTTTATTTTTAACTAGTGGCCCGCCCTCGCTTCGCTTCGTGTAGAGCTGTAGTGTAAACTATAGTTTTTGTTCTTAAGCTTGTGCTATAAACAATGACTTTATTTATATAATTACACGTGTTATTGTGAGTCAACCATAAAGGATAGACATATGCTGTTGCGGGATATTTTTTAGACAATTTTATGTAGAATATTTCCGTCATACATGATTTCTATGTAACTTTAACCATTAAGGCTGCACACGCGACGGAAGCTTAGAAAATGGAGTAACTTCTCCCGTTTTTCCAACATTTCCCTTCACTGCTCTGCTGCTATTGATTGTAGCGTGATGAAAAGTATACTATAACCTGCCCAGGAGTATGAAGAATAATTGTTCCAAGTTTCGTTAAAATCCGTCGAGTAGTTTTTGTTTCTATAAGGAACATACACACAGACAGACAGACAGACAAAAATTTTACTGATTGCATTTTTGGCATCAGTATCGATCACTAATCACCCCCTGATAGTTATTTTAAAAATATATTTCATGTACAGAATTGACATCTCTACAGATTTATTATAAGTATAGATAATAACAAGAACTGCATTCACAGATTTTTTTAAAATCGCCTGCTACAACTGGGAATGAAACTCGTGAAATTTCGAAAAAATAAACTGAACATATTTTATGATAACCATCGAAAGGGTTAATCTTATGGATTATTTTTTGCTAAATAACATAGCATCTCTTATCTATTAGACAAGTCCGTCCGTCCGTCTGTCTGTGGTGCTGTTTCAGCGGCCAAACCGTAAGAGATAGATAAAGAGAATGTTTAAGTTATAAGTTAAGAATAGTCTGATAAGACTACAAACCGGATTTGAGTAACGTAGCACTTCCGGTTTTCGAGAAACCACGAATTTCAAACGAAACCACACAAAATCTCCGAAGTTCTCAATTAATTTTTTTTTAAATCAGGTTTTGGTGAACATTTGGTTCACTGGTTTGCTAGTTTTAAATAAAAGGAATGTCTTATTACGTGATAAAAATAATTAAGTGATATACAGACTGTAGTACGTTTGCATTTCTTTTTGAACTCACAGTTACAATGCGATTGGCTGAAATTTATTAAAAATAATTTCTTTTTTTTGTGAGGTCCATTTTCGTTTATTTGCAATTTAATTACCATGGCGTATCAAATTAAAATGGACTTAATGGAAGGTTACTTTATGAACCACAAAGACATATTAGCTTTGCGGTGGTACCGCGACAGATACCCTGATAGAGACGTACCTTCTCAATATGTGTTGAAAAGGTTGGTAGTGGATACTTTAAGAAATTTAGGACGTTTTGATATGCGCTTACAGAAACCACAGCAGCGGATGATAAACGTCAACGATGATAAACTATATAAACTCAACATTTTAAATTACTTTGAGGCGTATCCGATTTTATTATTACAAGCTTTTATTTAACTTGCTATGTATGTTTGTTACGGTCAAATCTTACAACTCAATTTTAAAGCACTTGCCCTCAACCGATTAAGCTGAAATTTGGTATGCTCGTTCAGTTCGGATGACAATGCATGCTTAACAGTGTGACGTCATTCCAAATCCAATATGGCGGCATACCCAAAATGGCGGACCAATCATTTTTAATGCATTCCTATAATATGGGTATCAAATTAAAGGGTTTGCTGAGAGTAACTCGAAAAAAATGTGACGTCACTCTCAATCCAACTTCTAAAATTTGAAAATCTATTTAGAAACAAACTTTAACTAAATTTTCTTTTTTTCTTTTTAGCGCATTTGAATAAAAGCTTGTTTTTAAAAAGGTTTTTGTACCTTAATTTTATATTACTTTGTGTTAAATAAAATGTTAAATTAAATTACTTTTCTTTCATTTAAAATGCTATGTTATTTAGCAAAAAATAATCCTTATGATAAACCTTTTCTATGGTTATATTAAAACATTTCGAGTTTTTTTTTCCAAATTTCACGAGGTAGATTCCCAGTTGTAGCAGGCGATTTTAAAAAAAATCTGTGAATGCAGTTCTTAGTATTATTAAAAATAACACGATATTTTCTTTCACTAAAATATCCTATCTTCAATAATATAATTTCCCTCCGTGTGTATACATATATTCATATTTTCATTTCTGTTATATAATCATTTAAGTAGTCATTGGTACATAACACAGGTACATTATCATCTTCTGAATTGGAAAAATGGAGGATTCTATGTATTTGAATTATTGTGGTAATCAAAATTTAGAAGGGTAAGGTAAGGTTCTCATTTCTTTTATAATCGTTTATTAAGTAGTCATCTTTATATATATAATTCTTCTGTGAGTGTGTATGTCACTGAACTTCTCTTAAACGACTGGACCGATTTTGATGAAATTTTTTGTGTGTGTTCAAGGGGATCTGAGAATGGTTTAGATTCACAATTTTGTCCGCTGGACAACCCCTATTTTTTTAGGGCGGTACGAAGTTCGCTGGGTCAGCTAGTTGGTATATAAAACAGGTAAATAATTTAATCATTTTCTGTATTAAACAAGTTAAAGTTTTTAATTCATTCAGTCATATGATGAATGGTTACATAATAGCAATAATTTAAAGTTTACGCGCCTTTTTTGGCCATATCTCAAAAGTTGGTTTTGTCATTTAGCCGCATTTTAGCTTGAGAATGGCAGATTAGAACAAAACAAAAGAGCGCGAAACAATCACGTCTGTACAAGTTTTTGGCGCTAAAATCCAGCCGAATACTTTTGCCTAATATTCGGTATTCGGTATACTGCCGAATATACTATTCGTTGCAAGTCTAATCAAAACATTATAGATTCTTGTGGCACTATAGTTAATGTGTACCTCAGTATCGTTCCACCACATGTGCAGGCGGTAGTTTCGCAGCACCGACTCGTGCTCGTTGACGTGGTCCAGCGCGAGCTTCACGCTGGGCATCACCCCTCGACCTACGGCAGTGTTCACGGGACATTGGTACCCACGTACATAGGGTTGCCACTCGTAATCTTAATATATATAAATCTCGTGTCACAATGTTTGTCCTCGATGGACTCCTAAACCACTGAACCGATTATAATAAAATTCGCACACCATGTGCAGTTCGATCCAACTTGAGAGATAGGATAGTTTAAATCTCAAATTATAGTCGCAATTTTAATTTATTGCAAATTATTACTTTTGGGCGGTTCGAAGTTCGCCGAGTCAGCTAGTTTATTATAAAGTATTGTACGTTACTTCGAGTATTTTTTTTTACTTACTTACATAAAGGTAATCTTTATTAATGTCAACAAAAGGTAAAACAATAATTACAAATTAAATATTTCATTGAGTTCACCTGTGCGGGGCACGGTCCCTAGAAGACTGGCAGAGTTGCCTCGCTGTATCGCCAAACTAATTCTTTGAGCAAAAAAGCTACCAGATCTTGGGTCGCCCGTAGCCTCGCACAGGCGAGCAGTCATATCCTTCGGGTAATTGTACTCTATACTTTATGCCAACAATAAAGTACGCGAAAGTACTTTATTTAATGTGGTTTGATTACTCGCGGATACATAAAATATACAAAAAGAGGTTGATAGGAAGAATTTATGCGTAAAACGGAGAGAAAGTATGGATATGTTGCCCTTAGCTAATTCCTGCAACATTTTCGTGGCTGTGTGTCTTTGTATCATGATCTTTCCCATTGCGGAAAAAAACTACAGTAGCCGCAATTTTTTTATTAAAAGTTGCTAGTAGCAACGTAAAATATATTTTGAAGTTTACTTATAAAGTGGAATAAAAAGTACTTTATTTTGGACACAATGTACTTTTTTCTACCTTTAATATCCAATGTACTTTTCGAAAAAAAAAGGTGGCAACCCTACACGTGCATCATCAGCCTTGAAAGGCTCACGCCATGTGCGGAAGCGGAACTAGGACCGCTACGATGTTTTCGTGCAATCATATTATTCATAGGCAGGCAAGCATAAACTTTGACTTTACGTTTATCGTTTTTGAGGAGCTCGATGGCGCTAGTGGTTAGCGCGTTGGGCTGCGATCGTTGAAGTTAAGCAACTTTCGCAGTGGTCGGTCATTGGATGGGTGACCAAAAATTTACTATCTCGAGTAACTCTGTGCTTCGGAAGGCACGTTAAGCCGTTGGTCCCGGCTGCATCTGCAGTCGTTAGAGCCCGCCAATCCGCACTGGGCCCGCGTGGTGGCCCAATCTCCCTATTCCATCCATAGGGAAGGCCTGCGCCCCAGCAGTGGGGATGGGGTGAGGCTGATGATGATGATGATGCATTTTATCGTCATTTTCAAATTTTGTATAGAAGGAGCCAGTTTACTATTAGCTGATTAGTTTTCAAGTTAATTTTCAACAATATGTACAACCTGCATATATTTTATTATATATTTTCATGTATTTTTTGAGTGAATGTGTTGAAAATTACATTATTAGTACCTCACTGTAAAAAAAAATATTAAACAAAAAACTATAATTACGACACAACAATATCAAACTAAAAAGTTTATACAGAAATACATATCAAACATCCATGACTGGAATACAAATGCTCGTATTCATCACACAAACATCTGCCCTCACCGGAATTCGAACCCTGGACCTCTCGAGTCAGCGACACCATGAAACCCGGAGTACAAACCACCCGTCCACGGAGGTCGTCAAATATAATATTTTTGTTGTGCCCTGTTAAAATAGGATAGATACCAGTGTTGGAGTTCTCGACTCCCTTGCCGAAGGGGAAGAAGCCAGCGATGTAGACGTCAGTGCGGCGGTTCAGGATCGCGTCCAGGTTGGGCTTCTGCGGTGTACCGGCGACCAGAGTTGTCACCAGCAACGCGACAAGTAGAGGCAGCATCGTGGGACCCTGGAATTTGAGATGTTCGTCACGGTTTCAGAATTCAAACTTAAACTCATTTATTCAGTCTAGGCTGTTACAACCTCTTGTGAAAGTCAAACGCTACGCCATCGGTTCATAAATCTACGGCGGGGGACCTTGTACTGAGAAGAACCGACAAGAAACTCGGCTATTTTTTTCTCCCTGTGTTGTTTCATACAGTGTCGTCAATTAAAAGGTGACATCAAAATTTGAAAACAAGTGTTGATGTCAACTTCCATCACATTAATATTATTAATTTAAAAAGTTAAGTATAGCTAGGTGCTATTTTTAAATTTAGAAGTAACTAAATTGGTCACGTCGCCACGGTTCCCTTAATAAGAACGCCCGAAGCTTGAGAAGGCAGCCTGTAAAATATGCGAAACGTAGAGATATGTATATAACAGCAGAAAATTGAAAAGGTTAGGAGGGACTTGTCGGCGGGGCAGGCGCACCAAATAATGTGTGAGCATTTGGCTCATAACTTGACTAAAAACTTTTCTTTAGATTTAAACATCTAGCAGTTAAATGCTTAAAAAAAATAAAAACATAATTATAAATGCTATTTCTTCTTTCAAATGTTTAATACTTGAAAAAGTATTCATTTGACATTGTTGGTTACCTACAACGCGAAGAGATGGCGCTGCCTTGCAGCTTAAAGATAGGAAAATTTCGACGAGGCCATCAGGGCCGCGGTAGCATAATTGGTCAGTGCATTCACCCGGATAGCGAAGGGTGCGGGTTCGAGTCCCGTTTGCTGCCTGGTCCGCGTGGATTTTTTTTCTATTAAAAACTTTTCTTTAGATTCAAACATCTAGCAGTTAAATGCTTAAAAAAAACAGAACTTGACTAAAAGTTTGTTCTGATTGCACCGTTGCTCTCGGGTGTGAACGCTGATTGGTTCGATTGTTGGATGTCGCGTCGTTTGATTGGCTATTATCTGTTAGGTGGAAGTGTAGTGGGGGCGAGCCGGTGACATCGGTTCCCGTACAAACGGTTTATGATCAACCTTCTAACCTCTTTCTGTGTTCTGTGTATGTAACAGCCTGCGCTGCGTTAGGGCCTAAAGGCCCATGCACGAGTTTTTGGCAGCTCTGTAAAGTATCGTAATCGTATTTTTTATTTATTTATTTATTTACTACACAGTAAACTTACAGTGCTAAACCAAAACGTACACTAGTTAAAAAAACAAATCTAACAGCTAAACACTATGCATACAACTTAAATATGACATTAAATAATAACAAAACACACATATTTTTTTGGGATAATATGTCAGCCTCCGGAATCCGATCATGTACAGCGTTAAGCAAAGAGATTGCTCTCGAAGTCGGGGCATTTTGAGCTCGTCGCGTACGGACCTTATATAACCTTTTATGGAAAAAGCTAGTTTGTTCTTTGTCTCAAATAAAGACTTCTGACTTCTACGTCCGATAGGGGAAGTTAGATACGTCACGAAGCACGAAGCTGTCAAAATCCCGTACTTAGAACTCTGCTCTGCGGCGTTAAGCGGGAACACGGAGCGGACGTCTGCTCTGCTCTGCTCTATCAAATAACATAAAACAAACGCATTTTAAAACCGTTGAAAAGATGTTTTTAATTTATTTTTAAGCATTTAACTGCTAGATGTTTAAATCTAAAGAAAAGTTTACTAGAAAAAAAATCCACGCGGACCAGGCAGCGGACGGGGCTCGACTGTGGGTTACCTACAATGCGAAGAGATGGCGCCTTGCAGCTTAAGGCTAGGAAAATTTCGACGCGGCCAATAGGGCCGTGGTAGTATAATGGTCAGTGCATTCGCCCGGATTGCGAAGGGTGCTTGTTCGAGTCCCGTCCGCTGCCTGGTCCGCGTGGATTTTTTTCTAGTAAACTTTTCGTTGAAAAGATGTTTTATTTAATGAGTGGTATGCGTAAAAACATTAGAAATTAATATTAGAACACCCGCTTTCGCCTAACGATAGGGATTCTAACTGCGAATCTAGCGGCCTCGAGTTCGAATCCCGAAAGGGGCAAATATTCGTGTGATAAACTTGTTGATCGAAGGATAAACGGGTGCATTTACCTACCTGTCATTGATGTCAACTGTGAAATTCATATCTAATACTCATGTCTACTGTCCCTTGGAGCTGTGAAAAACTCAAACTTCTAAGCCAAAGCAATCAAAAGATACAGCCGCGAATTTCCGAAAGTTTTCAAAACTCGCACGGGAATTAAAACCTACAGGGTACTTCCCGTGAACTTAGAATCTTGAAAGGTACGAAGTAACATCTCATAGTACAGATGAAGGAAAAATTGCGAAAACCGTAAATTTTTAGATAAATAAAAATATTTTTTTAAATTTTAAAGTAACTACCTCTTTTCTCATGAACGCGTAGAGATATTAAATTGAGTTGGTAAGTACTTTTCGGATGTGGGCTAGGCGCAAAAAAAGTGTAAGAATTTTCCGTCACGATTTTCCGTTACGATCATCAGCTGGTTTCGTAAAATATTGTGTGCACTTAGTTGTTTGTAGGTCGACATCTTAGTACTTATGTTTATTTTTAACTTCGTTGCAACCAAGTATTCCAGAACACTCACCTCAGGTTGTGTTAAATTAAAAAAGGCTAGCTTGATGGTAAGCGGCTGCTTAGTATTGGCTGCTTAGTTAAGGCTAGCTTGATGGTAAGCTGATGGTGGCTACCATAGCCTATTGTATAATTTGTATATTTCTTATCAGAATGAAATTATTTGTTTCTGAGGTTTTCACGCAAACCGCTCATTAAATAAGTAAAACAAGTTTCAACGTTAAAAATGCACTGATTTATGTATTTATGACGTTTCGCAACCTTTTCAGGCTGCGTCGTCAGAATTATGATTGAGAATTAAATTATTTTTATTCCAAATTCTAAAGAGCTGGTTAAAAAGTCAAGTTTTTGAAGTTATACTTCTTTAGGCGCGTTATGAAAAAATGATGAGAGTGAAATTTTAAGATGCGCGCGCATCACTGTAACACAAAATTTTAACAGCATAGCGACCAACTTCATGCGTTACTTTTGTGTTTACCGCACATTAAGAAAATCTACCAACAAAATAGAAATAGAATCTCTATTTAGTGGGTGCTAACGACTGCATTGTAAAGGCCTATCAAAAGTATTTATTAATCTGGAACAACGGAACCAAAGCGCGATTCAGGAGACTACAGCGCCATCTCTTGACCATTGGTGTAGTAGAACCAAAAACCACATCTTTATTTTTTGTAATAAAGTAACAGTTATAGGTATTCATATTTATAATATCAAAAGTATTTATTAATCTGGAACAACGGAACCAAAGCGCGATTCAGGAGACTACAGCGCCATCTCTTGACCATTGGTGTAGTAGAACCAAAAACCACATCTTTATTTTTTGTAATAAAGTAACAGTTATAGGTATTCATATTTATAATATTTATCCACATGTTTCTAGTTTGTATATTCGGAATACGTGTTTGAGTTTCATACAAGTGCAAATCACATATGTTCTAATAAATTATATTCAGTAGCGATTTTAATTGAATATTTTGATTATTTATTTATTTTTTCAAATTAAAACTGAACTTTATTGACTGTGTCCTTTTCTAGACTTTTTATTAATTTATTGTAATTAATTATTTGCATGCAATTAAAAACTAATTTTAAACGATGCCAAAGAAGGATAACTTCTCACGCGCCTACATAAGTACACGCACCCATTTTTTTTTTTATAGATAGGTCCGACAAATGACTCCAGTGAAGTCCAAACGAGAAGATAGCTGATACAGCAGTTCTACCTGCCACACCAGCCGTCCTCACCCTGCCGGCCTGCATGTTGCTTCTTCACGCCTCTTTTAAAGGATCCCAGGTTGTAAGAGGGAGGGAACACGTGAGCGGGCAGAGCGTTCCATTAACGGATAGTGCGACAAAGAAATGAGTCACCAAATTTATTTGTACGCGTTGGAATTGTGGCCACAGTAAGACGGTGACGACGTAGGTCAGCGCGCGTGGTCCTCTGAAGGAAAGGAGAAGGTGGGATAAGAGAGAATAACTCATCAGATTAGAGCGTCCTAATTATGGGTCCCACCTGATAACAGCAGCCACCATACACAAGAGCAAAAAATCGCCATATTTTACGGTATTTTACCTGTGTAAACCCCTTATTAATAAACGGGGACTACGCTTGGATTAGTTACTCCATGTTTTGTCTCTGTCTATTGAATGACAAATGGCGTTTAGTGACATGAATAAAACATAGCATAACTAATCTAAGCTTATTCCTCGTTTATAAATAAAGGAATTAAAGTTTCGGAGCGCTTCCTGCCAAACACACGTTATTGTGAGATTAAGGTTTTCCCAAAGGAATTAAAATGAGTTTCTTCGAAAGAGACATCAAAGATATGATTGCTATTTTGCCTCCTTTATATTATTAAACACCGAATTAGCAAACTGAAGTGGCAGTGGGCTGGTCACATTAGCCGCAGAACTGATGGCAATTGGAGCCGGAAAGTTCTTGAGTGGAGACCGCGACTCGGTAAACGTAGTGTAGGACGCCCTGAGACAAGATGGGTTGATGATATTCGTAGGCGGGCTGGAGTGGGCTGGATGAGAGTAGCACAAAATCGGGAGCAGTGGCGTGCATTAGGGGTGACCTATGTCCAGCAGTGGACGAACATGGGTTGATAGTGATAGTATTAAACCTCTTAAAACATAAGACAGTTGAGCAGTTGGAAGAAGCATTTAAAACTCTATTGCTGTGTTCTCTAGACACTGCAGTTTAGTGCTTGAAAAACGACAGATCAATTTTCGTTATTTTCGTCTGCTCAGACTTATACGAGTCTTTAAAAACTATAAAGGAAACTATACATAAGTACCTATATAGAATCAATCTAAAGTTAATTGAGTCTTGCAATCTAAAAATAAAATTAAAAAAAAAAAACTTTATTTATCGATACTTAGTAGCGTATGGAGACGTTTAATAACAGTAATCATAGCTCACCTTGTTTGCCAAAATACAAATTAAGTAATTTAATTCCACTTAGCGCTGAAGCGACATACTGGTCACACGAAAGACACACATTCACAGCGATCTATAAAAACCTACACACATAATAAACTTCACTCAAAAATTCCATTGACTTTTCACGTGAACATTCGCACATTTCCATTCCAGATCAATCCCGGATCCTCATGTCCACCTGGGTAGTAGCACTTCTCAAAAGCCTCACGGACCTAGAAATACTGATATTGTACCCCATCCAAAAATAGACTTATGCACGTTAAAATACACCTTACTATTGCATGGTACACTGCTGCCCAGAGAATTTTCCTATTATTCGTTTGCGCATGTATAGGCAGAAAAAGGTTCGACAAAAGTAATCTTCACTCCTTTACAATAAGATTGAAAATATTTGACTTGATATTTACGATACGATCTTTCGGACCGTGACGTTAAGGCAAACAAGCAAAATTAGGCTTTCGCGCTGGAAATCGATACAGCGTAAGTTGTTTGCTAGTGATGTGAAAAATAATTCAATCCATTGCATCGAATTTTCAAACCTTATTTCATTTAAATGTCAACAATAGTTAATTCGATGTTTTCAATGCTTGGCCATAACACGCTGGCCGTAGCCCTTGATCAGTAGTCCTGCCGCAATCTTTGGTCGAAGCCTTCATTTAAATTTCGGCATTTACCTGGCTTTTATAGCGGCGCTTGGCTACACCTTTCATAGGAACCAAAAACATACAGCGAGCGAACGCAATTTTCATATTGCGGATCCAATGCAGAAAAATGGGTGTTAGTTAGCTAACCACTGATGATGCCAACAGCAGGACTGTTCTTTTCCGAAGCACAGAGGAGCTCATAATATTATGAGTATGTTATCTGAGTATGTTAGCAAACAGAATGGACTCCCCTCTGCTCGGTTTGTTCATCAAACTACATGTTTGGTGACCAGGCCGAGGGGAGGGTGCTTACTTCACAATTAGTAAAAATTAATAAATTTTGAAATTATTCATTTATTGTAATTATTTCTTTTATATATGTTAATGATTTAATTATGTTTGTATATGTTATAATGATGATTGAAATTGTAATGAAATACTAACATAGGTTAAGAAAAATTGTTACTAACATATATGAGACCATGTCTTGAAATTAAAGTTTTTTTTTTTTATTTATTTAATTATTGGTCACCCATCTGAATGTCAGTCTCTAATAAGAGGTAGGGCTTAGCGAATTAGGCGATCGATTTGGAGCGTCCATCTGGTGAAGTAACCCCCTCTTACAGAAGACAGTGAAATAACACTGCCTTTTGGTGCTGTTGTGTTACTGTGGATAAGTAAGATTCTAGTGCTCCACGGGGTAGAGGATTAGGTTAGGGTAGGTAACGACGCGGGTGATATTTTGAAGTGATAACTTCTTATTACAGATGGGTAAACCGCTTCGTTACATAACGCGTTACGGCGCCAGTCTGTCTTGCTTCCCTTCCTCTCACGCATACGGCAGCGGTAGACAGGCTCCTCCTCTCTCAGTCTTACCCGGGCTGCTTAGATTAGTTTAAATTATCACTTCGCGTCCCGAGACGCACACACTTTTCTTTTTATTGACGACCTCCGTGGCCGAGTGGTTTGTACGCCGGGTTTCATGGTGTCGCCGACTCGAGAGGTCCAGGGTTCGAATCCCGGTGGGGGCAGATGTTTGTGTGATGAATACGAACATTTGTACTCCAGTCATGGATGTTTAATATCTATTTCTATATAAATATACTTATATATGTACAGTTTATGTATTCTATCCGTTACCCTAGCATCCCATAACACAGGCCTTATAGTGCTTACTTTGGGGCTAGGCTAATTGGTGTGAGTGTTGGAAATATTATTTATTTATTTATTATTATTTATTGCAAACGTTTGTAGGCTATGGAGGCCGCTTACCATCAGGCGAGCTTTAAGATTGTTGGCCACTCTTTTAACATAAAAAAGTCTGCTAAAGTTTCATTACAACCGCAATCTCAAATATGTAAGTACATATATTGAAAGAATAGAGCCTAGTACAATTTTCCGCCTGAATTGGAGCGTTAGCTAAGAACTGTAGCCAAATGTCTTAGGCCCGTATTATAGAAAGATTCTCAGTGACTGAGCTAGTCTTGAGCATAGTAAGAAAGTGATGTCACTATAATATATAGCACAAAGCGATATCCTATTCTAACTGTACTCAAGTAAAGATCAACACTTAGTTGTAATTCTGTAATACAGGCCTAAAAGTATTAAACACTCTTTCTGTATCGTCGTTTCGGATCGGAGAATCTCTTATCTATAATCGTTAGTAATAGCTCGTGAACAAATCAGTTTTGAAATCGAATTAATCAAGCAACAAATGATATGCGATTGTTCCCTGTGAGATAACTTTACATCACTAGTGGGTAGTTCTACGCTTGCGCAGAAGCCTAGATGCTATTTACTTGGCATTTCATGTATGGTCACAGAGTGAGTATGTTATTTCCGTGATCAGTATAAGCAAAGCTGTTATTAAAATAACAATTCTTCTTAAAATCTTCATGGTAAAGTTTATGCCTTATATATTTACTTCTGCAAAAGATTTAATCAAAACATTGCCGCTGAATTATTGCAGGCGTCAATAAATAGACATAAGCAAAAATTCCACCTGTCCACGCACAGGGTATTCAATTTATTATACATAGCTCCGGAACATCAACATTTTATTGAATGAGAAAAAATCCATAACACAGTATTTCACCCACGTGCGAGTCGGGTGCCACGCGTCTTGCAAGGTTTTGTAGTCTGTTGCCAACAGAGATGTGGCTTATCTTAGACGACCTCCGTGGCCGAGTGGTTTGTACGCCGGGTTTCATGGTGTCGCCGACTCGAAAGGTCCCGGGTTCAAATCCCGGTGGGGGCAAATGTTTCTGTGATGAATACGAACATTTGTACTCCAGTCATGGATGTTTAATATGTATTTCTATATAAATGTACTTATATGTGTACACTATATGAATTCTATCCGTTACCCTAGCATCCCATTACACAAACCTTACAGTGCTTACTTTGGGGCTAGGCTAATTAATTGGTGTGTATTGGATAGAAAAAAAAATCAAGTAAGTACAACCTCTTGGGCCCTGGAAGTACAGTTTTACCAATATCTTTTCTGTGTTCATATTTGACGTGTCGAAAAGGTGTACATGGTAAAAGTAGGTATATAAGTATATATAGTAATGGTTCTTTTTTGACCACGGAACTCAAATAAAGTATGATGGTTTATCATACAAAATCTTTGACCAAGTCACAGCGATTAGCTTATTTGGAGGAAACCTTCCATTAACATGCCGTGCCGGCTCGTGCATAAATGGCTATTCATGTTTGCTATTTGTAATTTTAAAGTAGTTTGTCTTTATCATACTCTTAAGGAATGAAAAGGGAAGTCTGTGTTCAAGTGTACGAATATCAAATACCTACGAATAACCATGCGAAGTGCCAGCGTCAGGGGTAGGCTTGTTGAAAATATATCGATGTATCGATATATCGATATTTTTTGTTAGATATATCGATATTTTTTGCCGATATATTTTGATTCGATATATCGATACATCGATACAAAATAACCAATATCGAAATTCGTATCAAAAACGATATTTTTTTAATTATTAGGGGCATATCACGATCTAACTAAATTCGTATCTGGAAAAATCGTAACTGGATATCAGATTAATGATATTCAACATATCTATGATCTGTTCTGTATTTAGTATTGTCAATGTCATCATTCGAAAATAGGGTCTATTTTTAGGGAGATAATTTTCGTTCCATTATTATTCCGCGTGTCATATTTCGTGACTGTACGATATTTTTGGGAAAATTGGTCCGATATATCGATGTTTTTTTCGCGATATATCGAAGCCGATATTGATATTTAAAAAAAAATATAATATATCGATATTTTTTTCAACTTTTGACATCCCTAGTCAGGGGTAGCCAACATGCTTGACATAAGATTTTGTTTTATACTTTTTTTTTCAATTTGGAAACATAGAATTACTCTTAGTGTACCACTTATATAGATAACGTAAAAATATTATAGTTCTTTATCTTATTGCGCACGCAACTATGGTCGCGGTACGTTATGGAGGCCGTTTCGACACATTGCAATGGTAACGAGAAAAGTCAATTTGTTATCGAAAAAGCATATGTCGGATGGGCGAGCGGGATAGGCGGTTGGCCACGGGGTTCGTCTTGATCCGCCATCTTGGGTATTCAATGATATTTCCCGAAAAGAAAACTGTAGTCTAGTGACCAAGCTTAGGTTTAATTTGAATCTTCTTATTACATTACAAAATCAGTTATGATTGCCAAGGTACAAACGGATTGCTTTGTGAAGCGTGGAGAGTTCTCTGCTAACGTCCGTTCACTATCGCGGCTCAAGTCTGAATGCTGAATGAATGCCCCTTCCAATTTTTTTTTTGTTTCCTGCCAGGCGGGGGAGCGGGTGAGAAATCCTCATGGATATCCTACAGCCGGCTGCAAGGTTATGTCAGACTCGTACTGCCTCTGGCCGGGAAGGCCTCTAAGGCTTCATCGGAAGCGATCGTCCCTCAGGGGGGGGGGGGGGGGGGGGGGGGAGCGACGCAGCCCCTTCCAATTAAGCATAGCCCCTTAAATACTACCCTTAGCATAGACCACTCCCAAGTGATGACAGCTGTCACTGTCATTATTTGACGTTTCACAAGGCAATGGTACACTGATTGATGACATTTGTTGTCGGTTTAACGTTTCGAAGAAGCGAGTGAGACGCCATCTGCCGCCACATATATAATCACAGGCGAATCACATAAAGGCATTAAATTTTTTGAAATTTTAACCAATATTCTATGGAGTCGCTAATTATAAAGATTCAATAAAAGGAATCCATATATTTACTCCTGCTCAGCGATCCATATGTAGCGATCTTATTGATTTTATGTTTTTACATTTCGAAAAATACAAAAGTCGAGTTATTTGGCGGATTATTACAATATGACAAATTTATATCGATAACTAGCTGTCTCAGCGAACTTCGTACCGCCAGAAAAAAATATGGGGTTCAAATTCAAATTCAAATTCAAACTCATTTATTCAGTCTAGGCTGTTACAAGCTCTTGTGAAAGTCAAACGCTACGCCATCGGTTCGTAAATCTACGGCGGGAGACCTTGTACTGAGAAGAACCGGCAAGAAACTCAGCAAGGGCTATTTTTTTCTCCCTGTTTTGTTTCACACAGTGTCGTCAATTGAAAGATGACATCAAAAATTAAATACATGTGTTGATGTCAACTTCCATTACATTAATATTATTAATTAACAAAAGTTAAGTATAACTAGGTACTATTTTTAAATTTAGAAGTGGCGATTAAACAATTTTCAACCAAATTAGCAAAGTAAAACGACAGTCTATTATGTTAAGCCCAAGGTGACTTATCATTTATGAAATCTTTTACAGTATAGCAACCTTTCTTAAGGAGACATGTTTTTATACACACTTTAAACTTATTAAAAGGTAAAGGTTGGTGGTAGTAGGGTGAAAATTTTGAGTTGTATATATTTTTTTCTCTTTTTTCTAATTCTCAGACCTACTGAATATGCATATCAAATTTCACGAAAATCGGTCGAGCAGTTTCGGAGTACTTCAATTACGCACACCGTGACACGAGAATTTTATATATTAAGAAGACAATAATAAAATAATTAATTAATTTAATTTACTTAATCCATTAAAGATTCTGTCAAATGGTTGGTGTTTTTACGCTAAAAATGACATTATATTTTATTGTTTTAAACTTGAAAAAGGTTTTCGGAATCTTAATAAATATAGTAAGACCATATTATAAGATAGTTTTGTAAAATTTTAATTACACACCGTAAAATTACACATTCGATATATTTTATGACTAAATGAGCGTATCTAATGACAATGAAGAACACAAATTAATTATTTCTTTCAAATGTTGAACTAACGAAAATTCTTCATGGCGCATAAACGTCAAAACGGCCATCATACCGTGCCACTATAGAATAATAATTTAGCTACTGATGTGTTAATCTCTATTACTTTGATCTTTGATTTAATGTATTAATTAATAAAGCCTAGCTTTCTCAAGGCTTTGTCTTTATTTATAACAGCTACAGAGATTAACCGGTCGATCGCGATCTACTGGTACACCACCCCTGTCCTACGTCCACGGAAGGTATTTAACTTTAATCTCTATTGCTGTTTAATAGAATTTACTTTGTATTTGCTATTAAATGACATTGCTTTCTGCAGGTTGTCGTCATGACAGTAAATTATCCGTTACGCATAATTTTTTATTGACGGAATTTTATGTCACAATCAGCTAAAGCGTATATCTTTTAGGTTTCATTTCAGTAAAATCATATTTGAAGTTAGTATGATTACCATTAAACCAATCATCATATGATAAATTAGTAAAAATGTTTTTGAAAAGTTAGATTTTACGTTCCTTTACACGCTTTATTACGTGAAACTTCAAAAGTTCCACATAAGCGCTGGCCAACTGTCAGTTCATCTGCCAGAATACGTGGCCCCGAAAGGTTTATGTGATATTGTGATTCTTGTTTATATTTTTTATTGCACTATTTCGTTTATCAGTCACGCCGAAGCCGTAAGTAGTAAAATATAACATTTTGTAGATTATATTCTGATGAATTTCATATAAATACCTGGACTGTTATCCAGAGAAAGTTAATTACAAAGTTACATGGCAGCTGTCAAAATTTCTGCAAGATGATTTTTGGTGTTATTACCAAATATTATAACGATATTCATTTCATATTAATAATGATTCATAAAAGTCGTGTAATATGTGCAGCAGACTCGTGTTAGATTTCGCTAATTTTATGTAAATCGTCAAGAAGTTCCTCTTGTTCTCATTGGTATCATGTCTTGTGTTTGCTTAATTAGTAAATAAGAAATCAACGATTAATATAGGTTAAAGAATTTTTACCTAATTTATAAACGTTTCGGTTCTAATTCACAGCGTTATTAAATCAATTTTATATTTTCTACATAGAGTCTAATTGATATAAACAATACCTATCTTATCAAACAGATTACACAATATCAGCCTGTATTATTTGAATAATGAGGTTATGTTCAAATTAAGTATAATTTTACATCCCATGCAATATTTAACACTTGAATATTGTGTAAGAAAATTTTAATGTTTTATTTGTAAAAAAAAAATGTATGCATACACTTTTCGGAAAGCAAATTGTGGCATCAAAATGTAAAAAAAGTGCTGAAACTGTTAAAGTTTTGTTGTATATTGTAGTTTGACAGTGATATAAAATTGAAGCTTTTGTGGGGTATACATAGCTAAGAGAATGTGAAGCTCCTACAACATTATAATGCTCTATTAATCATAGTATACCGCTGTCCTAGTTAAGAATGCAGTAAGCAGAAAAAAATGCTTTTAAAGTATGAAAATCATGTTGGAACTCCTTACTGCATTCATCACCAGAAGGGCAGTATAGTGTCCTATATAAGTCTGTTACAATTAAGCAGTTGTGAAAGTGAAACACTGATACATTTACCAACCATTCATAAAACAACTCAAACAAGAACTGAATAATCAGTCATAGGTAGTTTATTAGATTAATTTTAAAATGGTGACACGGAACATTCTCTGGAGTAAAAACAAGTCTTCTGTATAGTTTTATGTGTACATTAGTTATTATTATTTAACATATCGATACCCTAATTTGCAAACCCACTAACTCCTCTGGAGCAAATTTTACAGGAGTGACTTAAAACGTCATAATAAATTTTATTTAACGCAATAAAGAAAACAAAAATCCTGTTGGAAATTATGCTTTTCATTTATTTAAAAACACTTAAAAATCTATTTTTTCATAACCATTGGGTTTTATAATGAAAAAAAGGAGTTGTTAGATTTGGTTTAGGCAATAATTGAAACTAAAAGTGGAGTTTCTTGTTTTTATCTTAAACTTTAAGCATAGTACAATCGTCCAAACAAATCGTGTTTTATAAATGAAAATAATTAATTTTCATGTGGCAACGCATCTTAATAGGCGTGATAATCACTGGGCATAGATGACTTAAGTTGCTGTAGGTCAGAAATATTATTTTTCGTGATTTTTCTTCTTTCGTCATATAAGTTTTTTAGGTCCTCCACCCTCACAGGGACAAATAAATTTTAATCGCTAGTTTCTTCACTTTGACTGGGTACCTAATTCCACTTCGAGACCAAAGCAGCATCAACGCGCAATGATTTGGCTCCGTGTGACTTCTTCTTATTCCCTAAAATATCATATAATCATATCATATAATCAGCTCAAAGGGATACAGTTTTCTTCGCCAGAAGAAGCGCTAGCAGTTTTTGAGAAGGTCGTGGAAGAGGTGTTTGCGGAGGACTGGAAAAAATGATTTGAAATTTGTTCAGACGCATGAAACTTTGTATAGGGGTTGGTGGGGTGAAAAGATTTAATAAAAATATTTTTTTCATAGAAGTTATATTTTATAGTTTCTCAAAACTTTCAGAGTTTCCCGCGTAATGCTTTACGGCTTCAGGTAAAAATTTCATGTTTAAAACATTTAATTATAATATCTCTGTCTATCTTTTCTTTATATGTAACTAGCTGACCAGGCGAACTTTGTACCGTCCAAAAGTTGATGAATGTGGTTATATTAATTTATATTTATTAAATCAATGATTTTGCAGCTACAATAAAACAGTAACATAAAAAAAATAGTTTATAATGATAATATACCTATATAGAGAAAATGAAATTTCAATAACTTATTGTTTAATAGTGTATCAGTGAAACTTAAAACACACTTTAACCATTTGTTTAGAAAATAAATCTTCGGGAGCATTTGTATGCTTCTGTGACGCCATACAAAATATCCGACTACACGGGAGATATTTGATTATTTTGTTAAAATCAATGCGTTTCGTTTCACGCAGAATTGTTTGATTTTCAAATGGCGTTTTACACCAATACAGTTGGGAATCATGGAGTTATTAAATGGAGCAAAAATCTAGTTTCTGCCAGTATCAAAATGTAATTTTCGTGAAAAAATGGAGTTATTAGGTTTGCAAATTCATCATATCATATCAGCCGTACGACGCCCACTGCTGGACATAGGCCTCCCCCAAGGTTTGCAAATTAAGGTATAGATATAGGTATTTTTAATATAAACTTAATGAAAAATGGCTGCAGGAGAACACGGAGTAGGAAGGCCATGGTCAAGCAGCTTTGGAAAACTCTAGAGGAGGCTCCTTTGCCATAAGGCAGCTATACTCTAAGTGTGTTCCGCGGAACCCTAGGGTTCCGTGATACCTCTGTCGGGGTTCCGCAAGAATTTAGAAATAAAAAAATCAAAACACCTCTCTCTGGTCGCTCCGCGGCTGTGCGGACTCCGCGGCCGCGCGGAGACAAAACGCTATGAATGTTATTTATTTATTTATTTGTATTTGTATAAGCTTGTGTTACATTAGCTGGTACAATATCTCATAAGTTTGGTCTCAACAATTTTATACTTGTACAACGCGTTCGCTCTAAGTTTGCCGGTCTGTGGAATGCGCGTACCCTCCCCCACGTGACAACAAAACTTATAATGTGTCATAGTTTTACCCAAATATCTAACGTACACAATTTTTATTGTTACAATTAAATAAAAAATTTCGAACGTCATACACTCATACCTATCGCCAGCGGCAAACTTAAAACGAGCGGGTAGTATACTTGTAAGCGCTCAGTCTCTTTGATAAAAGCCGCCTCTGAATTAGACGCTATAGTTGTCAACTAGCGACTTTCGTCTCTAACTTCAAAGGATAAAGTCGATATTGTTTACAACGCTATTTTTAAATTTCTGTTTTTATTTTTGCTTTTTGTTTATCAAAGGTGCCGACTCGAGTATTTTCGAGAATATTTGAGATCGAGTCTAGGACTAAGTATAAAAGCGGCGATCGCGCGTTGGCGTCGTCAGTTGATGATTAGCGTTCGGAGCGATAAGTTACTACCTACTTACAAGCTCGCTAGCGAGAAACTGGTGTTCATTGTTTTACTGCCTGCTGTATTCTGTTGTCTCAGTTTTATACATTTCTTCCCTGTAGGTTCTAAATTTAGTCTCTTATACGCAGTAACGATTGTGCATTATTTAAACCCCACTATCCTGACTTGTAACATTATAAATAAAGAAGAATGGAACGTTGGCTTAAAGGTGTTAAACGTGTTCCAACAACATCTTCTAATGACGCTGAATGTTCAAAAGCAATGCGCGCGGAGAATTTAGCAATCACCGATCCAGAAGATGATGCCACGAGTGCCACGACGTCAAGCTCGACGGTTTCAAAGACGAAAAAAAGGAAGTATGATGAATCTTATATCAGTTTCGGATTTGTTGATTCCAACGGCTCACCTCTCTGCATGCTCTGTAGTAAACTGCTTCCTAATAGTTCCATGGCACCTGCCAAATTGCGTCGACATTTAGAAACCGTACACCCCGAGACTAAAGACAAGAATAAAGAATTTTTTGTTCGCAAAAAAGATCAGTTATTAGAAAGTCAAAAAAATATGATGCATGTAACACAAACTACCAACGAAAAGGCCACGGAGGCATCATACTTAGTTAGCTATCGCATTGCACAAGCAGGTGAAGCGCACACTATCGCTGAGAAATTAATAAAACCATGTGTATTAGACATAACAAAATGTATGCTTGATGAAAAATCTGCAAAGCATCTTTCTACTGTTCCGCTATCAAACGATACTGTTTCACGACGAATCCATGATCTGGCAAGCTACGTCAAACAAGAACTAGTTACACGTCTACAAAATACACGATTCGCTTTGCAAATGGACGAGTCGACTGATGTCGCTGGTTTGGCTATCCTGCTGGTTATTGTGAGATATCCATATAAAAGTTCTTTTGAAGAAGACATGCTTATGTGTTCATCGCTGCTTACAAACACTACCGGGGAAGAAATTTTTAATAAAATAAATATATTTTTTGAAGAACATAATCTCAGTTGGAACAATTGCATTGACATTTGTACAGATGGGGCCAAGGCGATGACAGGTAAAACAGCAGGAGCAGTGTCACGAATGAAAAATAAAGCGCCTAATTGTAGTTCCAGTCATTGTATTCTGCATAGACAAGCACTTGCGATGAAGCAAATGCCGTCTAATCTAAAATTAGTTATGGATGAAGCGGTAAAAATAATTAATTTTATCAAATCACGACCACTACAATCCCGATTGTTCTCATTATTGTGTGAAGATTATGGCAGCAAACATAAAACACTGCTGCTCCATACAGAAGTGCGATGGCTGTCTCGGGGAAAAACTTTAACAAGGCTATTTGAACTTAGAGCCGAGTTACAAATGTTTCTTTCAGCAGATACTTCTTTTAATTTGAAGGACCGTTTGTATGATAAAACTTGGTTGTTCCGATTGTCTTTTATGGCGGATATCTTTCAAAAACTTAACGAATTAAATTTATCATTGCAAGGTAAACAGACAACAGTGTTTCAGGCCTATAATAAAATAACTACTTTTAAAAGAAAATTAGATTTTTGGATCATTTGCATTGGTAAGAAAGAAATAGAAAGTTTTACGTTACTCACTGAGTTTGTTAGCGAAAACGACTCAGAAATGTTTGAAGATAATGTGTTTGAAGAATTGGTCCAATATCTCAGTTCGATGCGCGCATCTTTTGAAAAGTATTTTCCCGAAGAACACAATACAAAAATTAAAGTGAACTCCTGGATTCATAATCCTTTTTTACCCAACTTGGAAAAGCCTGAAAACATGTCAAATGAGATATATGAATCTCTTTTAGAAATGTCATCAGACACAAGTATGGAGTCATTGTTCAAAACGACGCCTCTTAATGATTTTTGGTGCAGAATCCAAGATGAATATGCAATGCTTGGCCAAATGGCTCTGGATATTCTTCTCCCGTTCCCAACTACATATTTGTGCGAAACAGGATTCTCTACCTACGCAGCCACGAAAACAAAATATCGCAATAGACTGGACGCCGAAGCTGATATGAGACTCCAACTTTCTTCCATCAAACCTGATATCAAGCAATTGATGAAAAATAAAAAACAGTTTCATACCTCCCACTAGTTAGATTTTTTCTTTTTTAATGTTTTCTATTATTGTCCTTACCAAGTGGTGAAGTAAATAATAATTAGTAACGGATACATTGTACTTTTATTATGCTGATTAATATAGAATACACTTATAAAAATAATTGTTTTATTGTAGGGTTCCATCAAGTATTTTGCTTCCCAAAAGGGTTCCGTCATTTAAAAAGTTTGAGAACCACTGCCATAAGGCAAATCGGATTAAGAATGTTAAATTAATGTAATATTATGTCAGAAGATAGTCTAAATGAATGGTTATTGTATTTTAAAGATTTAGAGTTTGTGGTATTTGGTTGAAATTTAATTTAATTAAAATGTATTGTTTTATTATGTTAATTCACAAGTGTTTAATTTATTTAGGTCACATATAAATAAACCAGAGTCTTTTATATTTTATTAAATATACATTAAAAACTACCAAAATATAATAGGAATTTTTATATTTACAGGTGAACTGGCTTCAAACAATATGATGAATCCACAATATTTACCTCCAGGGCAAAACAATAATGCACCGAGTAATCCTCTAGGCTATCCACCATCATCTCAAGAGTTTAATGGAGTTCAAAATGCCAATGTATATAGTCAGATGCCACCGAGCGGGCAACAAATGCCACCGAAACCATTTGATCAAAATGACATGTCCCAGAAAATGCAGTCAATGAATTTAAACGGACCCGGCTTTCCGAACATTCCAGCATCACAATTGCCTCCCGATCAACTCCCGCCGGGGTCCAACTTCCCTCCTTCATCGAATTATGGCTCGAGTCATTTGCCACCTGGTCAAAGGCCTCAGAGTCAATTGCCTCCTGGTAGGCATCCCGTCAGTGGAGCTCCTCAACAAATGCCAATGCCGCAGCCAATGCATCAAAAGCCTCCATCGACTATGTCGGGCCCTGTACCGCCACAGGGTTTCGGTCAAATGCCGCCGCTAAGTCAGACCCCGAATCAGTTTCAAGGGCCACCCACGTCAATGGCTAAAGGTCCACCGTCGAGTCAAGCTAGTCAACAAATGCCTGGTCAGGGACAAATGCAAATGCCACCACATTCCCAAAGTCTTCCATTAGGCCCGATGGGTAAACAGCCTGGTGCGCCACCTGGCCAAATGAAACAAGGCTTCCAACAGCCGGGAATGCCTTCGCAGCCGCAATCTGGTCTTCCACCTCAAATGGGACTGTCCCAGTCTGGATTACCTTCTCAGGGCCCGCCTGGACCAGTCTCGCAGCCTGGTCAGATTCCTCCGCCGAGATCTGAACCTGGACCCGGTCAGGGCAACTTCCCTCCGCAATCAGGACAACCTGGTTTGCCTCCTCAGCCTGGTATGATGCAGCCTGGAATGCCTCCATCGAGTTTACCGCAACAGCCCACTGTGCTTTCCCAACCGGGAATGCCACCACAACAGGGAATGAAGCAGCCTGGCTTGCCACCTCAGCCAGGAATGCCTGCGCAACTAGGTTTACATTCGCAACCGGGAATGCCCCCTCAGCCAGGAATGAATCCGCAACCGGGAATGCCCTCTCAGCCAGGAATGCCTCCGCATCCAGGTTTACCTCCGCAACCGGGAATGCCTCAGCAACCTGGTTTGCCTCCGCAACCGGGAATGCCATCACAGCCGGGAATGCCTCAGCCACCTGGATTACCTCAACAACCAGGATTGCCACAGCAACCGGGAATGCCTCAGCAACCTACTATGCCACAGCAACCTGGTTTACCACCGCAACCTAGTATGCCTCCGCATCCGGGAATGCCGCAGCAACCTGGTTTACCTCCCCAGACAGGAATGCCTTCGCAACCTGGACTACCTCCTCAACCAGGAATGCCGCAACAGCCAGGCTTCCCTCAACAACCAGGAATGCCACCTCAGCCATTCCAGCAGGGCATGGCTCCGCAGCAAATGACGAATCAATACCCTTCATTACCTGGAATGCCTCACATGCCCCCGCAACGCCAGCAATTCCCGGGCATGACGCAGCAGTACCAGCAGGGGTATCAGCAGCCGCAGTCTGGATATCCCCCTCAGCAACCACCCTTCCCTGGTCAGCAACCCAGCTACCCTGGACAGCAGTATCAGCAACAGCCACCGCAGAAACGACTTGATCCAGACAGCATGCCTAGTCCAGTAAGTGCTTGATATAATCCATATTAATTCTAATTTTTTTTAACACCAATTAGCCTAGCCCCAAAATAAGCACTGTAAGGCTTGTGTTATGTGATACTAGGTTAACGGATAGAATGCTTATACTGATACATATACAGTATATTCATATAGAAATACATAATAAACATCCATGACTGAAGTACAAATGCTCATATTCATCACACAAACATCTGCCCCCACCGGGACTCGAACCCGGGACCTCTAGAGTAAGCGACACTTTGAAACCCGGCGTTCATAACACTCGGCTACGGAGGTCGTAGGAAGGTGAAAAGGGGCTGGAATTTCTATGGGAAACCAATTTTTCTCCAGCATCCACATAATGAGGATTCGTAAACGATATTCGTTGAGAATGCAGAGCTAAAGATTCCATAAATACAGAGGTTATTTTTGGGTTACGACTAATATTGACGAATAATAATAATATTAATGTGATGGAAGTTGACATCAACACATGTATTCAATTTTTGATATCATCTTTCAATTGACGACACTGTGTGAAACAAAACAGGGAGAAAAAAATAGCCCTTGCTGAGTTTCTTGCCGGTTCTTCTCAGTACAAGGTCTCCCGCCGTAGATTTACGAACCGATGGCGTAGCGTTTGACTTTCACAAGAGCTTGTAACAGCCTAGACTGAATAAATGAGTTTGAATTTGAATTTGAAGTTATGGCCAAATTACTGACTGTGATTCCATAGAGCTCTAGCGTTCGGGCGCGAGCGAGCATAGAGACGCTACTAAAGTTCGATCGGAGTGAATCCACGATCGAGCTCTGTGACGTCACACGTCGGCCGCCGGTCAATAATGGCTACCATAAAATTAGATATAAAATCAACAAATGAACAGATTTAGATGATTTAAGAAGTATATCAATTAAAAATCTTATTAGATCATTATACTGTTGATTTTGAGTTGATTTGCTGACCTAGTAATGATCATCATTATACATACATAGGCATGTCGGAAACTACGCCATCATCTCGTAGATCATAATGCATTAAAAAAGGTAAATTTAAAAAATCAAAAGCCCGACTGCCTAATTATACTTCAAATAAAAACTGAAAAGAAAAAAACAAGTCCAGTAGTCTATAATTCTGTTAATAAGGAACGAAGCTACTTTAACAGTCGGGACCCATTAGATATTCAAGAATACATAATATTTTTGAACAGTGGGTCCCGACTGTTACGGAAGCGACTTTGTTTTATTATTATGTAAATTTTGCCTTTAGATCCAAGTAATGGCAGACGACCAGCAGAACCGAGGTGGCATCTTCGTCACCAACGAGAAGGGTCTGGTACCGCCTCTAGTGACCACTGACTTCGTGGTGGACGATAAAGGAAACGCCAGTAAGTACTGCTTCCAAAGTGTTCGTTATTGAGAGAGAGAAATATTTTAAATAAAACTAGTTTTAACGGGTTAAGGCACGAACTTCATTTATTTATTGACGTTTCGCAGAGTTTTCAGGTCTGCATCGTCAGAATAATGATTTTTTATTTACTTTGTCGAGCTACCTTCAAAAGACTTTTTTTTATTGAGCGTTCGGATATTTCATTGGAAGATTTTAAAATTTTATTGTATATGTATGAATTTATTAGTTAATTTAGTTAATAAAGTACTTTATTTAAAATTCTTTTTTGTAATTTTGAGTTAATTTATTTGATCCTAACTACCGTAAACTACCACCGGTTCCAAAACTGGGAGACCTTTCTGAGAAGAACCGGCGAAACAAACTCAAGAGAGGCTTACTATCTCCTTAATAAAGTTCGTGCATTAACCCGTTAAAACTAGTTTTAATGAATGAGTGATGTGCGTGAAAACCTAAGAGAGACATATTTTAATAACCAAAAATACACTAAAATTACATAAAGATAAACAGGCGTTAGGAATAATTTGAATATATTTTTCTAAGAACTTAAATACTAATAACAAAAAAATATATGATCAATACAATCACAATCTATTCATACTTTCAAAAAACTTGTTTTCAACCGTTATTTGTCGATGTAACTGCAATTGCTTTATTTTTTATTTTTTTTCTGACTGGATTAAACTTTTATATGTGTAGTCTATGTATGTATATGTCATATGTTTATTTTATATATATATATATGTTATAGTAATATTATGTGTATATATTGTGGATGTATGGTATGTATATATATTTAATGTATATAGTTATATACATTTTTATATCCTTTGTTTCTTTTATAACACCACCGACTCCAATTTCATTCAATCCTCTCCATCCAAAGGTTGTCTGGAAGAAATCGCTTTTAGCGATGTCAGGTGTCAGGCCTTGACCTGATTTAATGGAATGTAATCCAGCGAAAAATATTAAAATCTAACAAAAAAGCTATGCTTCGCGGCCGGTGTTAACATAACCGCATCGCTTTACCAAGAAGTGCTTCTTTCCGTCCATATTGTTAACTTGTCAGATTTGTTTGGGTTTATCTTCATGTTTATTAATTAATGACAGCAAAAAAAAACCTATTAAATGATAGTAAATAAATATATATATTGGATATGCTTGGTTATTGGTTACTAAGTCTTACATGTTAAAGTACAAAGTATAATTATGTATTACTAGTGGCCCTCCCTCGCTTCGCTTCGCTGTAGAGCTTTAGTGTAGAATTCGAATTTTTCTCACCTCACATCACAAGGTTTAAAACCTTCCCTAGACCACCACGAACATTTCAAGACCAAGATAAGATAAATCCGTTCAGCCGTTCTCGAGTTTGAGCGAGACTAACGATACAGCAATTGATTTTTATATACATAGGTATATATATATTAGCGTTTTACAAATGACGTCGTCCTTTTAAAAACGCTCGCTGTTTTAAAATATGTCGAAGGCAAATTGGCGACTCGTTCAATAGTTAAAATTTCGATAATGTGTGTTATAGTAGGATGACCATCGTAAAACGCAGGTTGGACAAATACGACTTTATTTAAGAAATCAGGTAGTTACCTATTCAAACTGGACTAACTTAAAATACATGCTTTAGGTACTCCTAAAGTAATTTAATGAATTCAGTAAAAAACAATAATTATAAAATTATAAAAAAAACAATAAACAAGGTAGAGATTGCTGTTTAGCAATAAGGCCGCCTATTGTACTCTTTCTTCGGTTTTATTTGTTTTTGTCTTGTGTCCTTTGTTGTGTGCAATAAAGAATATTTTTTATTATATTATTAATGAATCGATCTTTAATTTGTTAGATATTGAATTTTGTCTCGTCGATATCCAACGATATATCAAAATATTCATCTTATTCTTCTTAACCTCTGTTTACTTCATTAGGGCCTTAGAGTAAGCCATGTTTAAGTCATTACTCGAAATCGGGACCCGAAGCAATGTTTACACTGAAATACGGGCTGGAAGACGGTGACGGGTAAACAAAAAGAAATCTATTGTTTTAAACTTTCATGGTCACTAACATTATAGTAAAATAAGTTATTTACGGGATTGTTACCATGTACCTTGTTTTTAGCGAGTTTCCGATATTTTGGCACTGTTGCAAGTGCCATGATCACGGAGTAACTGAAGTAATTGCGGGTAGGCTGTTATTGGCAGACATATAGGTCTACCCTCCGACGAAGTCTTTTATTGCGTTCGATACACGTACCACTGTTCACATTCTCACTATTCACTCGAAATTGTTCTCGACACACAACACTTCCAGTATCGGATCGCGACACGACACTTTTTTGATTATTTCCGGTTTTACACATATGAACCACGACTCGACAATTTAAACCCGTCCTCACGATTGAAATTTTTATGTTTTGTTATTTCAATCGCTTCCCTGACCAATCTTGGTATGTAGTGGCGTTCTGTCGAGATAATCTGTGGGTTATGAAACTCAATCCAGTGGTTAGGACCAGAATCAATCAAATGCTCCGCGATGGCTGATTTCTGCGTATCGTTAAATATCGGAAACTCGCTAAAAACAAGGCACATGGTAACAATCCCGTAAATAACTTATATTACTAAAAAGATATCTACCCGAATAGGGGCGTATTCGACTCCGTATTCGGGCTAATGACCAAGTGTATCGCGCCGTAATGCTAGCCATACACACTACGAGAAATCGTTACGATCAGACTGTACAGTTCGAACGGAACAGTTTATCGGACGTGGCGTACGTATAGAAAACTGTGCAGTTTTATAACATACACGCTACGATTTATCGGTACCGTTCGAACTGTACAGTCTGATCGTAACGACTTCTCGTAGTGTGTATGGCCGGTATAAAACGAAACGAACGAATCCTTTGTTCTAGGTCCCCGATACATTAGAAGCTCAATGTACAGTGTGCCTGTAACAGCGGATCTGCTGAAACAGACGTCCATGCCTTTCTGTTTGGTGGTAAGTGTTAATACTACTATTAATATTATAAATGTGAAATTTTGTATGTTGGTATAATTTACAAAACAAAATAATTAACTTTAATAAACTTTTATCGCGTGATCTTGTTAAGTATATATATAAGAAGAGCTCCACAGAACCAAAAATTTATAGGTTTTTTATTTAAACTTTTATGTCGTCATGTATGAAAACGGAGATGGAAAAAATAGCTAATTAACAATTGCATAACTTTTGAAAAAAAAAAAAAATATTTTCCAACGGGCATAATATATTCTTTCAAGTATCCAGATGATACCATAATTTATTCATTTTTAAATTAATATTTGTTACTATAAAAAATAATTTTATGTGGTACGCTGTCTTAAGCGGCAGCGCACCCATGCCGTAATGGCTGCACAGAGCCCTATTTTCAGCGTTAAATTATTAATAATAGAGGTAGAGTTCCGGGATCTGGAACTATTTTTTCGGAAATTTCCTTCTCTTTAAGGACCTTTTTCCCTAATATCGTAAATATTAATAGTTTATGAGTAAAACTAAATACCTCTTTTTTGATCTTATTTTGTTAATAACAATTGCAATTTTTTAAGTGCAGTAAAATCCTCAAAACTCCTTTTTCTAGAGGTCATTCCGAATCCAATGTGCTATTGCTCATATTTTTTTTAAGCTTTATCTCTATTTTTCACGTTTTTCAACTTGTTGACTGGACTAAAAGCGTTCATATTAATTTAGTTTTTAATTAATAGTTGTATTACTTCGAGGAGCTCGATGGCGCAAGTGGTAAGCGCGTTTGGCTGCGGTCTTTGAAGTTAAGCAAATTTCGCAGTGGTCGGTCATTGGATGGGTGACCATAAAATTTATCCCCTGTTCCTCCGTGCTTCGGAAGGCACGTTAAGCCGTTGGCCCCGGCTGCATCTGCAGTCGTAAGCTTATACTATACTGGGCCCGCGTGTTGGGTCATTTCCCAATCTCCCTATTCCACCCATAGGGAAGGCCTGTGCCCCAGCAGTGGCGACATTAATAGGCTGATAATGATGAATACTTAAGAAAAGTTTGATGCACTGACTGGGTGGATGCACTTACCAGGTATGCTACCGCTACCTTAAAGGCCTAGTTGAATTTCTTCTACTATGTCTTAGGCTGCAAGGCAGAGTATTTTTCTAGTAAAATAGTTAAATGTTTAAAAATAAAAATAAAATATGTATTTGTACCTATTACTTAAAAAAAAAATTGCGGTAATGTTTTTATGAAGACTGTGTAAATATTGTGTAAATATCAAACAAATTTTATTGCACCCCAGATCAGTCCAATGGCGGAAACTGTAGGCTCCGAGTTGGAGCCTCCGTTATTGGACTTCGCGGCCCTGACCAACTCCCCTACGATGGGGCCGGTGCGCTGCAGCCGCTGCAAGGCCTACATGTGCCCCAATATGAAGTTCATCGATGCTGGAAGACATTTCAAATGCGCCTTCTGCAAAGCTACTACTGAAGGTAACGTGTTTACTAGACCTATTACTTTAATTTGTTTTTTGGAGTGATAACTTCTTATGGGAGCGTGATAAACCGCTTCGTTACGTAACGCGTTACGGCGCCAGTCTGGCTTTCCTTCGCCGCAAAGGAGATAGATGTCCCAGCCCGCCCAGGTACCAGACCCACTCCACTCCCTCACCCATCCATTCCCACTATCACCCACCAATCTCTTATCATCACCCATTAATCTCCTTATCACCCTCAAATCCCATTTTCACCCTTAAACCCCCCTTCACCCTCGAATCCCCTTTTCACCCTCGAATCCCCTTTTCACCCTCAAAGCCCCCTTCCACCCTCAAAGTCCCTTTTCACCCCCCCAATCCCCTTTTCACCTACTAAGCTCCTGTGCTCATTTAGTTTAGCAACTTTCTGGTGTAAATACTCTTCCTCTCTCACTCTAACCGCTTAGATTTGTTTAAGTTATCACTTTTGTCGTGTGTCCCGAGACGCTCATGCTTTTTTTTATAGGGGGGCATACGTACAGATGTCTAAAGGAAATTTTATTAGAAATAATAGGGTATTTGACAGTATTAAAAATAAAGTGCCAATTGTTAGCATCTGTATTTAGAATGAATATTTTCAGAAGTTGTTACTATTTTTACAGAAAAAATATTCATAATTTTACTAAAAACCCACGATAAAGATAATAGTTTTCTTGTCTATTGTCACGTGACCCAAAACTCTTGGTATTGGTTGAGCCTAAAATGACTTCACACGCAAGTAAACTTCCGGTTAAAGTGACATTTGATTGTATGGTTTGACGTTTTAATGACAGTCTTGTGACGTCACACACCAGTGGGACGCCATATTGTCCATAGATACGTTTTTCGCTGCAATTTGAAATAAGAGCTTTTGATTTGGGTTTTTTACTGAAATACGGAACATATTGATGAATATCCACTTTTTATGGACTCTATAAACATTAGTAAATAACGTGAGATCGTTTTATAAAACTTGTCAAATACCCTATTCAACTCAGTGTTATGGCTCAACTACAGTTGTTCGTTAGCCCGTATTCATGTGCTCGAAAGACATTACTCGAATCCATATATTACGTCATTCTAAATTAGGGGGGGGGGGGGCGGTTGGTCTGCGGATGACGGTAAATGATAGATAGGGGGGGGGGGGGGTGTTTCGAAATTGACGTCATTCTTATTTATTTATAGTTTATTGTTCACGTACACCTAGTAAGTGAAACTGCAAATGTGAGAGGCGGCTAAGGCACGTACAATACTAAAATAACTCATAATAAACGTACATAATGCAACATAGATGTACACAAATACAGTAATAACTACAGATAAAATACTCTAACAATAATATTACATATAATACTAGCTTTTCTCAAATCTGCAACGTTTTAATTTTGTCAAACTGGTAATGACGTCAATTTTGGGAGAAGGGGGGGGGGTCATTAAGAAATGACGATAGGATGATTGTAGGGGGGGGGGGGGGGGTCTAAAATCTGAAAAAATCGATGACGTAATTTATAGACGGCCCCGAAGCAATATTTACACTTCAATGAGGGCTGGAAGACGGTGTCGGGTAGCCAAAGTGAAAACTACCCGAATGCGAGCGTACTGGATTCCGTTCATTTCTACTTAGTCGTTCACCCGAATTCCATTGGCACTAGTATTCGGGCTAGCGACCAAGTGTCATCGCGCCATTATCTGTACATAACATAAAATGGTAGGAAAGCCAAAACTGTACATTGAATATTTTTTTAAAAGAATACTTGGGGTGTGATTTACAATCGGTACCGAAGCTAAAAATATAGTTCTTTGATTTTTTGTCTGTTTGTATGTCCGGGATAAACTCAAAAATTACTGCATGGATTTACGGCACGAATATTATTAAGAAGTCGGGTCAACATATAGGGTACATATTCACACCCCTAAGGGGGTAATACGAGGGTTGGAAGTTTGTATGAAAGTCCTCCTTTGAAGTAAGAAACTTGAAATTTAATATGAATGCTCCATAGATGGTGTAAAAGTGTACTAATAATGTATCTTTAGAAATAAACCCCCCTTTTGGGGTCAAAAAGTATGTGCAAATAACTAACTCTACGCGTACGAAGTCGCGGGCGGTCGCTAGTGCTTAAATAAAAATATGATAATCATGTGTAAATTTGTCCCTATACCCAGTGCCCATGGAGTACACTCAGTACATAAACAGCATGCAGCAGTACGGCCGAGTCCCGGCCGAGATGGCTCTCGGCGCATACGAGATCGTCGCCACCAAGGAGTACTGCCGGGTGAGACGAAGAATAAAAAAAAATCTAAGGATAGAATAGAATTAGTCCAGTCACTTTAGGGTTTCACATCGGAATTTGAGATAATAGGCTAGAAACTTGTACAGCTTCATTTGACGTTCTAAAAGTTGTCTCAAAAGTCTCATATTATCTCGTGTCTGCGTCGTAAGTTATTCGAGGTCAAAGGTCACGAAAAACGTTTTTTTGCAATAGGGGTGATGACGGGGTACAGTAAACGAAATTCTATTAAGTCCGTCAGTTAGATGATCAAGAAATAATGGACACATCTTTTTTCTTTGGGCAATCAACCAAAAAATGACAAAGTTATAGCGCGTTAAAGTTTGGGAGTAGGGGCTCGTGACGTCACTTTTGAGTGAAAATTGTACTTGTTTAAATGTAAAGCGTGACGTCATGCGAATTTTCAAATCAATATATCTATGCAATGTTTATATTATGTGAAAAAAGAAAAAATACGAGTCCAATACTTTTTGATAATCTACCTGATAAACGAAGAAAAAAAAATTGTCATCATCCCTATTATCTCCGTATCTATGATTCCAGTCACTTCAACACTTATTATGAAAATTAAAGATAAATAATTTGCCACAACTTTTGTCTCAACTTTTTTTCTATACGCTCAACCCTTGTCGAGATAGAGGGCCGAGAGCACCCAGCGCTCAGGCATACCTACAGACTGTAATACAAGGTCAACCGTGAATCTCGGTGAATATAGTACGATTCAAATAAGAATAAGAAAGCAAACGACCTCCATCTATCAAATGTCACGTGAAAAGTACGGTTTGCAAAAAAATCTTGGAACCATTTTTTTGCACTCATCTAATTCTAGAATAAAAACCAAAAATTAGTAAACAAACAATAACAAATATTGATAATTAATACTGTTTGATATTTTTGAAGTTATACTTCTTTAGGCGCGTTATAAAAAATTATAAGAGTGAAATTTTAAGATGCGCGCGCATCTGTAACACAAAAAATTAACACCATGAAGTTGGTCGCTTTAGCGACCAACTTCATGTGCCGCGCTGCCATTACCGCGTCGCCCGCCGCACCGTACACATGCGCGGCCACTCGCGGTCCTAGCGCGGGAAACACGTACAACAAACATCGGGAAAAGTTACGAGTTTTGAATTTAGAACAGAGACTGTTTTCATATCTATATATATAAAAATGAAACCCGTTTTCCGTTGTCACGACATAACATGAAAACGGCTTGACTGATTTGGCTGTTTTTTTTTTGTAGTTTTCTAATACTCTGTACAAGGTTCTTACGGAAAAAAATATAAAGAAAATCCCAAGGGGATAAAATAAGGAATGAAAGTTTGTATGTAACTTTATCAATTTTAAACCGATCGGGCTGAGACTTAGCATGCAGGTATAAGAAGAATCATAGATGAATGTCATTGTGTATAATACAAGCCTGAGAACAAAAACTGTAGTCTACACTTCAGCTCTACACCGAAGCGAAGCGAGGGCGGGCCGCTAGTTTATAATATTTATCCACATTTTTCTAGTTTGTATATTCGGAATACGTGTTTGAGTTTCATACAAGTGCAAATCACATATGTTCTAATAAATTATATTCAGTAGCGATTTTAATTGAATATTTTGATTATTTATTTATTTTTTCAAATTAAAACTGAACTTTATTGACTGTGTCCTTTTCCAGACTTTTTATTAATTTATTGTAATTAATTATTTGCATGCAATTAAAAACTAATTTTAAACGATGCCAAAGAAGGATAACTTCTCACGCGCCTACATAAGTACACGCACCCATTTTTTTTTTCATTTATTGAGCTTTGGCTACTACGACTGGTTCATAACCTAAATTGTCAACCAAATGTCACGTTAAGTTGCGTTCACAAACTCGATTTAAAACTTTCGTTTACATAAAGTATGCATGTTCGTATGTGACCTAGTAATAGTGCATGATTATTCATAACTACTCCGGTGGTAATACAGAGATGAGCGGAATTGATTTATGTTTTTTTAACACATAGTGTTAATCAATAAATATTATTAAAAATCGGTTGTTCTTCTTTCTGAATCTTAGTAAATAAGTTTTATTAAATACAAACTTTTTTTTGCTCACTCTACCTATTTGCTTTGAATTGACAGCTATGACGTCACAATATGGCGGCCAGTCGGTCCTATTCTTAGTTGAATCGCATTATAATACCTTGAGCATACTTGGGGCAAGGGTTGTGCGTATAGAAAAAAAGTTTTTTATCTTTGATTTTTATTATATGTGTTGAAGTGATTGGAACCAAAGAAACGGAGATAATAGCAAAAAATGATTTTCGTAACCTTTGACCTCGAATAACACGACATAATATGAGACTTTTGAGACAACTTTTAGAACTCCAAAATGAAGCTGTACACGAGCTTCCAGCTTATATCTCAAATTCCGAGATTGACCCCTTTTTCCCCTAAAGTGACTGGACTAAATAGAATAATAATCTTTATTTGTAATAAATAGGGTTGACCAAAGGTGTTTGCATATCTATATATATAAAACTCAAAGGTGACTGACTGACATAGTGATCTATCAACGCACAGCCCAAACCACTGGACGGATCTGGCTGAAATTTGGCATGCAGGTAGATGTTATGACGTAGGCATCCGCTAAGAAAGGATTTTGATCAATTCTATCTCCAAGGGGATAAAATAGGGAATGAAACTTTGTATGAAACTTTGTCAATTTTAAACCGATCGGGCTGAGACTTTGCATGCAGGTATAAGAAGAATCATAGATGAATGTCGTTGTGTGTAATACAAGCCTGAGAACAAAAACTGTAGTCTACACTTCAGCTCTACACCGGAGCGAAGCGAGGGCTGGCCGATAGTTTATTTATAAAAGCTTATTAAGTTATCTTTTTGTATGTCTAAGTTTTCACATGTACATTAGTAAATGATTCTCGTGCATTTGTGCGTGTTTAACTATCGTCAAAAGATCTATATGATCTATATTTTTAAGTATAGATGGTACTTATTGAAATGTTTGTTTCAGAACAACACCCTCCCCAACCCCCCCGCGGTTGTGTTTGTAATCGACGTCTCATACAACTCCATTAAAAGCGGTATGCTCAACACTGTCTGCGAGAATATGCACAGTTTTATCGAAGTGAGTACAAAATATATATCTTATTCCTGTTAAAATAAGGCACATTTTACTTTAAAGCGACTTTGTTTTAATGCGATCGTCGTTTGATCATTTCAAGAATATATTCAGCTTTCTTGATTTTACACTTTATTCTGTAAAAATAAGACACATTTTATTTAAGTTTAGTAATAAGACGTCTTAAATATAAATGTTCATATAGAAATACGAAATCATTGCAATACTAATCGCGTATTAAATATAAAGAAAATATAACTAGAAAAAAATCCACGCGGACCACGCAGCAGACGGGACTCGAACCCGCACCCTTCGCAATCCGGGCGAATGCACTGACCAATTATGCTACCGCGGCCCTCACGGACCGCGTCGAAATTCTTCTAGCCGTTCATAAGCTGCAAGGCAACGCCATTTCTTCGCATTATAGGTAACCCACAATGTCAAATGAATACTTTTACAAGTATTAAACATTTGAAAGAAGAAAATAGCAATTATAGTTATAAACTACTTTTTTTTAATTATATTTTCTTTAGATTTAAACATCAATCAGTTACATGCTTTAAAAAAAAATTATAAGTATTAAATATAAGCTATATATAAGCGCGTATTATATATAAGCGTACCTTTGATTATATACACTCTAGATACCGTATTAACTGCACAGAAGCAGCACAAAAATATCTACTACATATGGTAGATATGCTCGTCGCTACACACGAACACATTTACTGCTTTAGTACTATCTGACTTTGGAGTTCTTTGCGTGATTTATTTCGATTGCACTATCTAAACGTATTAATAATCAAAGGTGATTTTTTTTAACTTTAAACGCCTTTATAACACGTTCACAAATTGTTTGGCTAATTTTTTTTTTGTTTTACTCACCGGCGTTGCCTAGCAACCCTCAAACGGGTCATACTTAAAATACTATAATAGAGCCGAACTCCAGCGCGTGTTTTGCCTTACACAATCAACATTCACCAAAATCGTCTATACGATACTTTGTTTCACTACACATTTTTGTTTGCATCAACAATGTTTTTGCTGTCCGAGCCCGATAGAAAACACGTACACAAATCCTCCCCGCGCGGGTCGAGGGGCCGGGTATTCATTCATTGGCCATTTTTTCCAAACCTACACTCCGAGTACAACTTTTCTCTCTTACTTTTCAATTTTGACATAAATAGTACGAAACTTTTGAGTTAAATTTGACATTTGTTGCACTTGGGTCGTAGTTTTTGCACGTGGCTCTGTAATTTGTGTACTACAGCTACGTGAGCCGTAGACGGCGTGTGTAGAGAAACATGTTTTAGAAACAAAGTTTTGTGTATGTGTTTTTGTTGAAAGATTTCAAAACAAAATTTCTGGAGACCTGGCTTTAAACGTTTACAAATAAGTGATTTCGTTAATGATTATTTGGTTTTGTTCACAGGCGTTACCAAAAGACCCACAAACGGGGCAGACTTGGACCAGAGTCGGGTTCATCACATACAGTTCGACTGTGCACTTCTACAATATTAAAGTGAGTATTTTTCGTCTTTATGTGTAGTGAATGAAGGTTTAATTTCGCGTTGAGTCTCGACGTAAATTATGAACCCTATAGAAGAACGATTTATTAAATGGCTATTATTATTCTCGACGTCTCTCGGATCTTTTTCTGTTTTATGATGTGAAAAATCAATAATAATGAATAAGCTTTTATCTACACCTATGCTTTAAAACCTCTATTATAATAGCGGCACGCTATGATGGCCGTTTTGATGTTTGTGCGTCCATGAAGTATCATATTCTAAATTAGTTCTACATTTGAAAGATATAAATATTGTTCGTCATAGTCATTAGAGACGCGCATTTAGTCATAAAATTTATCGAATCAGTAAATATAGGATGAAGAATTAAATTTTTAAAAAACTATATAAAATCATGGTCTCACTTATAATAAGGTTACGAAAACCTTTTGAGGTTTAAAACAATCAAATATAATATCATTTTTAAACTCAAAAACACAGGCCCTTTGACAGAATCTTTAAACGATTAAGTAAATTAATTAAAATAATTGTTTTATTGTTATTATCATTAAGAAATGTTATATCATCAAATAATAACATAATTATTGGGTACTTATTCTCCACATAACTCGCCATTTCTGTTGTTCGAAATTCGAAATGAAAAAACATGAAATTAATAAGATCGTTACATATAGGATCGCTCAGCCTCAGTAAAAAATGTATGCTTTCGTTTTATTTAATCAGCAACTTTTTGCAATATTGGTAAATAAAAATTCAAAATTTTAATACCTAGATGTGACTCGTATTTCTTTATATAGGATTTTTTATCGATAACAGGTTGACTTTTCACGTCACTATTGCAATGTGTCAAAACGGTCATCATATCGTGCCGCGACTATAATGTTTCTGAAACGGCTTATTGCCAACATTAAAACATCAACATAATTAAAACAAATATCATTATAACACCCAAACGGGTCTTGGTTGAGATTTAGCAAAATTTTATTTTGACGACCTCCGTGGCCGAGTGGTTATAACGCCGGGTTTAATGGTGTCGCCGACTCAAGAGGTCCCGGGTTCAAATCCCAGTGGGGGGAAATGTTTGTGTGATGAATACTAGCATTAATTGTACTCCAGTCATGGATGTTTAATATGTATTTCTATAAAAATATACTTATATATGTACAGTATATGTATTCTATCCGTTACCCTAGTATCCCATAACACAAGCCTTATAGCGCTTACTTTGGGGCTAAGTTAATTGGTGTGAGTGTTGGATATATTTAATATTTAAAAAAAAATCAATCAATTTAAATTTTAATTTCTCCAAGTGAGCCTTAGTTTTTGTTCTGAGGGTTGAATCTAGATTTAGTTGAATCGAGATTTTTGCTGCAAGTGGGCCTTGATTACAAATGGTTATTGTTGGTTGAAATAAATGAATTCGAATTTAGCACTCTACAACTCATCTTTAACGATCTCCGCGGCCGAGTGGCTTTGGGGCTAGGCTTATTGATGTGAGTGTTAGAAATATTTATTTACTTATTATTTATCTTCCACAGGGCACATTAGCTCAGCCGCAGATGCTATCAGTGGGTGACGTGGGGGATATGTTTGTGCCCCTCCTGGAAGGATTCCTGGTGCGGGCCGAGGACAGTGGGCCCGTTCTGGACCAATTGTTGCAGCAACTACCCTCCATGTTTAAAGATAATAAGGAGACGGAGACTATCCTGCTACCTGCTGTACAGGTAACAATTTCCACTCAATGAGGGTTTTCAGAAATGACGAGCACCAGGTGGCAGCACTGAGACGAAAGGTCTACTCATCCGTCACATCATGTAATTCGTCATAGTCTATGGATCAATTTAAATCATCATCATCAGCCTATTCATGTCCCCACTGCTGGGACAAAGGCCTTCCTTATGGATGGAATAGGGAGATTGGGCTAACCTAACCTAACCCACCACGCGGGCCCAGTGCGGATTGGTGGGTGGTAACGACTGCAGATGCAGCCGGGACCAACGGCTTAACGTGCCTTCCGAAGCACGGAGGATGTCGAGATAGAAGATTTATGGTCGGCTTAGACGCCCTAAAAGCAGCAGACACTTCGGGCCAACTTAGTGTTGCATACATGCCTGTCCACGTTTAATGCGCCTGGAACGTTTCTATAAAGTTACTTTGAGTATTAAATACAATATGTATCAAATTAGTATGTCGAATTTACGGGTGACCGCTCCATTAGTATACTATATGGTATTTCCGTATGTTGGAGTTATAGGCTATGCTATAACTCTAATATACGTATAGAAGTAAATCGATGTTCATTTTAGAGAATGCCGGTGTACCTCAGGGTTCATTCATATGACCCAAACTCTTTTTGCCTTATTATAGCCTTTAATATAATTTTCTCTAACGCTATCTCAATAACCTTCCATAACTACCGTTCCTCCACTGTAGGCTATGCTATTAAATCATATATTCTCTCCAGGCCGGGTTAGAAGCCCTAAAAGCAGCTGACACTTCGGGCCAACTGTTAGTTTTCCACACAAGCCTGCCCACTTTTAACGCGCCCGGAAAACTGAATAACAGGGAGGACAGAAAACTACTGGCCACTGACAAGGAGAAACAGATATTAGGTAAGATCATAGATCTTTGTCATTATTATCCAATCGAATACATACAATTTTATTTTAGACCTGTTTAAATTAAAAAAAAACTTGCAGGAGATACGCCTATTGGAGCTTAGCTGCCTGGATATTTTTATTTTAGTGTAAGGAGAAGCTTTTACTGGGAGTAGATTTAGTATTTATTGTTTATTATTTTATTATTTAAGTAAGTATTTATAGTAAAGTTATAAAGAGGAAATTTTATTGATTTTCAATACTTTCAATAACTTCCATTCCCCTTTTCACTCCATTGAACAAACAGATTAAGGGACGATTTTTCAAAACTCGGATGAAACAACTGTATCAAATATCAATCAAGTAGAGAGAGATGTCATCCGACCCATTACACCAATGAGCACTAGTTAACAGAAGTTAACTCTTTATTTTGTCCGTATAATACGACAGATAAATTTTATTCAGTGTTCGAGAAATTAGCCCTAAAATTAATAAATATTGAATTACATCTAGAGTCCTCTTGCAGCAATTTTGTTAAATCTCAATTTAACTAAAACCAGATTGAGACCATACAATAATGTCAAATTGACATGGACATAATATGAAATTTTTCTATGGGTTTAATCTAGTTTTAGTTGAATTGAGATTAACAGAATTGCTATTTTGCAGACATGCAAAATAGAAATTCTTTTAACTTTATATTGAAATTGTTATATTATTAGCTCCCCAAACAACCGCATACAACGAATTGGGCCAAGCTTGTTCCGCGGCGGGAGTTTGCGTGGAAATGTTCGTGTGCAACAACGCCTATGTTGATGCAGCCACTATTGGACAATTACCACGATTAACTGGCGGACAACTACACAAATACACATACTTTACGGTGAGTTATTTAATATTTTCTCTTCAAAAATTATTAGTAAAGTATCTTAAAACTCATGCTCGAAGGACCAAAATCTTGGGTTTATTTTTTAATGAGTTATTTATTGATTCATCCAGTACACAAGCGGAAATAGACGACCACACCTGCCATACTCTTTTTTTTAATTATTAATAGGCTATTTGACAGTTTGCAAAATAAAGTCGTTTAATACAGACCTAAGAATGATGTTCTCAGTTTGATCTGTATGTTTTTATTTTCGAGTTCGAAACTTAAGAAACAAATAGCCTGTATTCAACTTCCCCATAGACAAAAGGTAATCCAAAAAAATCAATATTTCTAAATCTTTTTTATCGAGAATAAAAATAGCCGGTGTAATCGGAATTGTTACATAATTTCACATTTCAACGTGAATTATTTGCTTTATTACTAATCTTTAATTTGTTAGTATCACAACCCGTTCAAAGTTTGGGAATAGCTACAGTCGAGGTTTTTTTAATGTCACTTTTTATTTAATTTTGATTTTATATTTTCATAGAATTCGTGCTATTGAAATACCATTTCGTTGTTTGTTTACCTTTTGTCTTAGACGAAGTTGAATAGAGTAGGTATTCATTAATTAATTGAGGAGCTGGCAAACAAAACGGTATTATTACGCATCTGGTGAATTTTTTTTTACAGTTTGGAGGTTTTGGCCCGTTGAATTTGAATCTCAAATAATTTTCAATCAAAATCGTCTAGAACAGTGTTAAAATTACTAAATTTATAAATTAAAAACCACGCCATAAGTTCACTGGAAGTATGACATTCAGTTTTGTACAGCTGCTGTAAAATTTAATTTAATGTAATTATACCGTTTTGTTCGCCAGCTCCTCAATTGTTTTATGCTTAGATTCAGCGTTGTCAGATTTTGTTTTTCCAAGTCGGGATTTGGGAACTTTTTGAGTGAAAAAAGCGGGATTCTTTCATAGTAAGAAAATAGTACATTACGATACGCGTGACGATACCCTCGCTCCGCTCGGGCGCTAACTTCACGCCGTGCAGTAATAGGCAACTTAGGCCACAAGTATCGTATACTATTTTATAGCAAGTGTGACATAAACCCGCCCCGGACGCGGGCAAGACGGTGGGGGGGGGGGGGGGATGCGGTTAGTGTTTAGAAAGTAAAATTCATGTATTGCAATCACAAAGAATTGCAAGTCAAACTCTGAAAAGAAAGAATTCCGGTTCAGATTACCATTTTGAAAGTATATTTCAAAAGGAAAAAATCAAATATCATTACAACAAAATAGAATTTCAATATATTAAACGACGGGAATGAGCTTTATTTTTTGTACTCGTATAATTCACATGATAATATTATACATGAGTGAAGTTGGTCAATTCATTTACACACCGTGCAGAAATAGGCAACTAAAGTGCGGGTTTAGGTCACACTGTGCTATAAACTTATATAATCATTTTTTTTTAATATTTATCTTTATAATTGAGTTCAATTTACGTTTACGTGACAATAGATAGGTACCTAGTAAAAATATCCATAGAAAATGTATTTTCATAAAAATGTGGTATTTTAAATCAGATTTATCCTATCGTTTAAATAGTTGATTTTTTTGTTTGAGAGTTCTTCATTACGCGATTTACGGGCCGGGCAGGCGGCCAGTCCACACTTGTCTGTGCCACCCGCCCCACTGTGGAATATTTCGGTGTGTTTCGGATTAAAAATCTGTAACTCCGTCAATTTGAAAGATAGACTTATAAAATTTTGCTATAATATAAAGTGATACATAAGGATTCATATAAGTAATGTTTGATGAATTGGAATTATGCGTATTTTTTTTAATTAAAAACGAAAAGTCACAAAATGATTTAAAATAGTATTATTAGTATTATTTATTTATTGAAATATTTTTTAGAAACATATTGTACGTCTATTTCTTAATGCTAATTACTCTATTAAGATAACTATCATATTATATTGATAATATAAAATTAAAAATGGTAAAATATTTTTAACACTACGCCAACATACAGAAACAAATCAAAATTATCGCAATATATATTTCTTTTTTTTTGCTCAGCAAGATTGACATCTTACACCATCATACATCTGAAATAAGTTCATTAACCTTGAGAAGGTGTAAAGTATCTTCATCGAGCTCCTTTACATTTTTTGCATATGGTTTTCTTATGCTCGTTATATATGGATCTGAAGTGTAAAGTAGTGTATTAAACACATCTTCGTTTGTAGCTATTCGAGAGCATTTCCGAGCATGGTGTAAGCGAAATTTTTTATAGTCCTTATTGCGAGATTCTTGAGCATCTTCTGAAAGTTGCCCAATTGGTAATACCGCGAAATGGTTTATGATACTCTCTCCGTGAATTAAAATTTTGTGGACAGATGATGGCATGTAATACCAACTATATTTACTCACGTATATTCTTGCAGTTTCCAGAGCATAATTACCAAATTTCTTACTATCTACCACTATACCAGATGACAAAGCCTGCAAAATTATATATAACCGTTTAATTAAATCAATGTCAATCCCTGTGATATCAGCAGAACAGGCAGCATTGTAAAAAAATCTAGCAGTATTGCCATCATTACTATTTCCCGTCCCCTGTCGTGGTTTATCGATATTTAGACCCAACTCTTCACGAAATCGCTTTTGTACTTCAGCCTTTTTTTCTTGTTTGTCTTTTTTTTTCTTCGCTTTTAGCAGACCACGTTTGGAAAGATAGATTATATGATATGTGTAATATCATTTCCATGCAACGAATCCAGGCATGTAATGTGGATAATCCGTATTGATAAGCATTTTCATTTTCGGGCCTAGCTATTACTTTCGTTAAATCATTCATTTGTCTAGGAGTTGCTCCGCATATTGTACATGCGGAACTAGAAGGCGTATCTGTTAAAACTTGTGCCACTTTTCCGTCTATCATCGTCAAAAAAAGTTCATGCTTGACTTGGACTCCCACGCCTTCTATATTAATTACTGATGGAAGCAAAGTTTGTATTTGATATTTTATTTCATCTACAACCGATTTAGTTTTTTCTGGCGTTTCTTTGCAAAATTCTATAGATATAGGCCGACAGAAACGAACAGATAAAGGCACTGGATTTTGCCATGTGATGGCGCCTGATTCCACGTTATTCCAGTTAATCTGATAGGCACAAAAGAAGTAATAAATAAATATGCATCGGAAATAAGTTCAGACTCCTCTGGTAGTGCTTGCTTGTACTGGCTTTGTCCAGATGACCCATCACAACCATTTGCTATACAATAGTAAATGTTTTTGTCCATTCTTGTAAACCTTATCTATTGATAAAATTCGAGCTGCAGTGTGATCCAATAGATCTTGAACTCTCAATATTTTTGCATAAGTATTTGTGATTTCGATTGTTGATGATGGTGGATAGCACCTCTGTTTCATTTCCTGTATTTTATAGTATGGTGGAAATAAAGAACACTTTCTTTCATCTGTAACGTTCCTGAGATACAGATATTGTGCCTTTGTTAGTTCCAAGTCGATGAAGACACTTAATGCTTCTTCATCTGTAAGCCCTTTAATTATTTTTGCATCATCTAATTGATTTATAACGAAAACCTTTTTCTCTGCATCAGCCAACCTTAATTTTTCAACAACTTTTGCTTCAATTCCTTCTCCTATTGAACGCAATCCTTGAAGATACGCGCTTAGAATGTGCTCCAAGCCATATTAATTTAGCAAAATGGTGTTTTTTCTTTTTTTGCTTGATTCTGAAGAGTCTTCATATGACACACACGGTCTTCCTCGTTTACCAGAAGAAGTAGACGGTTAACGAATATTCAGAATCCAACCAATTGGTGTTCTTTCTTAAAAAGGTATTTTTATTGCGTCCTGCTTCACTCCAGCGTTTATTAAACGAAGGGATGACATCCCTTTGAATATGGTCAATAATAAAACATATATTGACATCCGAAATTTGTTTTCCCTCCAAATATGTTGAAAGTGCCGCAGTCGTTTTTCCGCCTTCTATATAAGACACTATTAACTCACGTTTAGTACAGTTAAAAGTAGACATGTTGAATAATAAAATAACCGTACCTACTAGAGTACGTAGACGTAAAGACCACTGAAACGGTAATGGAGACATATTTTTTCACTGCCCTTTTTATATTGTTTCAGAATGTGGGAATTATTTCAGATATCTATTTTCTCACGGAAAATGACATCGAAATAATAAAACCTACATAACAATATCAAATAATTAATTCATAAAATGTACCACAAACTATTGATAATAAAAGTAAACTACGAAACCGCATTTGATAGCGATTTCCGTTCCCAGACTAGTATTCGATTTTTTCACATATCTCCGAAAACCGCAAAAAGCCGCAGCTAATTTTTTTATATGTTTTAGATGAGTAACTAACCTATAATTTAACATTAAATTCAAAGCATCGGTAAACAACTCTAAATGTTAAAAGATTCGACGAAGTTGAGGAAAAAAAAATATTTCTCCATTTTTTCTTTAAATTGGTTTTTAAATTTATATTCGTATTAAAAACAATCAATTGTATTTATTTCTAACCTCTGATAAATGTGCTTTTCAAAAATATATAATACCTTATACCTTTCATTTCAAGTTTTAAAACTATTTCACGTTGAAAAACGTAAATGAAGAACTTAATATTTCCCAGCTGCCTAAACGTTTAACTTTGCTACATGAAAAAAAATACTTTTACGAAATAAAATATGAATTACGCTGCAGAATATTAAACTTCGACTTTTGAACTATTAAATTATATTCATATATTACCCAATTTCAATCAGTAATAAAAATCAATTTTGGTATGCGTTTGTTCTACCATATTCCACCGTGCGCCCCCGCGCCCTTAGTACGCTGCACGCACGGTCGACTAATTGATGTGTAACATCTTTTCTCTCGCTTTCGTGCAATTTGTACCAAAATATTTATATATAGGGTAATTGACAGTATTAAAAAAAATGGGTGCGTGTACTTATGTAGGCGCGTGAGAAGTTATCCTTCTTTGGTATCGTTTAAAATTAGTTTTTAATTGCATGCAAATAATTAATTACAATAAATTAATAAAAAGTCTGGAAAAGGACACAGTCAATAAAGTTCAGTTTTAATTTGAAAAAATAAATAAATAATCGAAATATTCAATTAAAATCGCTACTGAATATAATTTATTAGAACATATGTGATTTGCACTTGTATGAAACTCAAACACGTATTCCGAATATACAAACTAGAAACATGTGGATAAATATTATAAATAAGAATACCTAAAACTGTTACAACTGTTACTTTATTACAAAAAATAAAGATGTGGTTTTTGGTTCTACTACACCAATGGTCAAGAGATGGCGCTGTAGTCTCCTGAATCGCGCTTTGGTTCCGTTGTTCCAGATTAATAAATACTTTTGATAGGCCTTCACAATGCAGTCGTTAGCACCCACTAAATAGAGATTCTATTTCTATTTTGTTGGTAGATTTTCTTAATGTGCGGTAAACACAAAAGTAACGCATGAAGTTGGTCGCTTTAGCGCTAAAGCGACCAACTTCATTATGCTAAAATTCTGTGTTACAGTGATGCGCGCGCATCTTAAAATTTCACTCTCATCATTTTTTCATAACGCGCCTAAAGAAGTATAACTTCAATAAAGTGCCAATTGATAGCATCTGTGTTTAGAATGAATATTGGCAGGGGTTTTAATAAAGATAGTTTTCTTATCTATTGTCACGTGACCCAAAACACTTGGGATTGGCGGAGGCTTAAATGGCGTCACACGCAAGTAAACTTTCGGTTAAAATGACATTACATTGTATCGTTTGACGTTCTTATTACAGTCGTGTGACGTCACACACTAGTAAGACGTCATATTGTCCAGAAAAACGTTTTCGCGGCAACTTGAAAATGGAGTTTTTGATTTGGTTATTTTTACTGAAATACGCAACCGAATGATTTATATCCACTTTTTACGAACTTCATAAACATTAGTCAATAACGTGAGATCGTTTTCTAAAATTTGACAAATACCCTATTGTGGTGAGAAATAAAATAAACATTATTATTATATTAAACATTATTATTGATGCGTAACATCTTTCCTTTTGCTTTCGTGCAATTTGTGGGTGTGATTTCGTGAAGGAGGACGGAAGTGTGTAACAGGAAGTTCGGGAAGCGCGCGTTATTTGATTTGATTTTAGAACATAATGTTCAAATGGCTCATTCCTTTTGTAGGAGGTTTTATTTCTTTTTTTACTATTATAAGGTGAGGTTTCAAATGTTACACATCATACGCGAATAGTGTAAGTCTCGCTCGTTTTTTTATTTTGCTATATCAAATCAGAAATTCAATATATCTTTATTCAAATTGGATGTATAGTACAACAATTTTGAATCGTCCAAACATTTTTTTTCTCTACCACTCGTTATTAGACATATTTTTTAGCTGCGGAGAAAAACGAGTGAAAAAAATTGCACAACATTTAAAAATATAATGATGATTTATTTAATATAGAAAACCTGTTGGAATGATTGGAACAGTTCAAATCCAAGCATTTTTGTCTGTAATATAATCAGACACTTTGTAATAAGCTTTTTTAATAAGTGTTTTTTTTATACTATCTTTGAATTTATTTATTGTTAACTATTGGATATTGCTTGGTATTTTATTGTATAAGCGAACACAAAGACCTTTAAAGGGATTAATATATTTATTATTATTATATTATAATAGATGTAGAGCTCGATGGCGCAAGCGGTAAGCGCGTTCGGCTGCGATCGTTGAAGTTAAGCAACTTTCGCAGTGGTCGGTCATTGGATGGCTTACCAAAAATTTATTATCTCGAGTTTCTCCGTGCTTCGGAAGGCATGTTAAGCCTTCGGTCCCGGCTGCATCTGCAGTCGTTAGCACCCACCAATCCGCACTGGGCTCGCGTGGTGGGTCACGGCCCATAGAGAAGGCCCGTGCCCCAGCAGTGGGGACATTAAAAGGCTGATGATGACGATGATGATATTTATGTATTGTTTGGTCCCCAGGCGGATATCGACGGCCCCCGGCTGGCGTGGCAGGTGCGTCGCGCGGTGTCGCGGGTGTCGGCGCACGACGCGGTGATGCGCGTGCGCGCCTCTACAGGCGTACGCGCCACGGACTTCTACGGACACTTCTTCATGTCCAACACCACCGACGTCGAGCTGGCGGCCATCGGTGAGGGAACACTTTCTAGGTTCATTGACGATACATCACATGTTGACCGGGGGGGGGGGGGGGGGGGGAGACAGGGAGAGCTCCCCCTGAATGGAATGCACAGGCGGGAGTGACGCCCAGTTCCGTTTTATTCGGAAAAAATGGGAACATAATCATTTTTCTAAGCTCAAATTTTTAATAACTGACATTCATTGCCACATAACTCATATTTGCCATAATTAAGCCGAATTGTTACCAATTATTCACAACATTATTTTAATAAGAAATAAACCCGCGTAGACAACCAACAAGCAATAAGATTTGACATTTCGGAGACCTCACGCTACACTAGCGCCTCTAGCGGCGGATTCATACGCGATAGCCCTCATTGGGGGGCTGCGCGCGTCAACGCGCCGTCGGTGCTATACTCCCGCTCTTCGAAGCTTGGCTCCACGGGAAGGAGGAACTCACCTACCGCTTGACTCAGGTACTCCCCGGACATGGTTGTTTCTGTGAGTATCTGAGTCGAATAGGGAGGGAGGACACGGCACGATGTCACCACTGCTCATCCGAACTAGATTGTCCCGCTTGGGACTCCGAACGCCGAGTCTCGGTCGGAGAAATCGGGCAGGATCTGTCTCCGCCAGCATTGACAGCGGCAATGCTTGCGGATGAGGGAGGTTGGAAGGCTGCGGCCTCCTTCTGTGAAGCGGTGATGCTCCAGAAGGAGGCCGCGGGAACTAAGAGAGGGTCAACACGCCTACCCCTACCCCTTACCCTCCTACGTCGGAGAGAGCCCACCTGGGCTCGTTCCTCACGGACTCTCTCAGCAGCCTCCTTCTGTGACATGACTTCCTCGCAGAAGGAAACCACCGCCGGCCAGGACCTGTCACCACTAAGCATAGCTCTCACTATGCTTGGCAGAGAGAGGTCCCCTCCCACTATCGCAATCGGAGCGCGACGTTGCAGCGACCACATTGGACATTCCTCGAGGGTTTGTTGAGCCGTGTCCACCGCAGCCCACAACCGTGGCATGATGGAGTACCCCCCTCTGAATCCAATGCAGGTACTGCCTGAAGCACCCGTGTCCAGACAGTACCTGCACCAGTCGAAAGGTCAGTGACTCGGATACCCGACCTACCCACCCCTCGAGAATAGGGTGGATCGCCTTCTAGGAGGCCCGCGGCCGGGAGTTATTTTTTTTTATTTATTTATTTAATCTTTAATGCCTTACATTGCATATGGCGGACTTAATGCCAGCATGGCATTCTCTACCAGTCAACCGGAAAGAACGTGCAGAGTCAATAAAACGGCAGACAATCATGGGAAAGAACAAACATCAAACAATAAAAAAACAAAATTAAATAGCGTTTAATACATACACATATACATACATACAAAAATAAATATAAATTCATACACACACATATATACATAAATATATACATAATATACCTATAACATAGTGTCCGATTTTAGTATCCTGATTCAGCTTAAGCACTATGCAATAGATTCAAATAATGTTCCCGCACCGAACTCTTAAACACCGTCCTGTTTGGAGCGTTTCGAACGTCTAGAGGAAGTGCATTCCAGAGCCGAATGGCAGTAAGGGTGAATGAACTGGAGACAAATCTAGTATGGTGAATCGGTACTTCAAGTATCAAATTATCTTTTGGGAGAGGAGATGGCCGATCCCTTTCGAAGAAGGCGGCGTCGGGCCAGATAATGGCCTGATGTGCCGCCGTGGGTCGCTGGAGCGACGGAGCTTGTGCTCATGGAAGTGACCTGGGAGGGACGACACCCCCGCATGGCCGGGGGGTGTCGTCGCAGGAGGGTGGATGGGGGAGGTTGCGGACACTCCCCCGGGAAGGGCTCCCCTGGAGGAAACAGGGGAACAAAGGCTGCGGGTCCTCAGATGCGATACTCGATCCTGAGGCCCCGTACAATGCCTGATGGCGGCCATCGCTGGGGTTTTAGTGGGTAGGCCTCCCCCTTCTGGGGAGGAGAGTCCCACATAACCACCATGTGGTATGCAATTTAATGCATTTCCCCAGCGTACCAAAAAAAAAAGGTTCATTGACGACCTCCGTGGCCGAGTGGTTTGTACTCCGGGTTTCATGGTGTCGCCGACTCGAGAGGTCCAGGGTTCGAATCCCGGTGGGGGCAGATGTTTGTGTGATGAATACGAGCATTTGTACTCTCCAGTCATGGATGTTTAATTTTTATTTCTATATAAATATACTTATATATGTACAGTTTATGTATGCAAACTAAATTATTTGAAAAAGATTCGATTAAATAGTTCACCTTTTATCACTGCACCATCATTGATAAAAGTTGAACTATCTAATCGAATCTCTTTCAAAGAATTTAGTTTGCAATAAATTACAGAGTAAAAACCATTAAACGTTCCGAAATTACATTAGTTAAGTAATATTTGATTCATTATAATTATGTGATTGTTACTTATTTAAATTTGATTTTGGAACCCTCCCATATGACTGTAAAATATCCTTCGTAACCAAATAACAAAAAAAAATGGTCCTTCGACCCTTCAATCTTTTCATTCCCCCCGAACAGACGCCGACAAAGCCGTCGGCATTGAGATCAAACACGACGATAAGCTCACCGGCGAGGACGGCGTATACATCCAAGCGGCTTTACTCTACACCCATCGTTCTGGTCAGAGAAGGCTCAGGATCCTCAATCTGGCGCTAAATGTAGCCCATCAGCTCGCCGACGCGTACAGGAGCATGGAGTTGGACACCTGCATCAATTTCCTAACTAAACAAGGTGATTATTAGGTTTTCACGCACATCACTTATAAAATAAAACTAGTTTTAACGCGTTAATGCACGAAAAGTTATTTATTTATTGACAATCGCAGCCTTTTCAGGTCTGGTCAGGTGAAAAGGCTGCGAAACGTTAATAAATAAAAATAAAAGTTTCGTGCATTAACCCGTTAAAACTAGTCTTATTTAAACAAGGTGAGGTTTGTTTCTATAATCTGTGTGAATGTTTGTTATCAGCTTAAAGATGCTGAGTGGAATTTTTTCTAGTAGATTTTTCAATTTATATTCAATTTTATTTATTGAAGGTTCAAATTATGATAATCCAAAATGTTACTTTAAACCTTGGTAATGGTAATACTTAATTTCTTAAAAATGATTTTGTCTGCTTCTACTGTTTTTTTGCAGCTCTTTCTATTACATCTACTGTTATTTGTCTCTGTAACGCCTTCCGATTTTTTAAAATGGGACCTGGCAATACTGGTCATTATTTAAAAGATAATATATGCTGATAATCAACGATTCCCGTTCTTCACACAAAGCGGCTAGGAGGCGAATTACCATACCTAACTTTCCCTCTCTCATAATATGCCTAATAAGGAAAATCACACAATAGGGATGATGACAATTTTTTTTTCTTCGTTTATCAGGTCGATTATGAAAAAGTATTGGACACGTATTTCTTTTTTCACATAATATAAAAATTGCAGAGAAATATTGATTTGAAAAGTCGCATGACGTCACGTTTGAGTACACCTATAAGGGAAAATTCACTCAAAAGTGACGTCACGAGCCCCTACTCCCAAACTTTGACGCGCTATAACTTTGTAATTTTTTGGTTGATTGCCCAAAGAAAAAATACGTGTCCATTATTTTTTGATCATCTAGCTGACGGACTAAATAGAATTTCGTTTAGTATACCCCGTCATCACCCCTATTGAGTTTGGAAGATGAGGCGGTGCTTTTAGTATTTTTGAAAAGTATTTGTGTCCTATAATTATGAAGAGATTCCGTAATCGGAAGGACACAGTCAATTTTTGGGCGGAAATATACACATCGGATTGTGTGCATATTTCCGCCCAAAAATTGACAGAACGATTTTAATGTTGAGGTGGGTTACACATTATACGCGACTACTGTAAGGCTCGTTTTTTTGAAGTTATACTTCTTTAGGCGCGTTATGAAAAAATGATGAGAGTGAAATTTTAAGATGCGTGCGCATTACTGTAACACAAAATATTAACAGCATGAAGTTGGTCTCCTTAGCGACCAACTTCATGCTGTTACTTTTGTGTTTACCGCACATTAAGAAAATCTACCAACAAAATAGAAATAGAATCTCTATTTAGTGAGTGCTAACGACTGCATTGTGAAGGCCTATCAAAAGTATTTATTAATATGGAACAACGGAACCAAAGCCCGATTCAGGAGACTACAGCGCCATCTCTTGACCATTGGTGTAGTAGAACCAAAAACCACATCTTTATTTTTTGTAATAAAGTAACAGTTATAGGTATTCATATTTATAATATTTATCCACATGTTTCTAGTTTGTATATTCGGAATACGTGTTTGAGTTTCATACAAGTGCAAATCACATATGTTCTAATAAATTATATTCAGTAGCGATTTTAATTGAATATTTTGATTATTTATTTATTTTTTCAAATTAAAACTGAACTTTATTGACTGTGTCCTTTTCCAGACTTTTTATTAATTTATTGTAATTAATTATTTGCATGCAATTAAAAACTAATTTTAAACGATGCCAAAGAAGGATAACTTCTCACGCGCCTACATAAGTACACGCACCCATTTTTTTCTTACAGCGGTGTGGTCTCTTCGTGAGAGTGGGGGGAGGGCAGTAAGGGAGTCATTATCGGCCCGTTGTGCGCGTTCGTTGGCCGCGTATCGCCGTCATTGTGCATCCCCTTCGGCAGCTGGACAACTGGTGCTGCCAGAATCGATGAAACTTCTGCCTTTGTACACTTGCTGTTTGCTAAGATGCGATGCGCTAGCTTCAGGTAAGGACCTCCGTGATCGAGTGGTTTGTACGCCGGGTTTCATGGTGTCGCCTACTCGAGAGGTCCCGGGTTCGAATCCCGGTGGGGGCAGATGTTTGTGTGATGAATACGAGCATTTGTACTCCAGTCGTGGATGTTTAATATGTCATTCCATATAAATATACTTAAAATATACTTATATATGTACAATATACATATTATGTATTCTAACCGTTGCCCTAGTATCCCATAACACAAGCCTTTCAGTGCTTTGGGGCTAGGCTAATTGGTGTGTGTTTAAAAAAAAAGGAAATACTTCACTCCGCTAAACCATATGCCGCGTTCGCTATTTGTAAACTAGACAACAGAAGGACAGACTTATCATGCTTTATAATCAGAAATCAATATATCTTTATTCAAATTGGATGTATAGTACAACACTTTTGACCAAACATTTTTTTCACTACCACTCGTTATTGGACATATCTTTTAACTGCGGAGAAAAACGAGTGAAAAAAACTCCACAACATTAAAAGCATAATGTAACAACATTTACAAATCATTATGTTGTTACAACATCAATACAATCATGATTTATCAATCAATCAATCAATCAATCAATTATTTATTTGCAAATACAGGTGATACAAAGGTGTTAAATTATAATACGTACGCTTATTCCATATTTCACCACAAGGCATGCAAATTAAAATAAACACATAGTGTACACCCATTTACACAGATTTGTCCTCTAAGAATTCCTTAATACTATAATATGCTTTTTTAAGTAACATATTCTTTAATTCAGAACGAAATATATTGGGGCTTTCAGCTTTTCTAATTTCAATTGGAATTTTATTATATACCTGAGGTGCCATACAAAGTACACTATTATTCATAAGCCATGTCTTGTTAGATGGTAAACAAAGTCTGGTTTCGAATCTTCTACTATTAAAAGTAACATATAAGTGTAAATTGGCTCTAACAAAAACAGCAATTTCATATATGTAAATACACGGCAATGTCAAAAGTTTTAATGATATAAAATGCGGTTTACAACTGTCAGTTTGCTTAATTTTACAAATAGCCCTTATACATTTTTTTTGAGCTTTAAATGCATATTCTTTGTCAACTGAGTTCCCCCAAAATATTACTCCATACCGTAACGTAGATGCTACATTCGCATGATAGGCTATTAATACTGTTGATATATGGACCACCTTACCGAGCATGTATAGAACATAGGAGAATTTACTGAGTTTAACACAAACACTCTCAATATGCGCTTTCCAGTTAAGGTTACAATCAACAGTTATACCTAAAAACTTTATTAAGTCCACTTCCTTAACAATCTTTCCACAATGCTCAACGTCGATTGATATGGGAGTTCTAGGTCTATTTCGAAATGTCATAACATGAGTTTTGTCTATATTAATTAATAAATTATTTCTTTTTAACCAGTCTACAATTTTGTCAAGTGTCATAGTTATGTCAGTTCGCAACAGGGATAAACTTTTATTTGAAAAAATTACAGTGCTGTCATCAGCAAACAGTATCATTGGTAAAGCTACTACTGTGGGGAAGTCGTTAATATATGCTAAGAATAGTGGTGGCCCAAGAACACTGCCTTGAGGTACACCATATTGTACCTGTCTATAATTTGACACATATTTAACTTCGTGCTTTGATTTAGAGCATATTCTCGTAATGAGAGTTGCTTGTTCTCTATTACTTAAGTAAGACATTAATAAATCTAAGACATTGCCTCTAATGCCATAACTCATCAATTTAGATTTTAATATATTATGATCAACGTAATCAAATGCTTTTGTTAGATCCATATATAACGCGCACACAGGAATGTTTTTGTCAACTTTAGTCATTATTTCATCAATAAACCTATGTATAGCCATGTTTATATTTTTATTCTTTCGAAACCCTGTCTGCTCGTTTGCTAGTATATTGTATTTTTCAAAATAACTATAAAGACAATCACAGATCACTTTTTCAAAGATTTTTGACATGACTGGTATAAGAGCAATAGGTCTGTAACAGGACATCATGTCTCTGTTTTGTTTTTTGAACAAAGGTTTCACAATAGTCTTTTTTAATTTTTCAGGATAAACACCATGAGAAATGCATACGTTAAATATATGGCATAGTACTGGAGAAATAGCATAAGATACATATTTAATAACATTAGTAGATATATCATCATACCCAGTACTTTTAGTATTTTTAAGGGATAATATAATAGAATTAATGTCAAATGGTGTAACAGGATTCATGAAAATAGAATTATGGTTATTACATGTCAGTGGATTGAAACTATGTCTGATGTCCGGTGTAAAAGGTTTAACTTGGTCAATGAAAAAATTATTGAATGAATTAGCTATGTCATTTGGGTTATAAACAATATTACCATCGATATTCAATTGTTGTATGTCATGCTTCGGTTCATTAAAATTATATCTATTAATAATATCCCAACTAGCTTTTGTTTTATTATTTGCTGTTTGTATATAAAAGTCATTTTGTGATTTTTGAGTCAATTTTATTATACGATTTAGCCGCGTTGAATAAGATTTAAAATTAACTTTGTCCTTAACAGATCGTGTTTTCCTGTATTTCCAGAGTAGTTGCCGCTTTCGCTTGGAGCAAAGTTTTATGCCTTTACTTATCCATTTTGGCCGTTTTCGCAATGATACTCGAACAGTGATAATAGGAAAGCACAAATTGTATAACAAAGAAAAAAAATCATGAAATTTATTAAAAGCATCATTTGGGTCATCACTGGCATATATGTCACTAAAAGTCAAGGATGACACGTGCCCTAAAAAATTTTCTAGATTTCCATGAGAGAAGTCACGTTTTTTAATAAACCAATGGTCTAAGACACAACTCAACTTAACTGGACACATAAGAAATTGAGCGGTGTGATCAGACAAAGCAAACTCCATGATTTCACTTCTGCACCCCCGAATATTATGGATTATATTATCAAGACAAGTACCACTAGATAATCTCGTTGGTTGTCTAACTGCTAGCTTTAAATTGAATTCCGAAATTATTTCAGTGAATGTCATAGTCATTTTATTATTTTTTAATACATCTATATTAAAGTCACCACATATTATTACCTTTTTTTTACTATAACAAAATTGGCTTAAAATATCCTTTAATCTATTGTAAAAAATATCCAAGTCTTCTAGACTGTTATGAGGTGGCCTGTAGATACAAATTATCACTAAATTGTGGTTCGACAGTTCAATAGCACTGCATTCTACGACATTCAATATACTGTATCTAGCTGTATCAGCAAGTGTTCTAAATTGGTGACTATTTCGAATAAATATGCATGATCCGCCGCGTCTACTCTTTCTCGTACATGACGCACCAATTGTATAATTAGGCAATTTAATTAACTTTGTGTCGTTATGTATCATATTGTGTTCCGTTATACATAGTACGTCAACTTTTAAGTTTTTGTCCACCAATATATCTAAGTTTACCTGCAATAGATCAAGTTTATTAGAAAGCCCATTAATATTTTGGTGTAATATGTTAACACTGCTTTGAACGAAAAAAACCACTCGGAGAAAGTTCAGAATCGGGTATTTGTGAAGTAGATATAACTTTAGATTCGGGGGTTAGTTTTTTAAAATAATATGGTATGGTACCCTTTTTCAATTTCATATCATTTTTACAAATGGCAATTTTATCATTTTTCGGGGAGTATGATACTAATAAATTATGGTGGTTTTTAATATTTTTAAAAGTTAGAAATTGATCTTTATATTCCTTAAAATCGATACACATATTAATTTTGGTACAAATAATATTTCTTAGGCTTAAATTATTTTTTAGTAAGTATGTCCTCTTTATGTCAATGAAGTTACAATTTTCAAAATGACTGAACCAAAGTTTCAAATTATAGTTTAGAGTATTGACATTAAAATAATCATTCTTAAGTATAGGCATAAGCAAAACAGATACAGGTTTGAGCGTGTTTATAGCTATACACAAGTTTGAATGTAGCTTATGTATATCATTATCATGATTTCCAAGACCCAATATTACTACATCGTTATGATTAGAGTCTCTTTTAATAACATCACAATATGACAACATGTTAGTACTTGATGCATCATTCATAATAAATGCCGAAGTTTCGTACACGTCGTTCCATTTTCCTTGCCTTAATTTAGAAATGTTGGCAGCGACTCCCTTTAGCGTTTCGTCTCCGAGAATGAAAATTCTTTTCTTTTTTGGTGAATTCTCTAGTTTTGGATGGTAAGAAGTGTCAGATGATTCGTGGATAATAGAAGTGTTTTGTGAGTCCAATTTAATAGTATTCACTTCAGATGAAACAGTCTCAGCGATTTGATGGCGTAAAATCTCCTGTGCTTGAAGTTCCGGATGAGAAATATTCGTGGTTAGTGTTCCAGATAAGCTTTTTCGTTTTTTGTTCTTCGATGTACTCGCTTTAGGCGTTGACTTGCAAATGTCCGTTAATTGACTGATTTTACGTTCATAATCATTAATTTTTTTATGTAAATTTTTGTTTTCTAGTAGTAATTTTTCAATTTCATTTTCAGCAATGCAAAGATCGTTTTCTGTATTTTCTAGTTTTTTCCTTAGTTCTTCTATTTTGTAGCTAGTATTGATTCGTATATCTGGAACACTACGGTTCATGTCACCTAGTTGTGTTGCTACTGTAGAAGAGAAAGTGTTCTCTAGACTGCTACCAGAAAGGTTTTCAAACGAATCCTCTGTAGAACTTTTAGATATACTATTCTCAAGACACAAGAAGTCTTTTGGTTGTACCTCTGAATTGGTACTTTCGATTGGTGCGTCACTGCGGTTAGGTTTAAGTACTAATTGATTGCTTGATTTAGGTGTAGATGTTGAAATATCCATTCCTTGTTTTTGCGTTACCAACGGCTGTTTTTTCCTAATTGTGATATGAGACGGTGTTTTTTTTATCACAGTAGCAAGTTTTGGTCGTGTTGTACAAGTATTACATTCCCATTTCCGTTTAGATTCTGGCTTCATTAAACGGTACAATTTTTCGGATAACCCGGCACAGTCAAACTCATATCTTTCTCCACATTTTGTGCATAGAATAGAATCTCTTGTGAGAACTTTTGATTTACACTTGTAACACGCAACTAACATCTCTCGTCCACTTTTAGATAAACTAGCCTTTTTTGTTGACATATTATTTCTAGTTATTCGTTTGTCTCCCAATTACGTCGATAGATGTCACTGCCTTGTTGATTATAGTGGAATAATTTTTAGTGGAACTTATTTATCTTGATTGTAAAATTGTTTATAAACAAAAATAGACTTGATCGATGCGAGGTTCGAACTCAAGTCCTCCGGGGTTAGACTACGGCGGGTTCCCGTCGTGGCCAGCGATCACTTACCGATGTTGACGAAAGTTTGGATCATAATCTTCTTTGATAATTTTTAAATTCGGGTAAGCCGTTATGAGTAAATCATTCAAAACAATTTTGTTGCACTTTTGAAGTGAAAGTCCTTTTTAACACCGTTGTAATTTGAGATTTATAATATATTATATTCAATTTTAATTGAGTAATTGATATAGCACTGATTTTTGTCACTTGTAAACTGGATAGTGTTTTGCATTAATAATTCAAATAATCATCTATAGTTTTCCGAGATAACAAACACACTTGCACTCCGTTATTTGATGAATACTTTTTTCTTGCTTTTTACGAGAAATATGCACTTTTGTATTTTTATTTGCAAATAAATCACAGAGCCTTTGTTTACTTGAGAAACGTTTCGTTTCACCGCTAATATTTAATACTAGCTGACCCGGCGAACTTCGTACCGCCTTAGCGTAGCTTTGATGCACTACTTTATTTTGTATAGCTGACCTATCTTATGTATGAGTACCTATTCACTGTTAGCGCGGTTATGGATGTGTTGTCACAGATTACCACAGTTTTTTTTGTTTTAAATTGAATGACGTTGACATTTGTCAGCGCGGTTATCGATGTGGTGTCACAGATTACCACAGATTTTTTGTTTTATGTTGAATGACGTTGACATTCGTTATGTTATATTTTTCAATCTTTCTGAGAGATTTTCTTTATATTTTTTTCCGTAAGAACCTTGTACAGAGTATTGTACTTGTAGAAAACTACAAAAAAAAAATCAGCTAAATCGGTAAAGCCGTTTTCATCTTATGTCGTGACAACGGAAAACGGGTTTCATTTTTATATATATACTAGCGGACCCGACAGACGGTGTCCTGTCTACACGTCTTTGTGAATCTAAACCATTCTCAGATCCCCTTGAACACACACAAAAAATTTCATCAAAATCGGTCCAGTCGTTTAAGAGAAGTTCAGTGACATACACACTCACAGAAGAATTATATATATAAAGATAGATAGAAAACCTGTTGGAATGATTGGAACAGTTCAAACCCAAGCATTTTTGTTTGTTATATTATCAGACACTTTGTAATAAATAAGGAATGGAAAGGACAGACTGATGTCAAATTTACAAATAGCGAACTCGAATAAACAATTGAAATGCCGCCAATACAATAATACATTACACAAAAGTATACTAAATAACATCATCATTTTATATCTCGAGTTCCTCTGTGCTTCGGAAGGCACGTTAAGCCGGCGGTCCCACGTGGTAGCGCCGGACCCAATTTCCCTATTCCATCCATAGGGAAGGCCTGTGCCCCAGCAGTTGGGACATTAATAGGCTGATGATGATATTAAATAACATAATGTAACATTAACTCTGTACTACAAATAACATTACACTTCATAATATTAAACTTCTGTATCCTAAGGATTGTAACGTTTGCGAGTCCGAAATGTAATTTTCAAATGTATAATGATTTTTAGTTTCCATACAAAATTTGACATTGACATTTCGCACTCGCAACCTATTCGAATTCGATATCGATAATGATTCGTGCTAGGGGTACGGTTTTCTAAGGCTCGTAATACAGTATGACAACTATAGTTTGTCCATTATATTATTATCTTTTTGACGCCCATGAAATTTCGTATTTACGTTAAAATGTCATACAAATAATATTGTACTTCATGGACGGGCACCGCCCACTTAGTGATGTGCCACACAAAATAATTTTTATTGACAGACAAAAAAAAGAACAAAATTATTTTACAATAAAACGTCACTTTAAAACGCGTTATAATAAAAGTATGAAAAAGAGGTTGATAGTCCCCAAAGGACTACTCAACTTAACGTTTGATAAAATGTTCAAAAATAATGATTACGTTACTGTCGCAAGATCATTGAACAAGTGACTTCAAAATGGCGCAATACACCACCACATCATGGTGTTCCCAACACTCAAAAATATTTAAACGTAAAAAGTCGAAAGATATAGTTTTTTATAAACCCTTTTTTAAATGAAATTATTAATTATAATCAATAAATCTAATTATATAGAGTATTAGGATAAACAAACATATAAAAAGTATACTGCTTTTTTTGTTATATATTTAACATATTATAGATAAATCACACTCAGACACAGAACAAATAATCATGCTCATCACACAAATATTTGTACTTGGTAAAATAATAAATCTTATGAGAATTTGTAATTATTTATTAAACGCCAGTATTTTTGATAATTAAAATAATTTCGATACTTATAATCGATTAAACAATGTTCTAGCATAAAATCGATTATAGCTTTAAATCAAACGAGTTATGTGATAGGGTGTCACTATTTTTACTTCGATCGATCTGTCAAAAAGATAATAATATAATGGACAGACTATAAGTGTTGATCTTTACTTGAGTACATTTAGAAAGGGATGTCGCGATGTGCTATATATAGCGACATCTCTTTCTAACTATGCTCAAGACTAGATCAATCACTGAGAATCTCTGTAATACGGGTCTTACGCTTGTCAAATAAGCTATAGTTGCGAGTGTTAGAGATATTTATTTATTTCCTTCTATTAATCTAGTTTTCTCTCATGTTACTTTAGGGACAGACGTGACATGCGACGACCGTTCTTGCGCGATGTACCGCTCCCTATCCGCGTCGGTAGAACTGTCGGTAGCGTACACCTATCCGCGGTTATTACCTCTACATGAGTTGCCGCATCCTGTCAGACAACTGCGGGCATCGGCCGATAAGATGACGGACACTGGGGTCTATCTGTTGGGTGAGTTACTAATCCACTTATTTAACTGTTCGACTGATATTACAATAGGCTAGTTGACTCATGTCAAATTGCACTATACAAATGTTTATTTCTTATAATTTTTGGTATGAGGAACCTAAATACATGGATTTCACTTCATAAAATTAAAAGATGGCTGTAGTAATTTAATTTGTCCGACTAAAATATATCTAAACTTTCGTCCGACTAAAATATATCTCAAAACTCTTATATCTTGGAGAAAAGTTTCCGTTTATTGGTTTTCTTAACTAAATTAATGCTGGACGCCGGATTTGTGAAAGCAGAAACGACAAAACTCTTTGACTTAGCAGGTACATTCATAACCTTAAAAATTTAAACTACAACATTTCTGGAGTTTTTAACGATGTGTTACTGTATTCTCGTATAATACAATCATGATAATTATTATATTTATCATGAAATCTATTAGAAATCATGGTTTTGTAATGTAAATTCAGATAGGTTATATCCTACGTGCCTGCGAGTGTTTGTTTACTATTGTTCCCGTCATACCATAGATAAATCTATAGACTGAAATGACCGACAGCGTTTTTGTATGTCCATAAAAAATCTATTTTAAAATTAAAGTTTTGTAATTTCTAGGTAAAAAAAAATTACAATACATTTTTTTCGGTCTAATTGAACAATTATTAACCATTTAAAACATATTTCCAAAAAGTGTCAACTAGCCTATTCCACTGATCCTGCTATTCCACCGGTCCTATTATTCCACTGATTCTACTATTCCACTAAACTTACATCTAACATTAACATTAAATGGTGATAATGACGTGTTTTATATACGAGTACAGGGTTTATTTTAAAACACCAACCAACACAAAAAAAATCAGCTGTTTCATACATTTCGGTCGATTAGCTGATGCACTTTTGTATGAAACAGCAGATTTTTTACGCGATTTCAGCGTTGGTCCCATAATAAAAGTTGTTCTTGTTGATGGGTAGAATCACCCCCTAAGAGGTTGTTGGTGTTTTAAAATTAACCCTGTATATTTGTTAAAGAACGGTTTCCGTATGTCTTCGTGCCACCTATATATTCTGCAAAGTTAAAGAGCTGAACTGATTGTGAAGTCTTTTATTTAAGCACGTCTTAATATTAACACTATCACGTCTTATGTTATTACTAGCGGCCCGCCATCGCTTCGCTTCGGTGTAGAGCTGAAGTGTAGACTACAGTTTTTGTTCTCAGGCTTGTATTATACACAATGAAATTCATCTATGATTCTTCTTATACCTGCATGCATAGTCTCAGCCCGAACGGTTTAAAATTGACAAAGTTTCATACAAATTTTTATTCCTTATTTTATCCCCTTGGGGGTAGAATTGTTCAAAATCCTTTCTTAGCGGATGCCTACGTCATAATATCTACCTGCATGCCAAATTTCAGCCCGATCCGTCCAATGGTTTGGGCTGTGCGTTGATAGATCACTATGTCAGTCAGTCACCTTTGAGTTTTATATATAGGGTGAAATTGAATGTTTCTATGAAACTTCGTGAGATTGTTGGGTTATGTGTATAGAGTATGCCTGTCTTTTTTCGGATTTTTTTGAAGTATATTTTTTTCATGTATTTATTTATAATTTGTGTATTTTTATGTCCTTTCCTCGTTTTGAGTAGTTATTCATTTTAAACAAACAAACTTACATATCCAGTGAAAAACAACTAATAAATAAGCACTTCTAAAAAACGGAAAAACATTGAAATTCCACCGCGGGTCAACGACCGACCGCGCCCGCCAGCCGTTGAGTAAGTAGCTACCTAACTCTAACCAGAGCTCAACTGACTCGTTTGATTCCACACAATAGGTACAATAAAATCTTAGATGCCTTTATTGAAATTGAAATAATAAGCACAAATGTCATCTTTTCTTAAGCAGAGAAAAACTTTAAAAGTTAATAATAATTTTGTCACGATTGGAAATAGGCAAATGTTAAACAAAAAGAAATACTTATTGCTTAATACCCCAAGAATGAAATTTATAACCAGGTATTCAAAAGTACTTACGAGACCGGCGATTTAGGTAGGTACAACGAGGAACGAGGAACATATTCATTTTTTTCACTAGAACTTTTTATCAAATCAATCACACTGGTAGTACACAATTAGTTGTTTCTAATCAAAAAGTATTTACACTAGCAATAAAAAGAGACTTAAATTATTATCTGCAAATTTGTTGCTCTAAACCACCATTTTGCTGCAAACAAAGGTTGCCTGTTTGCGGACGTGTCTTTTCACCTTTTTTAAAGTGTCCCTATCACTACTCACTGCACAAAATGCAACTTCAATGGTTTAGGGACTCATTCGTAAACCAAACCTACTTCGTCACACTCGCGATAGCAGTACACCATCTCTAAATATTCTTGGTTTGTATACCGAGGCATAATGAAATTATCACAGTGTATGTCACCAAGTCAAAAGATGCGCACGCTCACGCGCGATTAATATACTTGCGACTGCGTTTTGCATGCAATCAAAGCAAACGTCCGCGTGCGGGGAAGAGGGGAGGTGGGCGGAATTCACATCATCAAAGACGCCGCAACCGGCGCTAGTTGCCAGCGTGCGGCGCGCCGCCCGCCCGTGCTTGCCGCAAAACAACATATTATTATGTGTGTGTGTGTATGTGTGACTGTGGCTGTGATTAAATGTGTTCGGAATTTCATGACGTGGGCAAATCAGACACGAAGAGTTCCTTCCTTCCCTAAGCTCGTAAGTTATACCGATTTGCTCTTAATTTTAAGAAGATTTATATTATTGATTAATTACCTGTGCTTTATGAAATAATATTCAAAGGTATTGTGAATAAATAATTATAATATAGCATCTAAGACTATTTTATTGTATTGTTTTTAAATAGTGTGGATCAAAGCGAGTAGGTAAGCGCCGAGTCATCTGTGCGTGTAGTTAGGTACCTACAGGCGGCCGCCGGTCGTCGCCCCGACCGGCGCTGATCTCGACTGTAGGCATAATGAAGGCATTCATTAAGTTTCCGTTTTTTTATTAGTGCTTATTTTAAGTTGCTTTATAACTTCTATGTAGACGTGTTTAAAATGAATAATTACTCATAAGGAAGAAATGACAAAAAAATAACCAAATAAAAAATTAAAAAACGAAAAAAATTATTTTAAAAAATCCGAAAAAAATCAGGCATACTCTATACATGTAACCCATCAATCTCACGAAGTTTCATAGAAACATTCAATTTCACCCTGTATATAGATTCCTTTATTCTTGCACTGCATATATACACTCCGAGTTAGTTACAACTTGTTGACTCTTGAAGATCGGTAACACGACTGACCTCCACCCCGTATAAATCATCTGTATTTATAAGCGAAAAAGTTGTGTGGATCGTTCGATACACCACTGTAATCAAATCAGCTCCCGTTCTCTGTACGACTATAAAATCAGCTGCAATACTAATATTGTTTATGTTTAATTGTACAATAAATGTCTATATTCTACACTTATTTAGATGAAATTGGGCATGGATATAGTTTGAGTCCCGGAAAAGGAAACAATGAATGAGAAATAATATGGTTTACGAACTGCTTTAAATAGAGGTTTCACGCAAACTGTGATCAAGTGGGCGGGGCAAAAAAAACTGCGATCTACTCCGATCATGGGATTATATGGGATTTCAGTTCAACATTATCTTACCTACTTAAATGTACCCAATAAATTGATAGCTGAATTCATTTGCAAATATTTGATTTCTCGAAGTATTTCGTTTTGTCTGTGTGCGTATCGCGTTAGTATCGAAGATTTGCGATTGGTATCTGGAACCATGTTTTTACGGCCTTTGTTAGAGAGTTATGTTTCAATATAATTAGAGATGATGGTGAACAAAACGGTTTGATGACGCATCTGGTCAAATTACATTTTTTTACAGTTTGGAGGTTTCGGGCTGGTTGAATTTAAATCTTTAATAGTTTTCAATCAAAACTGCCTAAAACAGTGTAAAAAATACTAAATTATAAATGAAAAACAATGCCAAAAGCTCACTGGAGGTAAACCTCCATTAATGTCATTCAGTTTCATACAGCTCCTGTAAAATTTAATTTTATGTAATAATACCGTTTTGTTCGCCAGCTCCTTAAACTCAAACTCAAACTCATTTATTCAGTCTAGGCTGTTACAAGCTCTTGTGAAAGTCAGACGCTACGCCATCGGTTCGAAAAATCTACGGCGCGAGACCTTGTACTGAGAAGAACCGGCAAGAAACTCAGCAAGGGCTATTTTTTTCTCCCTGTTTTGTTTCATACAGTGTCGTCAATTGAAAGATGACATTAAAAATTGAAAACTCAAAAATCCTCAATTTGTAATTCGTTGTGTTTATACCGTTTTCTAGAAAACGGCGTCCACATGTTGATGTGGGTGGGGTCTCAGGCGCCGGCCGAGTTCGTCCGCGACGTGTTTGGTGTTGCGTCTGCGCAACAAGTGGACACGCAGGTGAGTTAGACTAACTATACATAGGTAAATAGGGTATTTGACAGTATCAAAAATAAAGTGCTAATTGTTAGCATCTGTAATTATAATGAAAATTGGCAGGGGTTTTTACTATTATTATAGAAAAAAAAATTCATAATTTTCCTCGCGGACCAGGCAGCAGACGGGACTCGAACCCGCACCTTTCGTTATCCGGGCGAATTCACTGACCGCGTGGAATTTTTTCTAGTTATATTTTCTTTAGATTTAAACATCAAGTAGTTACATGCTTAAAAAATAAAAATTATATTCATAATTTTACTAAAACCCCACGAAAAAGATAATAGTTTACATATCTATTGTCACGTGATTGAAAACGCCTGAGATTGGCGAGGCCTAAAATGACGTCACACGCACTGGAAATTTACTTAAATTTCCCGTTATAGTGACATTACATTGTATCGTTTGAAGTTTGAATGACAGTCGTATGACGTCACACACCAGTGAGACGCCATATTGTCCAGAGAAACGTTTTCGCGGCAACTTGAAAATTGAGTTTTTATTTAGTTATTTTTACTGAAATACACAAGAGAATGATGAATATCCACTTTGTATGGACTCCATAAACATTAGTAAGTAACGTGAGATCGTTTTCCAAAACTTGTCAAATACCCTATTAGCATTGTTTAGGTGGCGGAAAACTTCTGGAGCGAAACCGCAGACAAGTAAACTTGCGCTGTAGACGTTTTTGTATGTAAAATTGCTCCTGCGCAGGCTGTCCTTGTCTATGGTCAATGATCAAGTTTGCCGTGGTGTATAACATTATTTCTATTTATTTGTTTACCCCATATTCAATCTCTTCGGGAATATGTAACTAATTTTAAAATGTTCCATTTTGGTGTTAATTAAAATTTTAATTCTGTCAAGGAACTTGACAACAGTCTCCTTTTCACTGCCTGTAGAGTATGGGTGCGGCCAGAGTGCACTCAGATTCAGATTCTGAAAACAAGCGCGAGAAATAAACAGTGTAGTCGAAGGGTACGGCCAGAGTGCACTCCTGATTCAGATTCAGATTCAGACTCAGAAAAGAAAAAACGAGAAAAAGCAGGCAACCTGCTTAGACTACACTGTTTATTTCTCGCGCTTGTTTTCAGAATCTGAATCTGAATCTGAGTGCACTCTGGCCGCACCCTATGATAAGGACAACTTGCTGTCAAAATGACACATAGCAAACACAAAATGCCATGTTAAGTGCCAGCATAAGGAACACGCATTTTGAAATGCAACGGCTTTGTAGTTCAGAGATTTGCATTAATCTCAAAATAGTAAATTATAGCAATAATGATGGTTTATCTTTTAAAATTTTTAAGCATTTAACTTCTGGATAATTAAATCTCAAGAAATTTTATCTGCAATGTGAAAAGATTGCGCTGCCTTCCAGCCTAATAAATATGAGAACAAATTCGACACGGCCATTATGGTCGCGGTAGCATGATTGATTGTGCATCCGGATAGCGGAGGGTACGGGTTCGAGTCTCGTGTGCTGCGTGGACGGCGTGGATTCTTTTAGTAATTTTTTTTTTAATAACTATAATCAAAATCATTTATTCAGTTTAGGCTGTTACAAGCATATATGAATGTCTAGAAGCTACGCCATCGGTTCATAAATCTACGGCGGGAGACCTTTGTACTGAGAAGAACCGGCAAGAAACTCTGCAAGGGCTGTTTTTTTCCTCCCTGTTTTATTATTTACAGAGTCGTCAAGTTGAAAAGTGACTTCAGAGATGATTCATGAAGTCACCTTTCATTACATAATGTAAAATTATACAGTAACTGTTCACTTGAATTTTTATTGCTATGTCATACAGTATAAGTACAAATAGTTAAAAATGAAATGTTTTATTTTAAACAAAAATCCTAGGTGGCGGAGTTGCCAGTGCTCGACAATGAGACCAGTGTTGCCGTCCGCGAACTACTACAAGACGCGAGAGAACGCAGACGGACCGCTATGAGGGTAACGTACATTTTGTATTATCTTTATAACGTTTCATTAATGAATTACATTAGATTTAAAGCAACGATATTAAATACCCTAGATATACCACGTGCGCTCAAAATGTGTCCCTATCAAGAAGTGCTTGAACACGACTCAAGCACTTCTTGGTTCACAGTCACGCGCGGACCGTTGAAAAGTAAACATGTCGCCTAGCTCCGAGAAATAATACGAAAACAATACTTATAGTACGTTATGTGTCGCTTTTTGGCCAGGTATCTAATCAATGTTTGTTAATTTAACGCATTTGAAGCAAATTTGGTTTCAAAACTTACTATAAACTGATTTAATAGAAAATATTTGTAATATTTAAATGCATGGTCGGTAATATAACCTTCTCTTTTCCTCGCGGTCGGTAACAGCTATTTTCAGCGTATTATTTATTAGCAGCGCATTCATAATTGCGCGTAGAGACGAATGAATAAAGTCTATATTCTTCCGCATATAGCAATAAGGCGTAAAATTTTACCAGCTTGCATTTCCAACTGTCGTATCTCTTTGACGCATGCGTTTTAATTAAGACTTAATGCAGTATGCATTAAAGGTGACTTTCTATGTTTAAGTAATGCCTTATATTATTTTTGACTACGCGATCATGTTACGGAGCTCCGTGGATCGTTCAATGTGTGTACCTTTTGGACAGGTTTCAGACACGATTTTGTTCGTGCTGGTGTATCTAGGGTATTTATTATCGTTGATTTAAAGTTAAAATTGACATTGTTTATTGAAAGACATAATAATGTTTAAAATATGAAGCCCATAGGCGCGTTACTATCAGTCGATAATATCGGTAGGCTTATCCCATCTTTTTTCTATTATTATAATGTGGTAATGAGGCTTAAACATGATTTTCCACATTTTTGATTTGATTTCAGAACCGCAATTATATTATTAATATTAAGATCTATAGGTTTAATGTTCCTTCTCTACATTAAACATTAGGTATTTTTTATTTGTACTTGTAACCTAAACACAGCATGATAAAAGAATATTTATTTTGCCTTGTGAATGATTCTTTTCTGGTTTTCTTACTTGGGTACGCATGATATTAGCTCTAATTTGCTCTATTTTCTTACGCTTTTTCTTGTAAAATTAAATCAGAAACTGTACAGTTTGATGCCCGTTTGTAACTCGTATTAATAAGCGAAGATTAAACTTTACAGTGTTCACATTGCACTTCACTTGCCTTGCAAATATTAATTTGACTAAAGGTAAAAAAGGTTTATTCATTTTTAATTTAAGCAAGTTTAATTTTTTCGTTAAAAGTTTTTAATTAAATTAACATATACAGAACACTGCGAACTTATGGTTATTTGCATCAGCATTCTTAAATCAAGTTAAGACTCGATCTAAATAAAAATCTAGTATCATCATTCCATCTCTATCAATTATTTTAAAGTCAAATAAAGGTAGAATGAGTCCTTTTTAAGTTAATGCAACTATCCGCTTATTATTATTGGGATTAAGTTCAATTCGGCATCTCTCGAGTTGATGACGGTTGATTTAGTAAGGTCTATAAGGTTCAATTTGGCTTACAACTGCGTTTCTCTTTAGTTTATGATAGTGTTGGAGAGAGACGACTACAAACGCCTAGCTCTCTTCAACCGCGCCCTAGAAGACTGCAGCGGAATTGACGCTCTCATTAACGCTAGGTGATATTTAATGCGCTGCAATCAAGAAGGGGTCTTTATGTGTTCAAATTATGCGCCTGCGCAGACGAAGGAAAATTGTCCGCGGCCTTTTTTGTCCGTGAAAATAGTTCGCTTTCAGCTGCATCGAGGTACGCACACGATGGATTAAAAACAGCGCGTACAAAAAGTGAGGACATTGAGAGGCCGGACAGGATGAGTACGCGGATGTCCCCGAAAAAATTAACTGCGTTGTGTGCACGGACCACACATCTGATGTGAAACTTCTTTTCTTAAATAACCTAACATTAGGCGGTGAATAAGGCATAGGGGAATGGAGCAGCGCACGCATCACTCATATATATATATTGTCAAGTGTGACGCTCGTAGCGTTTCCGCCTTCGCCGAGTTACCCTCCAACTTTCATGCTCGTCGCGAAGAGCTGCGCATGCATCCCACACACACGCAAACATATATATCTAAAATATAAAATTATCGTGTCACGGTGTGCGTAATTGAACTACTCCGAAACGGCTCGACCGATTTCCGACATTTTTTATGCATATCTGAGAATCGGACAACATCTATTTTTCATCGCCCAAAATGTGAAGGGTGGTCCGGTCCACCCTTAAAAAATTTTTCAAACTAAATTTTCACCCTTCGACCACCAACCCCTATTTTTTATGGTAAGAAGTTCGCTGGGTCAGCTAGTATATATATCGAAAAGAAGTTTCACTTCAATAATAGAACTCATGTGATTAGGAGCAGTAAAGTACGCAGCGAACTTCAGTCTTCCCCTTTTCTTCAACTTCATGTCAATTACAGCACAACGTAATCTGAGAATATTTACTTCCATATCGTGCGCGTTCATAAATCTTTGGGAGTGTGGGATGGTGTGAGTTGAGTCCGTGCTAAATCCTCGGCGGACATTTTTATCACGTATCAGGCCGCGGACAAAAGTCCTTCGTCTGCGCAGGCGGTGGGTATAGTAGCAGCTGTTTAGAATATTACGGAATTGTCAAAAAACCTCCATTCGATTTTCAGCTTAGCAGGTTACTACATTCAAAGCTCAAAATCGTTTGCAGATTGTTGACGTTCTGTGGTGGTCTGACTTGCTGTTTTACGGTACATCTTCGATTGCCTGGAATACTGAAAAAATAATGTAAAAATTAGATTTCTATACTAAATTTCTGGTTGGGCGATCACAGATAGACGAGGGTTTAAGGCCTTTTGGGCGGGGAAAAACTAAATGTATTCGCACAACTTTAATAAAATGTTACATCTTACTGTGTCTTCGGAAGCACGGACGAGCTTAAATAATCTTTCGTTATAATCCGTGAACGCACCACTAGTTTAAATATAACTTTTTCGAAATTTGCATGAAAACAAATATACAACCCGTTTTTCAGTATTTCTTCATGAAGAAGATGTTACAATATCGTGAGAATGTCTGTCTTTCCATTTCAGTAAACACAAGAAAATCAAATTGTCTAGCTTTCTGGGATAGCTTTCGTACACGGGCCTTGCAGTATCTGGATTTAAATTAATTATTGAATAAATACTTATTGGGCGTATGTAATATAATATTAACTATAATAGGGTATTTGACAAGTTTTAGAAAACGATCTCAGGTTATTGACTAATGTTAATGGAGTCCGTAAAAAGTGGATATTCATCTTTCTGTTGTGTATGTACAATGTAATGTCACTTTAACCGGAAGTTTACTTGCGTGTGACGTCATTTTAGGCTCCGCCAATCCCAAGCGTTTTGGGTCACGTGACAATAGATAACAAAACTTATCTTTTTCGTGGGTTTTTAGTAAAATAATGATTTTTTTTTGTAAAAATAGTAAAAACCCCTGCCAATATTCATTCTAAACACAGATGCAAACAATTGGCACTTTATTTTTAATACTGTCAAATACCCTATTACTATTGTAGGTATTGGTGTCTACTCTGACATGATTCTCTAAACCTCAACTTAAATTTGGCAACAGTATATCCTTGTCATTCTATATGAAGAATGAAAAGGAGCGACTGATGTTATATTAAGAGAATCATGCCGATATCTGCACCATTCATAGTTTAGTATTTTAAGACGATATTTTTAATCGCTTATCGTTCTCTGTAATGAAACGCATTGTGTCCTTTAAAACCGTTCGTATCACAGTCGCTGGCACATTTTTAAAGCAGTACAGGGTAATTTCAAAGAAAGGTAGAATCCGGCGCGAAGGGCCAAAACGTACACTGTTGTCATACTACAAAATGATGGAACTAGTTAGCAATCCATGGGTTATTTCATCGTTGAGAGAAACCACTGAATAGTGCTCGGGACCTTGCGACCAAAGTGTAGGTTTAAGCAGCCTCTTTAATACTCTCGGCATTCCTTTACCTAGCCAAATAAAGTCAGACACAAACGCAGATTTTTTTACTCGTTATAGTGTTCTTTGTAGCCCTAAATCTTTAAAAACTAAATTATATTGAGGTTGTTAACCTTGGGGCCGTCCATATATTACGTCATTGTTAATTAGGGGGGGGGAGGGGGTTGGTCTGCGGATGACGGTAAATGATAGATGGGGGGGGGGGGGTTTCGAAATTGACGTCATCCTTATTTATTTATAGTTTATTGTTCACGTACAAAAAGATTATTTCTAAAAAGAAATTTCTTCCAGCACACCTAGTAAGTGAGACTGCAAATGTGAGAGGCGGCTAAGACGCGTACAATACTAATATTCTATAACCAAGTGTTTTAATCATATAATACCCTATTTTTCTCAAATCTGCAATGTTTTAATTTTGTCAAACTGGTAATGACGTCAATTTTGGAAGAAGGGGGGGGGGGTCATTAGGAAATGACGATAGGATGATTGTGGGGGGGGGGGGGGTCTAAAATCTGAAAAAATCGATGACGTAATTTATGGACGGCCCCCTTTTAGATAGTTAGAATTCTATCAGGTAGACTCAAGCGTACTCTTTTCGATGAAAGCTTTCATAGACTATGGTTACCCGAATTACCTGGACAGAGGCAAGAGTAACGCATGAGAAATAATATACTCTTTTTTAACACTAGCTCTTATAGACTGTGATTATCGTTCACCATCAAGTCTACCATCAAGTCCAATCCATATATCCGTTGCTACCAGTAAAAAATGAGGAGCTCTATGACGCAAGTGGTTAACGCGTTCGGCTGCGATCGTTGAAGTTAAGCAACTTTCGCAGTGGCCGGTTATTGGATGGGTGACCGAAAATTTACAATTTTTAGCTGCACTTCGAAGGCACGTGAGGCCATTGGTCGCGGCTGCATCTGCAGTCGTTAGCCCACTAATCCGCACTGGGCTCGAGTCATGGTCATGGCCCAATCTCTATTCCGTCCATAGGGAAAGCCAGTGTCCCATCATTTGGGACATTAATAGGCTGATGATGAATATTCTGCATGATGCACACAGCTGGATATAGTCCACCAGTACGACAAACGGGAGGTACAGTTCCGGCGGTGGCTGGCTGAAGACAGGGGGCTTGACGGCAGCGCCACCTATACCGAGTATCTGCTAACTACGCACAAGGCTGTGCAACGAATGCTGTAGGTTCACGCTTGGGCGATTGGGCTTTCGACCATCGAGGTATAAGAATAGAGTAGGGGAGTTGTAGGCTCTACTACAAGTGGAAGTGTCCCTCTAATAGAAAGAGAAAGAAGATGAGAGACCGCCAGCTTTTCTCTCTAATAGCGCATGCGGATTGGCAACCGTAAGCATCTTACTTTTCCGATGTGATGCCATTGGATGCCATGCGTCACAAGAGAGAGAGATAGCTAGCAGTCTCTCATCTTCTTTCTCTTTCTACTGGACGGAAACTTTTAGAGCCGTCTTCCCCACTCTATTTTTATAGCTCTATGCTTTCGACGGTGCAGGGAAAACTTGGGATTATGTATTTTTTTTTCGAACAAATATCAGAGTACTTGCGACTCTTATAAGTTGGTCTGAAACTAAGAGAACTGTTTTTGTGGAAACTAAACAACGTATATAATAATTTATTGGAACGGTAGATAAGCAAACATGACAAGGGTTAATAAATAGATAAAAAAAAAAACTATAATTGCTATTTTTTCTTTCAAATGTTTTATACTTGTAAAGGTATTCATTTGACATTGTGGGTTACCTACAGTGTGAAGAGAAAGCGCTGTCTTGCAGCTTAAGAAAGGCTAGTGAGAATTCGAGTCGGCCATCAGGGTCGCCGTAGCATAATGGTCTGTGCATTCACACGGATAGCGAGTCCCGTCTGCTGCCTGTTCCGCGTGGATTTTTTCCAGAAATATTTTCTTTAGATTTAAATTTCGAGCAGTTACATGCTTAAAAAATAAAAATTATAAGAATATTTAAAATCTGATTCGTATTCAGAATATCATTTTCAAGTGTCAAATTCAAAATGACTTATTTTAGTTGTGGGGAAGAATAGATGCAAGCCACGCGACAACATTCAATGACTTGCCATGACATATACAAATTTTAATAAGTTGATATACTGTCAATACATATAAAATAGATTAAATTTATAATAATGATATAAGGAAAAGAAGCAATTGGACTGAAACAGTCATTGTTAGTTCATTCCTATTCATTTGGCTTATTCAGAGATACTAGCAAACCAGTGAACCAAATGTTCACCAAAACCTGATTTAAAAAAAATGTATTTAATTAATTGAGAACTTCGGAGATTTTGTGTGGTAATGCAGAGATAAGCGAAATTGAAGAGCTAGATTCGGATAATATTTTTTTTCATACAGTCTTAATAAAGAAATACTATTAAAAATCTGATGTTTTGTCTCACTTAATTTTAGTAATTAAACTTTTATTAAATAGCAACATTTTTTTGCTCACTCTACCCATTTGGTCTGAATTGACAGCTATGACGTCAAAATATGGCGCCCAGTCTGTCCTATTCTTAACTACCTACCTTAAATACATGGCTTTGGCATCTTGGGCGTGTGTTGTTGCGTACTACTTAGAGCTTTGCCTCTACTAATGAGATCTCGATATAGTCAACTCTAATGGTCCGTACTCACATACGGTATTACTCTATAGTTTTACTCTTAAGCGAGTAAAATGCGTCAACGCATGGCCCGTAAAACTCACGTATACTACAATAATAGTTAGCCGAACATTTTGAGCCGTTTAAAGTGCAAGTGTAACAAAAACTTACAGGCAAATACATCATGCACTTAAACAAAATACAAACGAAAAATTAGCTTAAAATAAATCCAAACACTACAATATTTTTAGGTACTGTTTTGTGAGCCGCGCGTCCTTGCTGCCATTCGGCATAGGCCACCCCGTCTGGGGATTACCTAGTACCCTAGAGTAATCCCCCATAGGCGCGTCTCCCGGTCCACTCGTTGGGCCGGGCCAGCCCGAGGACGCTCTGGTGTAGTGCCGATCCCAGAGCGCCCTCATAAGGGCCGAGGAGGGTACCGGTGGGTTTTAGTGGGTAGGACCGGCGTTGTTCCGCGCCGGGGAGTCCCACACACGTCGCGCGCCTGGCAAGCGCGCGGTATGGTGCGTAAATGCATTTTCCACCGTCAACAAAAAAAAAATGTACTGTTTTGTGAGAAATTTTTCTACAACGATCGTTTTCCTTCTCTCTAACCTCCATGGTGACGACGAATAAAAAAAGCCAAAGGATATTTTTTTATACTTTTTTTTTGAGTGTGTATGCTGTTGGTCGCAGATGACTTTTACAGCGTCACCGGGTTTGGGGACGACGAGATCCTAATGGGACCTCAAGCCGAGAATTGGTGAGTGCCTCTGGAGGTATTCCAGGCGGATGGCGTCTCCTCACGGGGGGAGGCTCGTCTCCGTCTGGAGCCTCTAGACCACTCGAACCTGAGGGGGTCAGCTCAACTAAAGGGCGTCTCTGAGACTCGGACCTCGGCTCTAGTTTGCCGTTGTCGTGGGGGGTATTTTTTCTTACGTGTCTTTGCCATTAATTTGTAATTAAACAGATATTTCTTCATTTTGGTTTTGGTTATACAAATATTTAGAATAGATCAAGAAAGAGGCAGATGGTATTGTCGTGTTGTGTGTTTTAGCTTGCTATCAATATTGCTTTGCTCTTTTTCCCGGGTTTTATCCAGTTTTGTTTATTCTGCTATGCTTTAAGTTTTTGTCTCTATTAATGATGTTGTTTAAATTTTTATTATGGTTTCGAGTGTGTTATGTTTATGTTTGGGTTTAATGAGGATTTTGAGTTAAGAGTGTTCCTAGCAAACTAAAAAAATACTAAGTTCGATTAGTACATTTGAATAACAAAATGAAAATAAGTTACATTGTAAATTGATATTAACTAGAATACAATCATCATTTTGTGCAACTGACTTATGAATTAAAGTTAAATTATATTTTTTTGGTAAAATTCTTCAAGAGGTAAAGGACTCTTAACTACACAGTCAAGCTTTTTTTTATTCCTATTTAATTTGTCGGGGTTAACACATTGATATAGAAAAATAAGTAGACTCACAATCGCGCTCAGAAAGTGTCGGTGGTAAAATCACTCATATGCGTCTACTGTGCGTAATTTTAAAACGCTTTGACATATAATTTTGCTGCCACGATGCCACGACATAACGTGTCATTGCACAAGTTGATGTTTAAATGGTTTAAATATAGAACAGCGCCGCGCGGACGTTTTTTTGATAAACTTTTCTTAGGCGATTGAGTGTCTAAACCATAGAGGTATAAGAATAGAGTGGGAAAGGCTCTAAAAGTGTCCGACTAGTAGAAAGAGAAAAAAGATGAGAGACAGCTAGCTATCTCTCTGTCTTGTGACGCATGCGCAGTCGTGTGTCCAATAGTTGGTCCAAGCATCACATCGAAATAGTAAGATGCTTACGGTTGCCAATGCGCATGCGCGATTAGAGAGAGAAAGCTGGCGGTCTCTCATCTTGTTTCTCTTTCTTTTAGAAGGACACTTTCACTTGTAGTAGTCCCCCCTACTCTATTCTTATACCTCTATGGTCTAAACAGAGAAAACATTGTTGCAGCCACATTAAAATGATCATAATATTTGTTGCAGCTAACGATAATGCGTCAACACGACAAATTGGAGACTGTGCTCAGACATTTCCTCGTAGAAGACCGCGGCGTCGACGGCAGTGCCTCCTACGTCGACTACCTGTGCCACATTCACAAGGAGATTCGGACACTACTATAGCATTTGTATGAACGATAAACGACTCTATTCCAACGCAGATAAGGACGCATTTTGCATTGCAGCATACGGGATAAATCTCTGCGGTTGCAAAATAATTTTTTTGGAAGCACTAATTAAACTTTTAGGCTCGCGTTTTACTATTGAGCCTGATGGACGATAAACAACTCTATTCCAACGCCAATAAAACATTTTTTGACTTTTAATATTATAAAAATATGATAAATAGATTTGTTGCAAAAAAACTTATTAATGAAATGAGCAGCGTACGTGGAAGACAATTAGTTAATCGAAACTACTCAAGTATATATGAAAAACTTCTCTTACTTCTGCCTCTTCTCTGTACAACTTTTCTTTTTGCATGCTCAAACATTCGTGATTATGTATATGAACAAGGGTGTCGATTCTGGCATGATTCTCTAAACCTAAACTTGACAACAGTGTCTCCTTGTCATTCTCTATACAGGATGAAAAGGAGAAACTGATCTTTAATTTAGTTTTAAGTTTAGAAAATTAAATCAGTATCGACACCATTATGTACATAAAAAAGTAAAGGACACGATAAATCTTTTCATTGGTGAAAAATACGACCACACTATTAGTTCATTGTATTATCGCTCAATTTTTGGTGAACATAATTATCGTAATGTCAATCTGATGACTGTTACTCTCAAGGATACCAATATCGCTCTTATTGCGTACGTAATAAGGAACAGTCGATGTCAAATCATATTCACCAAAGTAATCACGTCATGCATCTAAGTATCTACATAAAAACAGAATTCCATTTGGTCATTTTAAAAGGCGCAAATTTTACGCTTGGCGTTTTCATTTGTTTTGTAATATGGCAACCCTCCTATATTATAGCCCTCTAGGTTTGATTTTTGAAAGCTCGTTTAGACGAAGATATCTATGCGCGTAAAGCCAATGCTCCAGTATTATATTACTGTTCCATTAATCTTTAAGTGCCGGAGCCCAAATATATATCTGTTAAAATATTTTTTTATATCACTGTCAAGTTTAGCTAACCCTACATTGAATGTATATTTAATATAATATATAGACTTATTGCTACTTGAATTCACATTAAAATACTTTCTATCTTATCACAAATATGTTTTAGATTCTGTTTTCCGTTGTAATCAACGGAAAACAGAAGGATAAATCCTTATTTTCCTTGCGTAATATGCTGTGTCACGAATTAAGGGCAACACTAAAATTATGATGCATTTTAACATAGAAATAGACATACATGGCATTTAGAAAAGACATGGACATCTTTTGGCGCGAACATATAAACGTTTTAGAGAGTGAATTAGTCATTAATATGGGAAACAAGTTCTACGCAGAGTAATTTCGCATCAAAATTCGCCAGAATGTGACTACTTTACATTAATTTAATGGCAACATTATTTTATTTATAATTAGAGTTGCCATAACCATGAAGTTACTTAAGATAATTTTACTAAAACGCCAGCGACAGTTTATTATATAATGCCAACCGTTTTTGAATGATTTTATATAGGTACTCTGTTCAAGAGAATTAATTAGTGGAACTCTTTCTTTATCATATAATCGCTTACGAACGAAAGAGGGTGGAAAACTGCGTAACAAGACAAAGCGAGTCGTCATTGGCCGGAACAACGACAGCAATACAATCCGGCCAATGACAACAAAGCTTAGGTTGTCGTCAGTATTTCGTTTCTGTGAACAGAGTATTGTGAACCTATTGTTAATTAAAAAAAGAATAGCAATTACAATTTATAAAATAAAACTTTAGTATTAAAGATTTGTATAAATAAATAATAAAAGTGTATTTGTTAACAATAAACTTTATTTTATGTTTGGTCTATTTTATATTGGAATACAAAATTTATGTGGACCTATGAATAATATAAGGTATAGTTACGCAATATGAATCCTTAAAAGTTGTTTCTGTTTTCATACGATGATATTACATATTAGAAATAGTATTTGATTATAGTACGTTTTATCGTTAATAATAAGTTTCTACAATAACGGAGTGTAAATAAAAATTATTATTATCCTGTGACATAATTTATTCTCTAAGTTAGTCTTGATGGGATTGCTACAGCCTTTGATTATATCATCATCATCACCTTATTAATGTCCCCATTGCTGGGGCACAGGCCTTCCCTATAGATGGAATAGGGAGATTGGGCCATGACTCACCACGAGGGCCCAGTGCGGATTGGTGTGTGCAAACGACTGCAGATGCAGCTGGGATAAACGGCTCAACGCGCCTTCCGAAGCACGGAGGAACTCGAGATAGAGGATTTTTGGTCACCCATCCAATGACCGACCACTGCGAAAGTTGCTTAACTTCAACGATCGCAGCCGAACGGGCGAACCACCCGCGCTATCGAGCTCCTCATGCAAACTATGCTATATATTTTTTGTTAAAAGTTCAATCCTTCCCTTGATTTTACTTAGATTGTCATTTATTTTTAACTAGCTGTGCCCTATGAAACCGCGGGTAACACCGCTGTGTTACCCGCGGCGACATTTTCCCACAGTAAAACGTAGACTATGTGTTAATCCAGGGTTTCAGCTAACTCCATACCAAACTTTATTAAAATCGCTCCAGCCTTTTAGACGTGAAGAAGTAACAAACATTCACACTCGTAAACTTTCGCCTTTATAATATAAGTATGATGTAAAATTTACCAATGTTTGCACCATTTCTGTGACCAGTGTCAGTATCTTGGCTTAGCTTTTATTATATAGAAAGCTAGAAATTACAATCCAAATAAAAACAACGCACAGAAAACGGCTCATGTTAGGCGCAATTGAAAAGACGAGCTTATCTACCTTACATCTTACATTTAGTAGATGTTTTTGGAGTTATTGCGGTATCTAGGTAGTTTATATTATAATCAAAGGCTGCACCTTACGTTATAACATGACTGTCACAAATAAACATCAATGACTGGAGTAAAACTGCTCGTAGTCATCACACAAACATCTGGCCCCACCGGGATTCGAATTCGAGTAGGCGTCACAATGTAACCCGGCGTACAAACCACTTTGCCACGGAGGAGTCTTATTACTCCCCCCATCCTGATGTTAAGTGTAAGTGATGTCCGGTCGCGGCGATGATGCGGCAGAAGATGTGCCGCTCCAGCCATCCTCACCTTAGGGATGTCGAAAGTTGAAAAAAATATCGATATATCGATATTTTCAAAAATAACAATATCGGCTTCGATATATCGCGAAAAAAACATCGATATATCGGACCAATTTTCCCAAAAATATATTTAGGTCAGCAATAATAACAATACAAATTATAATTAAAGCAAGAATTATCAAAGTACCAAATTGCCGCTACACTACACGACAGTACAATATCTCACGAAAGATGACACGCGGAATAATAATGGAACGAAAATTATCTCCCTAAAAATAGACCCTATTTTCGAATGATGAAAATGATTGCAGGGCCTCCTTACGTGGCATCTTTCGTAAACAACACTAGACAGTCACACACTTCCACAGAATATAATGGAATTCAGCACAACCAATTCACCAGCGAAACAGATTTACAAATCATAGAAAATACTAAATACAGCACATATCATAGATATGTTGAATATCATTAATCTGAGCTTCAGTTACGATTTTTCCAGATACGAATTTAGTTAGATCGTGATATGCCGCTAATAATTAAAAAAAAAAAATCGTTTTTGATACGAATTTCGATATTGGTTATTTTGTATCGATGTATCGATATATCGAATCAAAATATATCGGCTAAAAATATCGATATATCGAACAAAAAATATCGATACATCGATATATTTTCAGCAAGACTACCTCACCTTGTCGGCCTGAACCCAATCCCCTACCCCGGGCAGTCCTACTCACCAGCAGAAACACCACCATCAAATGTAGTACTATATACTGTAGTCTTCTGTAAGATGGATGTTGTTTCTCCAGGCGGGCGTTCCAATTCGAACGGGAAAATACCCTTTGCTTTTTACCTTTCTAATTTTTATGACAATAAATATCTTCTGTTTCAATAGTTGTAGGAAGGCCAAAGGGGAAGATCTTCCTCCGAGCTCGGGGGCCGCGGCTCGACTGATGTTGGTCGGGCATCGTATATATGAAGAGTTGGCCTCCGAATTTCATTTGCGCGATGTAGGCTTCCATACTATTATGATCGCAGTGCAGGTAACGCCATCTCTTTTAGGATGGTGAGTAATGATTTCCTCCATCCGTTGTATATATATGGGGCATATAGATGTCGCCGCCACATAGTCATTGCGATATTTTGCCGAGGAATGACGTAATGCATATTTATTTAATGTTCAAATTATGAAGTTATATATCCAAAATGTAACCTACATAATTTCTCAAAGTGATGTTAAATTAATTGCGAGTTGACGCACTCCGAAGTGAGCTTTTGTTTTATAGATCACACTAGAGTTCCAAAATTTCTAATCAGTTCGTCACAGTTCCTGTTGTGGATTAGAAGAAATTCCTTCTTCGGGAGGAACACTTCGGAGAACACTCGTTTAGACGACCTCCGTGGCCGAGTGGTTTGTACGCCGGGTTTCATGGTGTCGCCGTCTCGAGAGGTCCCAGGTTCGAATCCCGGTGGGGGCAGATGTTTGTGTGATGAATACGAGCATTTGTACGCCAGTCATGGATGTTTAATATGTACTCCTATATAATTATACTTATATATGTACAGTATATGTATTCTATCCGTTACCATAATACAAGCCCTACAGTGCTTACTTTGGGGCTAGGCTAATTGGTGTGAGTGTTGGAAATATTTATTTATTTATTGTTGTACTTTGCAACATAACGGAATACAATCGGCTCCTGCCTTCCTTGAACGAAGCGATGGCTGCTTCGTGCGTCATGCTCGTAAACGGGTGCTGTCAGCGACGATGAGTCTGCTCTAACTATACTATTGGATATTGATGTGTAACATCTTTCCTCTCGCTTTCCTGCAATTTGTAGGAGTGATTTCGTGAAATGGGACGGAAGTGTGTAACAGAAAGTCGCCAAAGCGCGCGCTATTTGATTTGATTTTAGAACATAATGTTCAAATGGCTTATTCCTTTTGTAGTAGGTTTTATTTCTTTTTTTACTAATAAAAGGTGAGGTTTCAAATGTTACACATCATACGCGACTACTGTAAGGTTTCCTCGTTTTTTTTTATCCAGTTATACCTGACATAAATAACACTATATGTATTTATACTGTAATGCAAAGCAATCAAAATGCAAGTGAACAATTAATGTATATTTCACAATATGCAATTAAAGGTGACTTCATAAATTATCTCTGAAGGTATGTTTCGACTTGACGACTCTGTAAATAATAACGCAGGGAAAAAAGAACAGCCCTTGCTGAGTTTCTTGGTTATTCTAAGGTTAATAATTTATTTTGGGTGAGTTATGGATGGGTGACCAAAAACTCATGTGTACTTTAAACAACATTATCTTAGCAGACAAAATTTAGCAGAGATATGTATATCGATATCATGGTTGGGTTCACCTCTTGACCAAGAAAATCTTAAAATAACCTTAGTATGTGTGAGTAATGCCGGATCCTGCACGTGCGAATCTGTACATTTTAACTTCGTAAACAGCAGGATGGTGTGCAGTTCGACTGAAATTGTAATCGTGTGTTTTCAAGAAAAAGTACAATGTTTTCTTACAGGCTAATCTAATTGATATTAGATTATTATTAGAAAGGAGCAACAACCAGCAAATTATAAAACAATAGGGGTGATGACGGGGTACAGTAAACGAAATTCTATTTAGTCCGTCAGTTAGATGATCATAAAATAATGGACACGTATTTTTTCTTTGGGCAATCAACCAAAAAATGACAAAGTTATAGCGCTTCAAAGTTTGGGAGTAGGGGCTCGTGACGTCACTTTTGAGTGAATTTTCACTTATAAGTGTACTCAAACGTGACGTCATGCGACTTTTCAAATCAATATATCTCTGCAATGTTTATATTATGTGAAAAAAGAAAAAACACGTGTCCAATACCTACCTATAAATCTACCTACCTGATAAACGAAGAAAAAAAAATAGTCATCCCTATTGCGATTACTCATGTTTCCCTGCCCCCAGAAGTAGTTCCAACTATTGCCATAGGGTGTGTTTTCAGCAACAACGTTACCTAATCCATTCTTTAAAGACTTACCTACTTTAGGTATGTTGATGGATTTGGTAGCAATTCGTTACTAGAGATATCTATCGATATCCCGCAATTGTTCAAAACACCCTCGACGCACTGATCTGCAAGGGAATATATAAAGTCAACAGTTGTGCTGGCTGCTGAGATCATTCCTATTAGACTAACAACTATAGCTGCTGCTCCTCCGGCTACAACTGCTGTTGATCTATCTGTAGCATTAAAAGACTCTGCTGCTTCACGTTAAACCTGAGGTAACCCGTGGAGACCAGCTTTAATATGGTCTAACACTGCTATGCAATTAATAACATATCCCAAGCCCATCTTGAAATCGTTGGAACTAACTGGTAAAATTAACGCGTCCACCAAGTGTGGGAAGAGGGCACGTCGGCGTGAGGTTGTTTAGCTTGTAGCTCGCCGCTGTAGTCGTCGGAATCACTGGAGTCTTGGCGAAAGCGATCGATGACTTCGTCGAGAAGCGCTACGCTTTCGTCGAGTCCTGCTTCGCGAAGCTTAGAGGCCGCTTCGGCGCCTAAATAGCCGTCCAAGAGGAACTGCAAGGAGGAACGTTCTCTTAGCAAGGAGTCCTCGAGCTGCGTGCGGAAGATGCAAGCCAGGCGCTCGCAGCGTGCGCGCAGCGGGCCGACCACCGCTTGCAGCGCTGTCAACAGAGAGTTCTGCTCAGAGCTGGACAATGTGACTTGCTTCAGGGCCCCTTCCCACACCAGCGCCAGCAGCCGGCTCGCAGCTGCGTCGCTTCTGCGCGCTGCTTCGTCGGTGCTGTAATCCGCGCGCTGAAGTTCCTGCAGACATCCGTCCAGCCTTGCTGCCACAGACATTACGACACGATCTGA